CCTTAAGCAAATTTTGCCTTGTTTATTTCTGTCAGTATTTCCGCGGCGCTGTGCCCCGTGCCAGCTGCTGTCCTTGCTCCTCCTCTGCCTCCCCTGTCCCTGCTGGCTCTCCAGGTTGCGAGGCCGAGCTGCTGTCTGGGTTTCACAATATCGCCAAGCCCTAACAAAAATGCAGGAGCCGAGGCCTGACAAACACCTGATAAGAGCATTCCTGCCACATTGCACTGGTATTTTTAGCAGAGCGAAGGAGCTGATAGGGGAGTAAAGAAGCAACAAGGTGAAGGAAGATGCTTGGTTCGTAAAGCATCAGTGTGAAAAGCAGGCTGGAACTCACGAGTCTCCAGGCTATTTCTACTGAACTGCTTTGCATGAGCACACATCCACACAGCTAGGATCAGTGAGATTAAGCCACGCACGTTGTTTTTTAACAGGCAGGAATAGCAGTGTGCTCATTTGTACATCGGTCCCTTCGAGTGCAGCCACAAATGGCTGTGGTTATTGGTGTGACAGCAGCGTGGTGGGGAAAGACAGCTGGGACCTGGGGGCTGCCTGGTGCTGTCTGAGGCTCACATGTGACAGTTGTGTCCTTTACTGCTATTTTTACAGAGCTATTTTGGTGGAATGTGTAGCGATGGGAACTGGAGCATCCCGGAGCTGCGAGCAGTCCCGGGGGCCCTGTGTGGTGCACTGGGACCGTCCCTGCTGGACACTGCCTGGGGCTCTCAGGGCAGTCCTCCTGGGGTCCTGGGTTGGCCCTGGGCAGCAGCAGTGGTGGGAAAGTGCCTGAGGGGGGTGGCAGGGTTGGGCAGTGTGACTGTCACACACTGGGAGGGACGGGGAACACCCATGCCATGCCCATGGTGCCGTGCCCATGGTGCTGTGCCCACAGGGCTGTGCCCATGGTGCCACCCTGGCGTGCCCCCTAGTGAGCGCACCCCCACCCACCCAGGGCTCACAGGGACAGGAGCCTTGGGGCTGCTGGCCCGTGGCACTGTTTTCTGCCATCCCATCTCTCACCCTTTCCCGGGGCCCTTTCTGATTTGGGCTGCCAGGCAGTGAGAGATGGAGCCTCTCCTCGGATACTCTCCCCGGCCCCAGCAGGTGAGCTGCAGATGGGAGGCATCAGCGTTAATCTTTCAGTGTCACCGCCAAGGTCAGGCAGCGTGTTGTGAACAGCCTCAACCCAGCGTTTGCTGCACAGTCACCACCAGAGTGCAGAAAGCTTAGTGTGAGTAGTTCTTCTAACGCCCAAAGTTTGCATTTTTTGCAAGGCAATGGCAGGGAATAATTTACCTTTACACTGCTGCAAGGTCCCTTTTAAACTGAGGAAAACACGAGCAGAACGGGGTGGCTCGTATGAAACACCTTGCAGCAGTGTATGAGGGGAGATGAGAATTGTGTGTGTGGATAAAGTGCCCGACACGAGCTCACGGGGAGATTTATATAGCAATGAAATGTGGCCTCATGCTTTGTGCAGCTGTCACAGATCCCATGCTGTGGCCTTGCACGCCAGTTCTGCAGGTCCCTGGCTCTGCCCGTGTGTCTGTGATGCTGGTGGAGGCTGGGGGAGAGCCCGGTCCCACTGCCTGGCTCCGTCCCCTGCCCGTCAGGGACACTGTGGGCACCCGGTGTTGGTGGCAGGGGACCCAGGTCCCTGTGGGCAGGCTCCTTGTGCGGAGCAGCAGGGGTGGAGGCTCTCGGGCAGCTGGAGAAGAAAAATGAGAACCCAGCAAAGATCCATTTCTGAGCTAGAAATGGATGTGCTGGCTTGCAGAGCCGTGCCCAGAAAAGCTCCGCAGCCAGAAATAGATGTTCTGCTGCCTAATGAAAGGGACAAGAATGGAAACTCAGGTACACTCCTTCCTCTAACCCGGGGCTCTTCAGCTTCAAACATGCCCAGTGTGGCCGTGCGATTCCAGTTCCTCAGCTTTTTATTTCCTGCACCCTTCCTGGGGACTAAGGCGTGGTGGCAGCGAGGATGGGGCACGGCGCGCTTCTAGGACCGAGGACAGGACAGGAGGACAGCACCGCTGCCAGCCAGGCGGTGCCAGATGGGGACAGTCCCTCCTGGGGCACAAGGACTGGCATCTTTTTGGCTCCCGCAGGCTGCAGCTTTGTCTCTGGGCTCTGACGCTGTGTGACCTTCAGGTCTGGGTGGCTGCTCCGTCCCCTGGGCAGGGCGCGTTGGTCCCTGCCAAAGCAGAGCACCGCTTCTCTCCCCCTCTCCTGCAAAGGCAGAGCTGTGCGAGCTGTTTCTAGGTCACTCTGTGCTGCAGGAGATGCTGTGCTGCGTGCTGTGTGCCCGCTGCGTGCTGTGCCCGCTGCCCGCTGCCTCTCCTGGAGCAGCTGGGGCTGCCCAGAGCAGGGATCTGGGGGGCAGCCTGAGCTGGTGCATTGCTGCGTGGCCCCGTGCTCGGGCAGTGCCTAGCGCAGTGACATCCTGCACCAGGGTGGGGGTGACAGCAGTGACACGGACAGCCCCTCCAGCTGCCGCTTGCCCCGTGCTGATGGAAACTGCTGGCAGGTCTGGTTTTGAACAGGTCAGCATCCTCCCCGGTCTGCAGAAATGTCTCTGCTGACTCTGCTGAGCAGTGTTTGGCAGCCAGAGCCACCGGTGTGACCGACAAAGTCAGGTTATCTCCTCGGTGTTTGATTTGCAGCCAGCGCTGCTGCCAGTCTGGGTTGGGTGCCAAGCTGGAAAATGCCACTCGAGGCATTTTCTTAATTGCTCATCGCAGACAGCAGGTGGAAGCAGGCTTCAATGTTTAGCTGCTCCGATATCCTCCCCCCCAGGGCCCTGCAGGTCCGGAGCTTCCTGGCCGGAGCCCTTCAGCCCCACTGACCCCATTCCTGCCAGCCGCTCTCCTTCCTCTCCGAGGCTGGTGGGAGGCGACCCCCTTGGCACGGTGCTGGTGCAGGCTGCACAATGGAAGGATGCTGCTGACTTCCTCCGGTGTCCCAACAAGGGGGGGCTGCAGAACTCAGCGTGCCGCCGCCGTGGCTGCTGCAGCTCCTTCCTCCTGCAGCAGAGGCAGCCTGGTCCTGCTGCTGCGCCCCTGTGATTCCCATTTCTGTCTGCTCCACGAGGTCCCTGGCAGGATCCAGGCAGCCGTGAGCCGGTTTGAAATGCAGCGGTGTGGTCGCTCCATGTTTTTTTTTTGGGGCAGCAGCGATTTGTGAAGTGGCAGGCAGGGAGGAGGGGGAGGAAGGAGGAGCTGAGGCTGCAGAGCGCGGTGCTGCGGCACGGCTCGCAGCGCGCCACACATGCTGAAGATCTCCTTATGTAAAATTCATCTGCAGAAATCAGCTCTGCTGCCTCCGCTGGGGGGAAGTGGCTGCGTGGTTCTGCTCAGAGCAGATGCAGGCAAGAGGATGTTGAGGTTCTGCTGCTGCTTTGCCCTCTTGTTTTTTTCAGATAGGCTCTGATAAGAGTCACTTAGCCCACTTGTGGCTCGGTGTCTGCTGCACAGTGGCCGTGGGCTCTGTGAGGCTCGTTGTCCCCAGCACCCTGGTGACGTGCTGGCGGTGCTGTGCTGCTACCCCACGTGCCTGGGGCCGTGGGCTGCCTCTGCCACTGACCTGCTGGGGCGACCGGCAGCGCCTGTGCTCTTGGGGGGGGTTGGAAATGCTGCGTGAGGGGCTAAGAGCCTCCCTTTGTCAGAGTCCAGACAGTGGAAGCGCGCAGCAATGACACATACATTTAATAAGGACACCAACAGATGGAAGCTTGGAAGAAAGGTTCCCTGTAGGGAGGTTATTTGAGATGCTCCACGATGAGGAATGAGGCCCTTTGAAGTGCCTGATAGAGGCTGGTGTCAGAGGCAGCCAGACCAGATGGACGGGTCCCTCCCGATGCAGAGGCCTCTCTGCCCATGCGGAGCATTCCTGGCGCGGCGAGCTGGCCGATGATTCACAGAACAGCATCGAGCTGTGGTCTTGGCCTGCCACGTGAGCGTTTGGTGTGGCTATGGAGGGCCGGCAGTGCTGCTTTTCCATGGGCTGGGCTGGCTTTGCAGCTGGCCAGTTGTCTGCCCTTTCCCAGCCTGTACCTGGGAGCTGCTGATGGAGCAGGGTGTGTGTGCCGGCCGTCAGCACGGGCACTGGGGAGCTGCAGGCTCCACGACAGCAACTGTCCAGAGCTGATAATGCTGCTGCCTGTAAGGGATCCGCTGCCAGAGCCCCGGACATTCCTTGCGGTGCTTCAGTAACGTTATGCTCCTCTCTCTAGCAAAGCATGTGGGAGGTAACGGGCTGGGGAGTGAGAGCCCTGGTTAGGGGGAAGGTTCCCAAGGGAGCTGCATGCCAGCCTTGCTTTCTGAAGGGACAATTTGCTGTTATTTCTAAACAATGGTTTAATAAATAAATAAATCTCGCTGCCACGGAAGGATATAGCATCAGCCAGGGCCAGCGAAGTCGGCATTTCCTTGGAAAACAGCGGGGGCAGGTGTTTCCTTCTCCTCCGTCCCCGGCTCCAGCTCCCCACACCCGACCCCCGGCAGCGATCGGCTCCTTTTGGGTCCCGGCCGCCCCCTCCTCGCCCCTGGGAGCGAGGCTGCCCCGAGCCCCCGGCCCCATGGGGCAGCTCCCGGCGGCTGGGGGTCGTTTGCTGGCACGGCCCGGGTGGGTTGGGGGCAGGTGCAGCCCCTGGCCGGCCTTGGAGAGGTTGGGGCGAGAGTGGGGGCTCCCTGCGGCCACGGGGGGGCTGTGCCCGGTGTCCCCGGCTCTGCCCGGTGCGCCCGGCCCCGGTGCGCGCTGCGGGCCGCCAGCGGAGGGGCGGTGCGGTGCGGGGGGCGCGATGCCCTCTGCGCCCGGAGCGGGGCAGGCGACCCCCCCCAGCCCCGGCGACCCCCCCTGCCCGGCGACCCCCCCCTGCCCCGGCGACCCCCTCCCCGGTCCCGGCTCCCTCCCCCTTCTCCCTCTCCCCCCCCGTCGGGGCTCCCCGCCCCGGGCCGCTCCCCCGGTCGGCGCCGCCGGGGGGCGCGGGGCGGTGCGGGGCGGTGCGGGGCGGGGGCGGGCGCTCTCCCCGGCGGCAGCGGCACGGTCCGGGGAGGGCCCAGCGCCGGCAGCCGCCGAGCGGCGGCGGGGAGATGCGGGCGGCGGGGGCCTGAGCCGAGCCGAGCTGCGGGAGCGGCGATGGCGTTCAGCGCCTGGCAGCTGCTGTCCCCGGTGCAGTGGGCCAGGTGGACGTGGTCGGCGGTGCGCGGCGGGGGCGCCCCCGAGGGGGAGGACGGAGGGGTCGGCGGAGAGGCGGAGGAGGACTCGCAGGAGGAGAGCAAGGCGCTGGGCTTCAGGCAAGTACGGGGACGGGCGCGCTCGCCCTGGCCCGGCTGCATGCGGGGCTGCGCCGTGCATGGGGCGCCCGCCGCTCCCGGCTCCCCCCAGCCCCGCTCGCCGCTCCCCGCCTCGCATCGCCTTTGGCTCCTCGGCAGCGCTGCCCCCGGGGGCTGCCCGCGGCTGCTCGGCGATGGCGAGCTCTGCTCTCCGGGAGAAGGTGCCGTGGAGCGCTGGGCACCGGGGCCGGCTCCCCAAATTCGCTGCGTCGCGGCCCCCCGAGCCCTAGGGGAGGATGCCGCGTCCCTGGAGGTCAGTGGTGGGTGCTCGGAAAGCTCGGGGTGACCGGGAGAGCCCTGGCAAAAGCGACCCCCGGGGGCTCGGGGGGTGCGCGGGGGGTGCTGCTGCTCCTGTTTCACCTGCTCTCCTTTTCCGTTTGCTAGCGTGGCCGCTGGAAAGGACAGGGGCGGCCGCAGGATGCCTGCAGCGGGCTGGCCGGGCCCGGGAGCCGGTCTGGCTGGATGTGTAGGCGGTGCGGAGCATTTCGGAGCTAGCCTTGAAAGTGGTAATTCCTCACTCTTTTCCCCCCCCTCGGCAGCTCGGACTCCGAAGGTAATTTTGAGACCCCTGAAGCAGAAACGCCGGGCCGCTCGCCGCTAAAGGAGCTCTGCGAGCCGCCGCCGGGACCCCTGCAGCCCGAGGCCGGGACCCAAGGTAAGGAGCGAGCGAGAGCCTCCTGCGTGTCGGCTCTGTGCTGGGCTGCAGAAAAGCAGGGTGGGGTCAAGGAGGAGAAGTCGCTTGTTTTGAATAATGCCTGCCACATTTTTTGTGGTTAATGGCCTGGATGGTTCAAATGCCAGCACTCGGGGCTGTGCGCGCTCTGCGGAGGGCTGTTCTCCGGCGTGGGTTAAAGGCTGAGTTCGCTGAATCCCTTCGGGAGGGCAGGGATGGCACTGCAGGCTCCAGAGAGTCAATTCAGCCCCCCTTGGCTCATGCCTGTGCAGGGTGAAATTATCAGCGGGCCGTTTTGCAACCGCTGGTCACACCCTGCCACTGTCCCCACGCCGAGATGGGGAGAGAGCGATGGGGAGAGAGCGTGGCTGCAGGAGGTGGGGGCCGTGAATGGGTTCTGTGAGCTGCCGGGCTGGGGCTGAGCCTGGGGATGCAGAGGCTGCAGCCAGGACGGCTGTGATGGATTGATGGAGAGGAACAAAGGATTTTGTTGAATCATTTTGTCTGTTAAACCGCCCGGCTCCCGCTTCCCTCGCTGGCTGTGCAGAGCCCGGCGATGCCTCCCGCTGCTTCCCGGCACGGGGGCACGGGGTGGTGGGAGCTGCCTCGCGCGTGCCCTGCGGTGGAGGTCTCGTTGTGCTGGGTCCCTTTTTCCCAGGGAGAGCAGCCTGGCATTTCTGCTGCATTGTGAAAAATGCAGAAGCTCGGTGCTGCTGAGCAGGAGAAATCGCGGGGGATCAGCTGCAACCCAGGGGGTTTCTGTTGGCAGCGGCCGGTGCTGCTCCTGGTCTGTCCCCGTGTCTCACCGCTGCTCCTCTGAGTGGGGCTCTGTTAACCCTTGGCCTCTTGGGCACCATCTCCCTCGCCCTGGTTGTGCTCCTTTCTCCATGGGGAATCGCAGCTGCTCTCTGGGGCTGAGCTCTGTGTTTGGGTTTTGTGCTGCAGGAGGGGGCTTTGAAGCTCTGGCGTCTCTGCAACAGGCACGGGAGGTTATCGGGGCAGGGAGGGGACCTCTCCTTCCTCTGCTCCTTTTGCAGAGCAGGGTGACCGGGCGGTGTCAGGAGTTTTGCAAGCCCCAGCAGGAGGAAACGTTTCCGGGGCAAGGGCAGCGTGCATGGGGCCCTCTCGAGCATCCCCTGCTCTCACCCAGCTGCCCCTCACTGCCAGGCCCCCGCTCTGGGACTTGCAATCTTGGGCTTTTCTTGAACACTTGCAGCAGCAGCAGGCTGGCACCTCGCTGCTCGGCTGGGTTTAAGAGATGTGCCTGGTCTGGGGCCCATCCATCCCCATGGAAAACACAGATTTCTTTTTTTTTAATTTAATTTTTTTCCACCCCTGGATGAAGAGAGAGCTCGGTTTGTGCCTCTGATAATCTCAGCTCTCAGAATAATCCTTCCCTTTAAGAAGGGATAGAGGCATCTTTAGTCTGTAGGATAATGTCTGAGGGGGAGAGGAAAGATGAAGGCTTTCCTGGGAAATTCCCCTCGCAGACATCAGGGTCTTTCCACTTGAGGAAGCGCGTTGTTTCGGGGAGCTGCCGTCCCGACCGCGTGTTTGTGCCAGTTCCCTGCCGCCGCCGAGCAGCCGGTGCCTGTGCACAAAGGTGGCAGTGTTGTGGGGCCAAGGATGGTGCTCGCTGCAAAGCTGGGTTTCTGCTCTGCCCTGCGGAGAGCTGGAGGCTGGGGAAAACAGGGCCAAACCCACAGTCTCGTGGTGCTCCCAGCTCAGTCCCTGCCCTGCCCAGGCTTCAGGAACCGCTGTGAAGGGCTGCAGGGCAGGGGCTCCCCGTGAGGAGCTCGGGGTGTGCAGAAGCTTCCTGGGGTGCGCGCTCCCTGTACCCCAGCTGATGTGAGGCCTCATCTCCCTGCTGCTTCCCAGCTCTGACGGGGCTGTCCTGCAGCAGCCTGTGCCCTTGTGTGTGTGTCGGGAGCAGAGGAGCAGGAGGAGATCCAGCCTAATGTCCCTGCGGCCCCGGCGGAGCTGCCGTGAGGGTCGGTGCCCTGTGGTGCGCAGGATTTGGCCCCTGTGCTGCTGTCATGGCAAAAACTGCCCAGCCCAGACCTGCGGGTGCAGCCTTCCCCAGGCGTGTCTCTGCTTTCAGGGACAAAAATTCAGCTGGTCCCATCCCCCTGGGTGGGGGGCTGTGGTTAGGCTTTATGCCCGTTCAGGATCCCTCAAACAGCTTTCCTCCTGCTGGCTCGGATGACAGAGGCTGTAATTCTGTCCCGTTCGTGCTGAAGTTATCTTCAGTCACGTGCCAGGAGGAGATATCTGTGCAAGGGAGCGAGCAGAAGCAACAAATATGGAGCCGTTAGCGACGGAGCAGCGCTCGTCAGCCTTCGCTTCTGTTGCCCTGATGCAGGGCACGTGTTATCCGGTGTGTTTCCGGCAGCATCGCCTGTCGGTATGCTAATTCTTAACAGAAAAGGTTTTAAAAATAGACCGATGTCTGCTAAACGAAAGCGGGAAGCCAGGGGAGGAAAGAAGTCGTTAGCTACGTAAGCCCGAGCTGAATGCACAGTCCAGATATCCTGTGCTCGGGCTGTGTGTGCGAGCAGAGGCAGAGCTGCGTTGACTCACGCTGTGCACAAAGCGAGAGGCAGTCGGGGGCGGCGGGGAGCGGGGGGGGTGTTCTCGGCAGCATTCAGGGCTGCGTGGGGAATCAGCGCTGCTTCGCTTGGCTGCTGTGGGGGATGAGAAGGGCGCGGGGTCTCTGCGTCGCAGCGCTGCTGCTGCTGCCAGGTTTTACTGATTCATTCGAGGGCTGGCGTGCAGGAAAGCTGCTCGGTTAGTCGGCGTTGCTGCGTAATTTCAGCCTAAGGAGCACAAGCGCGCCGATTACAGTGCACGCGCACAACGCGGCTATTACCGCGGTGCCAGACTGTCCCCTCGCCACGCTTTTCTTCAGAGCATAAAATCTCCATTTTCTCCATCGTACCTGCTCCGTGTCCACCGGCAGGACCAGAAGCAGGCGTGCACCCGTGCCCGACCGGCACAGCTGCTGGCACCGCCAGGGACCCCCGGGCAGCGCGCAGGCTCTGCCCTGTCCCCTCTGCAGGCAGCCGAGCTGCTGTGGGTGCAGGAAGGGAGTGAGAGGCAGAAGTGAAGGCTCTGGAGGCGGCGTTTGTGCATTGCACGGTGAGGTGTGAAAGCACACGAGGTGTGAAAGCACACGAGCTGTGCTGGGCAGGCTGCACTCCCGGCACGCGGGGACGATCCCTGGGGTGCGCGGAGCTGCCCGGGGCAGGCGGATCCCGAAGGAACACCCTTGTGAGCGCTGCTGCCTGCACTCAGCCCTTCTCTCCCCGCCCTGAGGACATCCACAGGGATGGGGAGAGGTGGTTTTCGCTGCCGCCTGCTTGTTATTCAAGAAGTAATTACTCATTGCTTGGGCTGGAAACCAGGATGGGCTTCTGTCTGTGAGAACGTCTGCTGCAAAACCTTCTGGTGGGAATGCAAAATGCATTTAAAAGGCGCCTTTTGCCCAGGCTTTGAAGTCTGTTCTTCCATTCAGGGATGTCTCACTGAAGTTTAAAACATTTGAGCAAGGCAGCAAATTAATCAAGTTTTCTCTGGGTCTGTTAGGAAGGTTTTTTGGTTCCTAGGGATGGGAAGGCAGGGGCTGCCTCAGAGCCTTTTCTGGCTGCGCTCCAAGGACATTTCCACTGGATTTGTGTTTACCGATGCGTTCTGTGGGGCAGCAAGGCAGTGTCTGTCCAGAGGGAGTTTTTTGCAGTCTCAGGAGCACACAGCCCCTCCTGATTCATTTCCACGGCTTTTAGCATCCTGGAGATCAATTATGCAAACCACGAGCTGTCAGCTGAGTCAGGGCTGCTGGCTCGGTGTCCTGGCTTCTCCCAGGAACCAGATCCCTGCCAGATTCCCTTTCCATTTCTGCCAGCCTGGGACTGGCACGGCTGCCAGCAGTGGCCTTGGTGGGGGTGGCGCGGGCGCGGGGCTCAGCCGGTGCTCGCTGCCTGCCTGGCTCCAGCCTCCTCCTGCAGCACCGCAGGCGATTCCTGCACCCTCCCACCCCCTATGGCCATGTTACCGGGAGCTGGACATGTTTATGGCCTCAGAGGGGCAAGCAGCTTCCCCCTGCCTAAGCTCAGCACCCAGCCTCCCGTGCCCCCGCTGCTGGCCAGGTTTCAAACCAGACCAGGCTGTGGGTGAGCACCGGTTTTGTTCTGCCCATCAAAGTCCTGGCTGCATCTCCCCAAAAAGATGCCAGGGAGCACTGCAGGGTCCTGGGCACTCCCCGGTGGGTTCTGAGTAGCCCGATGGCCCCTTCTGCTTTATCCTGGGAGTCTGAGCAAAGACCCTGGCTGAGGTGCGGGGAGGAAAGACCCCAAGGTGTGGGGAGGAGAGCCGCGGGTGCGCTGGGTGCTGGTGGGTGCAGCTTTCAGGGGACTCGGTTCGTGAGGAGCTTCCCCATCCCCTGACAGCAAGGAAGAGATGAAACAGTAAAAGGATTTAGGGGAAGGGCTTGGAGTAATAGCGATTAAGTCATGGATCAGGATTTGTGATTAAGAGGCTCTGACAGCAGCGTGGTGAGCCGGCTGGATCGTGCCGGCAGGGGTCTCAGTGTGGGGCTGAGTTTTGGCCGTGCTGCAGGGGTCCGGGGGTGTCAGAGCCACCCCAAACAACTCCCCCCGCTGCTGGCCAGCCCCAGGACACCGCTCCCCTCCCACCCCATCACCAAACACACGGGTGGTGCTCTCCCTCCGCTGCGTGCCGGAGTGCTGCGGAGACATTTTGTGGGCAGGAGCATCAGCAGCCTGCAGCTCCTGGAGCACACGGGCTGGGTTCTACCCCCGACAGGGGTGAGGGCTGTCGGCAGTGTTGGATGCCAGTGGGGGTGTCTGCGTTTTGGGATGGCAGCTGGTTGCCGTGAAGGCAGTTGCCAGGGGGATGCAGAATCCCTTCAAGGGGAAATGGGACCTTAGGAAAGCACCGGGCATGGGAGAGGTGAGCACGGCCTCGCTCACCTCCCTGCTTCGGAGGAGGCCTCGGGGAGGGGGCACAGCGGGAGTGATGAGGGTCCCCAAGAGAGCCCCGGGAGCATCCCCCTGCCCCATGCCCCTCAGCCCTGCGCTGGCTGCCTGCAGGCGGCTGACCCCGAAATCCCCTCTGCAGCCTGTAATGTGCTTACTCATTCAGCACAGCATCTCACTCCCATTCACCCCGGGGCTTAATCACGTTTCCTGGTGTTTTCTCCTGTCATGCTTCCCTGAATTTGTCCCGGTAGCATTTAACCCCCCGCCCAGGTGCGCAGCGGTGCCCTGCTGCTGCCCCCACTCAGACACAAGTCTTTTGGGCTGTCCTGGCCCCTGTCTGGTGGCTCTGGGCGGCTCTGGCACTGCAAATCCCCTCTGGAGCTGCCGGCACCCCGGGTGGGAGCAAGTGGTGGGAGAGCAAAGACATAAATGGAGATGTTGGTGGCTCTGCTGGCGTGGTGCAGAACAATGCCTCCCCACAGGGGTTCGCCCTGCGCGTGGTGGCTTATGTACATTCCCTCCACTCCATTCACAGGCTTTGAATTTTAGAGAAAGTGCTTGCAGTGGAGCTTCGGGAGGCTTTGGGTCAGTCAGCTCCTGTAAAATTTGGTCCTGGAGCAGGCACGAGGAGGGGAGGGAAACCCAAGCCTGGTGCCTGGCTCCTGCACGGGGCTCGGCTGTGTGGTGCGGGCAGGCAGGGCTCTGACCGGCTGCTTTCTCTTTGCAGGGCACACAGAGCTGCTCGGGGCTGCCTGCCAGGACAGCTCGCGGGGGCTGCACCCCGAAGATGCGGCGCAGCCAGAGATCGGAGCCCCTGCAGCCGATGCGGGGAGCACAGGGGAAAGCGGCCCTGAAGACCCATCGCTGACACAGCCACCGGCTGCAGCCCAGCACCCGGCTGCCCTCGGGACTGGGGCTGGCGCTGGCTGTGCTGTGGGGCCGGCCCCGGTGCCCCATGCGGGCACAGCCACCCACGAGCCGGTGATGTCGGGAGGGGACCCGGCCGGTGGGGACGTGGGGCTGGCGGAGCAGGAGGAGGATGGCTTGGCACAGGAGAGCTCACCCGGTCAGGGCCAGCTCCGAAAGGGAAAACCACCTTCCCCGGGGAGGAAAGGAGAAGGAAGCGTGGAGCCTGCTGCGGAGGAGCCCCTGGTGCCCCCTGCTTCCTACCACTTCGACCCCGAGCAGTACGATGAGAGCGTGAACCCCTTTGTGGCAGGGGGCTGCAAGCTGCAGAGCTCCCCTCCGACCCCCCGCCGCGTCCCGCTGCCAGTGAGCGAGCCGGGAGGGGACCTGGCCCCCCAGACCAAAGGGCAGGTCCCGAAAGCTGAGGTCGACGTCACGGAGGGTGGAGAGGGCACAGAGACACGGAGAGCCACGCCGAGGAAGGGCAGCAGGATACCGGCCAGCAAGCTGACACCGAAGAGGCACCGGGATCCCACGAGAAAGCCTGCTGAGGACGCAGAAAGGGGTCCACCGGAGCCAGGGGTTCCCCAGGGCCCCCCCAGGGCAGCTGCTGCGCCGTGGGACAGCCCAGACCCCAACCCTTTCAGTGGCAGCCCAGCGCTGCAGCACTCGCCCACGCTCCCCAAGGGCTCCTACCAGTTCGACCCCGATAACTTCGACTCCATGGATCCCTTTAAGCCCACCAAGACCCTCGCCAGCACCGCTGACTGCTGCCCCGCTGCCGACAACAGCCTGAACGAGATCCTCGAGTCCCAGACGCTGGAGGTGCCGGATGAGCTCACGCAGGGCAGGGACTCCCCGAAGAAGCCCAAATCGCGCCTGATAACGTGAGTGCCATGGCACACCCAAACCTTCTGGCAGAGCAACCAGCACCTCGGGCTTTCGTGTTGCTGCCCCCCTGGTTCTCTCTGCCCTTGTCCCGGTGGGGTGCGTCTCCCCTCTCCCTGCCAGCCCCCCGGCTGCTCAGGGGCAGGTGGGGTGAGAGGGACGGGTGTCACGGAGCGGGGCCGGCACGTGGTGCACTGCAAAGCTGGGGGCTGGAGCAGGACCTGCACAGTGGGATGATTTTGGGGTCTGGCTGGGGGCAGAGGTGCCCGTGCTGTGGGGTCAGGGGTCCCAGTGAGCCTCTGCAGTGCGGTGGGAGGCTGCCGGGCTCTCTGGGCGCACAGCAGCGTGTGTGGGGCTGCAGCTGGGGGTGGCTCCTGGCTGGTCGGATGCTGCTGGGGCATCCTGGGCACTGCCACTGGATTTCCCTTTTTGCGACAGGGGAAGAGGAGGAGGTTAACAGGCAGGCCCTTCGTTGCTTTGTCACACCTGCACGGGCGGTGGGGACCTCGTTGTCCCTCGCCAAACTATCCCAGCGCATGTGGGAAGCTTTCAGTGCAGGTTTAGTTCCTGCACCGTGCTATTTAAAACTCTAATGTAAGCAGGGACGTTTCCTAATGCCTGTGGGGAATGCAGGCAGCAGTACCCTCCTCTGGGAGCAGGTTTAATCATAAACCTTGCTATTTTCCTGGTTTTTCACCTATCCTATCATGAATGTCCTCCAAACCGTGTGGCAGCACTGAGTCTGCCCAGCCAATTTGGGGTCCTTCCAGGATAATTTGTGATTGCACTTAGCACTGGTGGCTGGAACGAGTTGAAAGCAAAAGCAGGAAATAAGCTTAAAAGGGGAAATTTGGGGAGCACAGGGGTTGTGGCTGATTTGACTGTAAAAGCAAAACAAGCCACCGCTCTGCTAATGGGATATCCAGTGGGAAAGCTGGAGGGGGGTTTGTGCGGGGACAGGAGGTAACGCCTGGGAGGCAAAGCCACGGGCACGGTAGCAGTTTGTGTCTTAGACTGTGCAAAGGATCGAGGCGGGTGTCTGCAGAGCAGGAGCTGGCCGTGGGTGGAAGCAGCAGGAGAGCTGCAGCCCCCTCTCCGTCACCCCAGAGCTGCTGTGGAGCAGGGCTCCCGGTTCAGTCTCATCCCACCTCTGGGAGCAGCGAGTGCAGAGTCTGAGCATCCGTTATCTGTGTCCTTCCCAACAAGCCAGAGCTGTGCAACTCGTTGTGTTTCTCCAGTCGGGAGCTAATACCCAGGTCTTTTCACACGCTTTTCTTCTCTCCATCTGTCTGTCTCTTTCCTGTCTATTCTCGGGTGCATCAGGACCACTGAACAAGTGAAATTTCTCTGTTTTCTGTTGTAAGTACTCTCTGCTGCCTTTCTGTCATCCTTTCCTTGGTTGCTTTTTTCTGTTCTCTCTCCGACTGGGTGTGTGTTGGCCCCACACGTCTCCATGGCATGCAGGCTCCTCCTCGCCCTGCGCCCCGCGCTCTGCTCCTGACCCGTGCCCCCCGCGCCCGGGGCACTGAGAGCTGCACTGGAGGCCGGTGCCTGTGCTTGCTCTCACAGCATGCCCACCTGCAACGCGTTCCGGCGATGTACATCCTTGAAATCAGTGTGTCGGGGAGGGGGGCAGGTTTGTGAGTGCGGTCCAGCTCCAGATTTTAGTCCTGGAGGGGAGGGTGTTTTACCGGTGCCATGGAAAATCCCTGGGGAAGGAGCTGCTGTGGCAGGGAGTAGGGTGGAAAGCACCGGCTGGAAACAGGTCCCTGGGAGAGGAAGCTGCTGGTGCTGCCTCTTGTGAGGGCAGTGGGAGGGCTGGGCTTATCCTTGGTCTTATGTCATCCATCTGAACGCCCTTCTTGTCTGCTTAGTGCCCGTTGCCATATGCACGAGCAAAATTAGAGCTTGGCTCAAGCGCGGACATCTGTGTCTCGGCTGAGAGCTGCCCTGCCTTGTTACAGCCTGACTTTGTGCAGTGGCTCTTTGGGTTTGGGACCTGCAGCCTGGCGGCTCTGCCTGTGCCCGAGCAGCCAGCGGGCACGTGGGCAGCGCTGCGAGATCTGGGGTTATCCAGCCAAAAATGCTGGTGCCCAGAGCACATCGGGAACGGGGCTGCTGGCGTCCGCCTCTGCTGGCCTTGGGGCTGGGGTCTGAGCTTGGGCTGCCCACCTTGCCCTGCTGCACACCCCCTTGAATCACAGAGCTGCTGTCGTGGTGTGCAGGGGGAGATAAAGCAGCCACCAGGCAGTGTGCCCGCAGCATCCGGAGTGGCTGGGCAGAGCGGAGAGGTTGCCATGGGCATGGTGAGCTCATGCCGGGGTGTGGGCACTGCTCTCCTTCCCGTGCAAGGGGTGAGGGCCGTGGTGGTGCAGTCATCTCACTGCTGGCGGTGGCACCGCATGTGCCGGGGCTGCTCCGTGACCGTCTGTCTGCTGCCTCCAACTGGTTCAAGATGCTGCAGCCCGTTATGTTGGCATGGAGCAATGTCTGCGGTCCCATGCAGCCAGCCCAGCAGCTGGCAGGATGGCATGTCCCATGATGAAGCCTCAGGAGAAGCTTTCAGTCATGGATCACCTGTGAGAGCAACCTGAGCTCAGCCTTCTCCCCTCCGCAAGGCTCTCCTCCTCCAGACAGCTCCTGCACCCTGAGGAGGGAGCGCAAAGCTCAGCGGGGCTGTCCTGCAGCAGGGCAGAGCTCTGGCCGGGCAGGCCTGGCCCACGTGGGACCATGGATGCTGCAGGGTCAGGGCAGCCTGGAAGTGCTTCATTCCCACAGCAAAGCAGCGTGCCCTCAGGCGTAGCGCCACTCGGGATGCACAGGCGAGCGTGCAGCAAGGGACACCGTTCGTCTCAGGCTCCTTGGCAATTGCCTCTCTCGCTGTCAGTACCTTGGGTGTTATCTCTGACCCTTACCTTCAACAGGAATAAACATCTTGAAGACAAACCCTTTGTAGTTGTGTGTTTTTTTGTGCTTGTTCCTTCTGTTTGTTCCAGAACTTGCCCTGCCTCGGTACCGGTGAGTGTTTTCGCTGTTGCGCAGCGGGTGCAATGCTAGCGCTGGGGCTGCTCCCCTCTGCTTGGGCTGTCTCGCACGCGCCCCCCGCCTCTCCCCCTCCTCCAGCCCCTGTGAGCCCCAGCTCAGCCCGGCTCCTTCTCTCTGTCCCACAGGAGCGGCTGCAAGGTGAAGAAGTACGAGACGCAGGCACTGGTGCTGGACGTCTGCGCCCAGGTAGGTGGGAGGGCTGCTGCTGGCGCGGGGTGGCACAAGGAGAACTCCCCAAAATGAAGTAACCGGGGTGCCCAGGCACGGCCAGGCAGCTCTGTGCTTTGCTGGGGCCGTGCGTGCGGTGTCTTAGGACTTAGACCTGTCCCCTGCTGTGGGGCAGAGCAAAGCACCGAGCTCTGCGGTCGGGTTAATGGATTCTGCTCATTAATTCCTTCTGCTTGGGGCCTGGGGGGCTTCCTTCTGCCCAAGCCTGCCGAGTGGCTGGTGGGGAGCAGTTGGCCGTGGGTGCTGAGCCTCCCCGTGCTTCCCGCTGGCCATCCTGAGCCTGGCTGCCTGAGCCCCGCGGATTAGCTCGGTCCTGCTTAACCGCATGCCTTGATCCCGCAGGATGAGGGAGCGTTGATCTCAGAAATCCCAGATATTGCAAATCGGGATGGACATGCCACTGATGAAGAGAAGCTGGCCTCCACCACCTCCGTGCAGAAACCAGCCGGGCTGGAGAAGAAGGGAGAGCCCGAAGATGACCTGGAGTACTTCGAGTGCTCGAACGTCCCCGTGCCGGCGGCAAAGCACGGCGTGGAGGCAGGTAGGGAGCGTCCTTGCTGCCTCTGGCTCTGGAGGTGAGCCATGCCCGCACCTGGGTAATCCCTGCAGCCTCTGGCAATGCATTCGTGCTGTCGAGGCAACACAGCTTCATCACGTCTCATTTGTGCTGATAGGACTAAAGGTTACCGCAAGCCATAATGAAACCTCCGATTGCTTATCTGTGTGCTTTCATTATGGAAACATCGTGGTGCAGGCAGCCTTCATCCAGACTCCTTCAGCCTGGAGCACTCTCCTGGTGGCACTGTGCTGGGAAGCCCTGCAGCTCCCGGCTCGCCTGCAGCCCCTTTCCCTGGGCACGCTGCCCTCCTGGAGGGGACCAGCTTTGTTCCAGCCCCGCAGGATGAGGCCGGCACCTACCCAGATGCAGGCTGACCTGCTCTCAGTAGTAAAACACAAATGTAAAGTCAGGGCTGTTATTCTAAGTGTCAATCCTGCTTGGGTTTTTCTCATCCTCACTGTGAGCAGAGGCAAAGCACGAGTTATGAGCAGGCTGATTTTGGTTATTGTGGTCACAAGAAGTGCTCCCTAAGTAGCGCCTCGGGTGCGCAACGCATCGTGCCGCTGTGCACTACCAGTGTCTGTTTCACCAAGGACAGCCAAGGCAAGGGCTGAGCTGGGCAACTCGTCCAGCCCAAGGGGGACATGTTCCTGGCATGCCCTGTGCCTGCCTTCGAGGCTGCAGGGCCCCTGCCTGCACCAGGGCAAAGCTGCTGGGACGTGGTGGCTCCCAGCACACAGGGCTCTGGCTAATAGAGATCTCCAGGTTGCTACAGAAGCCTGCACTGGCGCTACTGCTGGTGCTTTGCTGCCTGTCTCCTGTGTAATTAACTGCTCTGACCAATCCATTAAAATATAATTAAAAGCCAGGCAACACGGCACTTAATCAATAGCAAAGTTATAGGTGCAAACAGAAATGGCTGCACGGAAGGTTTGCAGCTGTCTCCTGTGCAGCCACCCATTAATCCCCGCTCCTGAATGTCATGTGGAGCTGCAAACCTCTCAGGAGAGGAAAACAGCCCTTCGTCTCGTGGGGGGGGGAGACTTGTACAGCTAACGGTGAGCCTGGGAGGCGTTAGTTATTGCTGCTGGTCTCAGAGGACACTCAGGCTGCTGGCCATGGTGGAGGGATAAATGGGGAAATCCTGAGGAATCTGCAGCCACAAGCTTCATGTTGCATCTTTTTCTCCCTAGCTGCATTCTTGCATTATTATTATTTATTAATTTTCTGTCTGGTTAACAGGTGAATAACCAGTCATGTCCGCAGTTGTTTCCACAAGGTTCATAAAGCACATCCCAAGTTCCATGGGGTGGGAGGGTGTCCCGAGCACTCCGACTGGAGGAGAGCCTGCAGCTTCTCTCCACTGCTGCCAAGAACAGAAGGGGCCATGTGCAGCTCCTTCGGCCCCGGGCCCAGCTGGCGTGGGGCTGGTGCAATTTGGGGTGGCCGAGCAGGGGGCTTCCCCCACCCGAGATGTCCGGGGCATCCTCAGCACCATGGTCCCCAGGAACTGCTGCCATGGCAGCTGCCGGGACGTGTGGGGCCACCAGAGGGGAGTGTTGGCTTCCACCAGGGCACGAGAGGCTGCCGGGGGTGCAGGATGTGTCCTCTTCACGAGGGCAGGAGCTGGGGGCAAAGAATCCTTTGGGGAGGGAGCTCAGGGGACACGGAGACTCAGCCACACAGCTCCGCACCCCAGCAAACCCCCTTTGCCGCCGGGGTCTTGCTTCCAGGCAGCTAAAATGTTGAATTTCCCTGTTTTTAGGCTTTGAGAAGGAGCTCTCCAAGCAGATGGACAAGGATGGGCCTGGTGCCTTCCCTGTAAGTGCCACTTGAATCCTCCCTGTGCCTCGGGGCGGCTCTGCCTGCTGGTGTGAGGCTGTGGGGTGCTGAGGGCTGGTGCTGGTGCTCCTGCCCTGCTGGGCAGGGGGAGGCTGCAGCAAACGTCCCACTGCTCCCAGAAGTGCTGCCAAAACCTCTCTGAATTCACAGTGTGCAAAGCGGGAGCACAGAGGCTGTGTCTGTGAGGAGGAAGGAGGCTGGGGCTGGCCCTGCTGGTGCCGGTGCCTCCTGCGAGGGAGGCTTGGATGCAGCTTTCGGGAAGCCGGCTGACAGCAGAGAGGGGGATTAAGGAGGGCAGCCCACTCAGCAGCCCGGCCCTGCAGCCAGCAGTGCCCCAGCTCTGCTTGGGGCATCCCCGGTGCCCCCCAAGGGGTGGTCGGGGTGGCCCCGAGACCCCGGTGCCACGGGGGGGACCCTGTGCCAGCTTAGCTGCCCCTGGCCAAAGCTGCTGGAGGTGGGAAGCAGATGACAGCGAGATTAGCAACATCAGCAAAATTAGCGTCCCTGAGACAGATTTAACTGCGCTAAGCCCCTCAAGGACGTGAGGCAAAGTGAGCCTTTTGTTCGGTGCTGCTGAGGGCATGGGCTGGCAGTCGCTCCTGGTCATCCCAAAAGGTGGGGGGGCTTGCCATGGGGTAGGCAGCAGGTACAGATACTCGCAGGCCTTCAGGTGCCCACAGGTTTGCAAGATGCCGTGGAGGCTGCTGCAAAAACCACCCCGGGCTGGAGCCCCTGGGAGGCGTGCGGGGCTCCCTGGTGCTGGCATCTGGCAATGGTCGAAGCGCCGGGGAGGAGGGAGAGGGGAGAGAGGGAGAGAGAAGTGTGTTCGTCTCCAAAACACTGCAAAAACAGGTTGGCTTCTCCGCAGCACTTCGCTATTTATGGCCTCACAGCCTGTTTCCAAGGAGATAGCTGCGAGGGGATGATGAGAGGAGGACGAGGCTTGCAGGAACGCTGCTCTGGAGGCGCTCCAGGCCTGCAGGAGCCCTGCAGGCCCCGCACCCTGCCCTCACTGCCGTGCGGCCCTGGGGGACAGGGGCTGGGCCCCGGGAAGAGAAGACCCCGAGCAGTGCTGCTGCAGACCCCACAAATGTCCCCATAGTGCCAGCAGTGTCAGAGGTGTCCCCACCCAGCCTGGAGGTGATGCAGGCAGCCCCCGAGGCTGCTTTAAAGCCCAGCAAAACACCAGGCCCCGAGCTGTCAGAGTGTGCAGGAGGGGGATGCTCGGTGCTTGAGCTGATGAAATGGGGAAGGACACCCCAAATCCGGGAAGGAGGGTGAATAGAAAGTCACCAAAATGCAGCGTCCCAGCCGGGTGATCTCCCCCCACAGGGCAGCCCCGGGCTGTGCCTGCCGGACAAATCCCCCATGGGCATCACCAGCGGGAGCAAGAGCGACAGCCCCCTGGATGGCATCTGCCTGAGCGCCTCCGAGAAGGCGGCCGTGCTCACGCTCATCAGGGAGGAGGTGAGGCCGGGGGCAGCCCCCACACTGCTGCCATGGGACGGGGGGAGCGGGGCAGGCTCTGGGGCCAGGGGCGCACCCGGAGCACGGCCCCAGGGTCTCGTGTCTGCTGCCTCCCAGATAATCACGAAGGAGATCGAAGCCAACGAGTGGAAGAAGAAATACGAAGAGAGCCGTCAGGAAGTCTTGGAGATGAGGTAAAAACCTTCGGCTGCATCCTGCTCGGGGGATGCTGTGCTCTATGCTTGCCCCTAGGAGCTCGGGTTGGGCTGTGGGGCCGTAATGGGATGACACGGTTCGGCGTCAGCCAGGGGGGGACGCCTTATGAGACGTGTTCCCTTTGTGCTTGTGCCATGTTGAGCCTGTGGTTTCCTTGTCACAGGGGTGAAATCCCATTAGCTGCGGCTGGAGGGGGTCTCAGCGCCATGGTGGGAGCTGGAGCCCAGCTCCTGTGCTCCAGGCTCTGCGGCCGGCTGCTGCTCGGGCTGCCTTCATGGCAGGGCACAGGGTGGCGGGGCCCCCTGCTAGAGCAGGGCTGTAGGGGGGTGCCTGCTGCCTCTGACCTGCTCCTGTTCTCCCTCCATCCTAGGAAAATTGTGGCCGAGTACGAGAAGACCATTGCCCAGATGATAGGTGAGGCCCCACCGCCTGGCCGGGTGTTAGGGGCAGGGAGCTGCTGCCGCAGCCGCCCCTGCTCAGTCCCCGCATCCCCATTGCTGGTTCTCCTTCACAGAGGACGAGCAGAGGACGAACATGACGTCCCAGAAGAACCTGCAGCAGCTCACCATGGAAAAGGACCAGGCCCTGGCAGACCTGAACTCGGTGGAGAGGTCCCTGTCGGATCTCTTCAGGAGATACGAGAACCTGAAGGGCGTCCTCGAAGGCTTTAAGAAGGTCCTTGTCTCAGTGTCCTCCCCCTCCTCGTAGCCCCTTGGGGCTGGGGTTCTGTGCAGCGGCTTTCAGGTCCTGCATGGCGCTGCTTCGGCTGCTGCCCCAGCCCTTGCTGAGTCCCCAGCTCTCTGCTGTGCTCCAGCAGCTTGCTGGCAAATGAGCAGAGCCTCTTCCATGCCGTGGGAAGCCAGTGGTGGAGCTGGGCTCACGAGGAGCCTGCTCGCCGGGGCTCTCCTGCTGGTGGCGAGCGCAGGGCATCGTGCCCTGGGGCAGAAACTGTGTCCGAGGCAGGGCAGGTGCCAGGGCAAGGAGCCCTCAGAGCCCCTGGCTCTGTGTACACAGCAGCTTTTCCTTGCTGCTGAGCTGGATAAGGGCTACAGCCCCTTGTAAGCGAGAACCTGGGTCTTTTTAAAGCCTCTTTCTTTCACCTGCAGAACACAGAATCACAGATTCTGTCTCTCTGCTCAGTCCCAGCACAGATGGATGTTCTCTATTTTCCAGAATGAAGAAGCCTTGAAGAAGTGTGCCCAGGATTATTTAAACCGGGTCAAGCAAGAAGAGCAGCGGTATCAGGCTCTGAAGGTCCATGCAGAGGAAAAATTAGACAAGTAAGAGCCGCAGCTGAGGGCTGTGTAGGGTGCAGGCTGGGGGAGGAGGAGGAGGAGGAGGAGGATAGGTGCCTTCTAACCTGTTCTTTGGCCGGGTGCAGCACCAGACCCAGAGCTTGGGGTTGATGTGAAGGTGCAGGCCATGCAGGGGCTCGCTGGTGCTGCTGAGGAGCTGCTGGGGCACCCCTGATGCATGTGGGCACGCAGGAGCCGGGCTGTGCTGGTGCAGCACAGTCTGACATCGCATCACAGGGCTCCTGGCTGTGCCCAACCACGTAACCACGGCCCCCTTCTCTCCAAACCCCCCCAGAGCCAACGAGGAGATCGCCCAGGTGCGCACAAAAGCCAAAGCGGAGAGCGCGGCGCTGCACGCCGGGCTGCGCAAGGAGCAGATGAAGGTGGAGTCCCTGGAGAGAGCCCTGCAGCAGAAGGTAACGCTGCCCCCGGCCTCCATGGGCTGTGCTGGGTTACTCTGGGCTTCTGTGGTGCTGTTTGGGTGCCTGGGCGTCCTTTGGTGCTGGGCTGTGTGCTGCTGCAGGTCCTTGTGCCACGAGTACCGGGGTGAGCTGGGCACCAGGAGTGGTGCCGCCACGGGGGTCCTCAGGGGCTGCTTCTCTTCCAGAACCAGGAGATCGAGGAGCTGACCAAGATCTGCGACGAGCTGATAGCGAAGCTGGGAAGGACAGACTGAGCTCACCGCCCCTCGTCCAGCACTCTGCACTTGGCCGCTTTCCTCGTACCTTCAAGCACTTTGCCTTATTACCCAGGAGCACCCCCCCAGCAGAGAAGCACACGCGTGGCTGCCGGGCCCCGCAGCTCCCCGCGCACCCCAGGGTGGGAGCCCAGGGGCTGGGAGCTTTGCTCAGCCCCCATGGGCGTGCTGCTCCTCGGGGATCCCCGCGAGAGCCCCCCTCACCTGGGAGCAGGTTTGGTGGTGCCCCCCACGTGCTGTCATTTGTTGTCTTCACGTGCTCAACGGCGTGGATCCGGCCTCATGGTAACTCCTGCCCCGGGACGTGCATGGTGCTGGGTTCAGAGCCATCGTGCCCTTGCACTGGTGAGGGGGACCTGGCACATGGGTGTGGAGGCAGCAAAGGGGTCTTGGGGACCCCAGGCACCCGCCGCAGCCCCTGGCTGAAGCAGGCTCTCAGTAGGGTGTTTTGGGGGAGGCAGCACTATTCTGGGGGCTGATCCTGGCTGCTGGCACATCGGTGACCCCCAGCACAGCACATCCTGGTCCCTGGCCGTGCCAGCCCCTGGGGAAGGCTGCCTGCATCGCTGTGTCCGTGCACTTTATTAGCGTTGCACTTGGCTCTCTGCTGACTTCTCCCAGCTGGGCACGGTCCTGCCACGCATCCCCTTCCCTCGGCGCGGGTACGGCCGCTCCATCAGCAGTACCCTCATCTCCATGAGAGCCCGACCTCGCGCCGCAGTGAGGTTAGTCCCCCACTTCTGATGTTGCAGCAGGAAGGAAGCAAGCCCTAAACGTCTCCACAGTTCTGACTTAGAGCTCCCTTTCCAATCAGTACAGAAAGGTGAGGAGAGATGCAGTCGTGCTCTGGGTCTTGCTGCTCTGAGAAACCCCCTTGCAGCACCGAATACTAAGAGAATCAAACAAAAGCTGCCTTTACAAGAAAAGACAGATCCAGACAGCAGTAAAACGCGCTTAGAAATCTGTCTGGATTCAACCCAAAATCAGAGTGGCCGTGCAGGCAGGCTGCCTGCTGTATTTCAGAGGTGTTTACTTCTCCGGGCATGCCAAGCCCCAGGAGAATTGCTGAGGTTGGAGGGTCCTTCGCTCTCACCTTGCTCGGACAGCCTCGAAGTGTCAAATGGGGAGTATTTGCTGTTGGGACTGTTTCCTACCTGGCCTATCTAAAACCTTAGCAAACCTTTTTGCTGCTACCTTTTTGTAGAAGAATTAAGCTGTTCTCCCTCTATTTTCTAATCCCCGTGTTGAGCATGCAGTGCAAACATCTGTTTAAACCAGAGCCATACACCTGATATATATTTTATTAGTTATATCATGTATAGAGAGAATTTATTACACACCTAAGCAGACAAAGCAGTTGGCAGCCTCCCCTGGCACACGCGGGGTACCCACCTCCTCCCTGAGCTCCCAGTTAACCCAGTAAAGGGGCTGGGAGCAGTGCGGTGAGGAAGCTGATGGCTGATGCTGTGTGCGCCTGCAGCTGAGTGTTGAGCATTCACCTCTGCACAGCTGATAGAAAGGAAAAATCCCTTTTTCTATTCTTTTTTTTCTCCTTTTTCCTTTGTCTGGGGAGTCAAAAAGCCAACCACAGCCCACTGGAGCACGACTCCCCTTCCCTTGGTTTCACCAGCACCTGGGTTGTTGCAGCCTAGCACCGTTCCCTTCCCTTATTCTCCCACTTCTGGCCCCAAAGCAGCCTTCCTGGCCCCGCTGCGGGTGCCCTTCCATTAGCTGGTGGTTTTGCAGGTGGTGGTGGTGCAGCGAGGAGTGACGCTGCCACGGGATGTGCTGCGTGCAGAAGGCTCGGTGTGATCAGATTAAAACCCCTGAGACCCACGGAGATCCTAGGGAGGCGGGCTCCTCTCGGCAGCCTGGTAGAAGCAGGAGGGAGCAGGCTGCCAGAGAGCGGCTGTGCACGGACTTTTGGAGCCTGTAAGAAGCTCACAGGGGCTGGGTTCTGGTGTAGGACACAGGTGGGGCTCAGACGAGCTCGAGGTCCCGGCACAAGGTTTGTTCTGGTTTGTTCTGGCCCTTGGAGGTGGCAGGTAGCAGCAGGAGGTTTGATTTCACCACCCCCAGCACTTCCCCAGAACCACGACTTGCAGTATGATGCAGTAAATGCTCCGGTCTTCCCTCTGCTGCAAAAAGGAGCAAGCTGGGAGGCCAGGCTGTCTGGAGAGCTGCTCCCACGGCAATAATCTGACCCGGCAGCACCTTCCCACCCCTCTCCGCTCCCCGGTGTCTCGTGGTCGCACTTTCACTGCCTCTGTCACCCGAGTGCTGTTGCGTTTCTGTGCCTGTCAGCATGCACTTACGATCCGGGCAAAGATTCCTAAGGAATGATTTATTAACTATAATATGGTTATAGTTACGTATATATAAATATATATATATAATGGGTATAGTTCTATATAATAGAAGGCGTGCGTTTGTAACTTGAAAGGGGCGAGACCTGCACCTCGTGCGCTGCTCCCTGCGAGGTGCCCAGCAGGACGAGGAGCACAGAGCTCGCTGCGGTGCCCGGCCACGTCCTCGGGTGCACCACGGCACCGTGCCCCGTGCTGGAGCCCAGGAGCACCACCGGCACAGGGAACCTTTGCAGCCAGCCGTGTGCGAGATCCCCAGGTGGCTGTGGTTGTCTTCTCTTAGAATTTCAGTATCCCTTGCTGACAGCGGAGGGTGCCTGCCCGCGAGCCCCTAGTGTCGCTGTGTGCCAGTGTGTGTTTTTCAGTAGATCTTGTCTGCGATGAAGTGCCAACGAGTGCCCACCCCCACTGCAAGCCTGCTTCCACCGCGTCCTTCCAGCGTCCCCCCAGAGGCAGGAAGATTTTCTTTGCGTGACTACTACCAGGATTGCTTTGTACAATGTATGTAACTGCCATCGACATAAATTTTATATGTACAATAATTTCCCTTTTATATGTCAGGTAAATATTTGTAAGAGTTATACTCACACAAATGAGATTATTATAATGATTACTAATATATTTTTTCCATGTTTCATTGCCTGAATAAAAATTGTGTTTATCACTCTTGAAAGCTTTCTGGGTGATCCTAAGGTCAGTGAGGGGGCTGGGGAGACAGACAGTGGCTCAATCTTCTAGGCAGAGCCTGATTCTGCCTCATTTGTGTGATAATTCGTTCGGTTTCAAATAAGCCTGATTATCGCCTGTTCCTGAGCTGGGTGTCCACAGACTGAACCTGAGACCTGCAACACCTCCGAGCACCCCGTGGTCTGCTCCACACCGTTCACTCGCACACCAGCGCGGTGCTGGCAGCACGCAGGGGGCTGAGCCTGGGGCAGCAGGGAGGGGGGCACCGGCTTTCATCCCTGGGCTGACCAAAGCAAAGCCCAATCCCCTGGAGCCAGGTCTGGCCACCACCACCAGCCCCCGGTGCTGTGCCCCGCTCCTTGCCCCGGGTGGCCTCTGCCCTTGGGGCACCGCGTCCCCTCCTCCGGCTCAGGTGGCATTAGCCAGGGGCTGCAGTAAGTGTGTTATCCTCAGCCCATTGATCCAATCACCCAAGCAGATTAACTGTAAGACCTCGGGACAAAGCAGAGGCTACGCTACCTGCGCTGCGCACTGCTGAAAATGCCCACCCTGAAGACCCTCCTGGCCCTGGCCCTCGTCTCCTCCCTGGCTGGAGAAAGTAAGTGTCCTCCCCGGGCGGGAGGACGGGCTGTCGCTGCTTGCTGCTTGCTGGCTGCCTCCAGCCTGCTGCCAGCTCCGGGCTCTTGCTGTGCCTCCTGTCCTTGCAGAAGAGCTGCTTTGGGGGGTTCGGTCCCTTCCCTTGGCCAGGACAGTGCCGGAGTACCCTGCCCTGTGCCTTCTGCTGTGCTTGTGCGGGTGGCGGGGTGAGCAGGGATGCTGGGCTCCAGCCTGGTGGGAGCCGAGGTGGTTCCCAAGGAACAGCAGCTTCTGACCTGCTGGGTTCCTCAAAGGCAGAACGGCACGGAGCCATCCCAAAAGGCAGGGAGGTGGTCGCGCTGCTCCGAGCACGGTCACAGTGTGCGGTCAGGTCGTGGTGATAGATGGTACAGGATCTTTGTACCAAGGGGAGAACGAAACCCAGCTGTGGTTTTAGCTGACGGTAAATTAAAGGCTGCACGGGGCTGAGAAAACCAAGCAGTGCCGCAGTGGAAATCCGTGCTCAGCGTGCGTTAACGGCAGGCGCTTACCGGCATTTGGCCCCGTTCAGCCTCAGGTCCCTGAGACATCATTTTTCTCCTTTTCCACCAAACACAGGAGCTCAGAGCTCCTGCAGAATGAAATGTGCTGACCACGCAGCTGGGACCTGCTTGCCACGAGAGGGCTCTGTGCGTCCAGGAAAGCAAATACAAAACTGAATCTCAACAGGAGCAGTAATTTAACCACTGCTATCAAAATCAAGTGATTGTCATAATTTCCTGGTTGGGGTGGGAGCAGGTTGTTCAGGTGTCCTTGGGGGTTCTCTGTCTGCAGATATTTAAAACAGTGACGATATTTAAAGTCTCTTTCTGTCACAACGTGATAGTGACACTTTCACATTTACTCAGCTGGTTCCTAAGCTGAGCTGGGACCAGTGTGCATTTTCCTCTCCTGCAGGGTCAAACAGTTCTCATGGCTGTCATCAGCTCTGACACACGGGGAGCCTGCAGAGGCAGGGGCTGGGTGTCCCCTCGCGTGCCTCTGGCTGGGAGCTGGCTCTGCCTTTGACACCTTGCTGCCGCGCTTGTCCCTCCGAACATTTTGGGGGCAGGATCTGTGCAACAGGTTCCGGGGGGGAGCTGCTTTATAGATGCACAAATGCACAAAACTGCCTCCGTAGTTTAGAGGAATCCGCCCCCTGCAAATGCTTATTAAAAAGAAATTCAGTGTAAAAACACAAAGATTGAGCTTCTTCATCGCTTTGAGTTGCACTTGGGCAAGCACTGCACGCGTTTTGTGGACAGTAGAGCCCCCCGAAGCCCACCCGCCCTGGCCCTGGCTCCCCCAGCTCTGGCACCGCCTCACCGCTGCTCCCCCCTCGCACAGGTGCAGCGCTGAAATGCCACAAATGCGTCGCGTCCAACGAGAACGACTGCAACAAGCAGGGCTCCCACAGCTGCCCCCAGTACGCGGACGCCTGCTCCACGATCACTGCGCCGAGTAAGTCCCTGCCACTGATACCCCGCTGCGGTTTGGCCCCAGCCGTGCCGGAGGGGTGTGCTCCTCCTCACCGGGGCTGCTCCCCTTCCATGGCCATTGCACGCAGCATTGGGAGCTGCTGAGCCACCTCAGCTGCCAACCTGCCCAAAAGTTTGGGAGGTGGAGGAAGGGAAGGACGGAGTCAGCAGGGCAGGACGGCATCCCAGCGGCCCTGAAGGAGCCCGGGGCTGTGGGAGGGGTGGCTGGGGAGAGGGGGGGGATGCCTGGGGCTGGCTGCCCCTCGGACCCTTGAGGCAGGGATGAGCCCCCAGTTTTGAGTCTCTGGGAACAGGCTCTTGGTCTGAGATAACTGCACTTTTCTGGCGTAAGGGAAACGCCCCAGCAGTGTGCTAACACCCTCAGTGCAACCTCACAGCTGCCAGGCAGCACCGTGGCCTGCGGGACAGACACGGGCAGGACCCCAAAGCACCCCCTCCTGCCTCGGGTCGGCTCCCTCGCTGGGCTGTGTGTGTTTGCACATTCGGCTATAAACTGTTGGTCGCTCCTTCCACAGCAATGTGCTCTGCGGTGGCCTAGAGCGGTGTGACCACGAGGACATCCCTCGGCCACCAGACCACTGCTCGGCTCTCCAGCAGTCCCGTGTGCAGGACGAGCCCCTTTTATTCCAGATCTGCAGCATAACGTGCTGGGATGCTCCTCTGCTTTCCCTCTGCCCCCTCTCAGCTCAGCAGGCTCGGAATAAAGCCCCTGGGATCACCTAACCCCCTGTGATCTGCCTTCCCTTGCAGACAGCGTCATTAAGTCCTGCTCCTACAAGTCCTTCTGCGACCAGGCGCGGCGCGGTGGCTCCGGCGGGGCCACGCTGCAATGCTGCTTCAGCGACGACTGCAACGGGCCGCGGGGCTCGAGGAACGGCGGCGGGGCCACACCGCTGCACCCACCCAGCCTGCTGGCCGTGGCGCTGGCGGGGAAGCTGCTCCTGGCCTGGCTGTGAGGGCGGCGGGGCCGTGGGTGGGTGGCCGAGCACATCCACTCGCCGCAGTAGTGTAGGTGCTGTGAGCCAGGAGCGCGGTGCGTAGAGTCGGGGCTAGGAGTGCGGGAGAGGCCAGGCCGCCCGCCGGGCAAATAAACGCTGCAGCTGGAAAGCACGTTCACAGCCACTGCGTCTCATTCACAGCAAACCCCTAACCTAGAGAGATAATGGCCCCAGCCGAACTGATTTGGCTTCCTGGGGCTCCGATTTGAATGCGAGCTCATCCAAGCGTGTCTGCCGTGGGAAGGCTTTGTCAGCCCTGCCAAGCAGCGCGGGGCACAGCCCTGGGCACGGCACAGCCCTGGGCACGGCACAGCCCTGGGCACAGCCCCGCTCCTGCACGCCGTGCACCCCCAGCACCTCGGTGGGATGATTTGGGGTTCCTGTGTCAGCTGCAGGAGCAGTTTCTTTCTTCCTGGGGCCACAGAGACTACAGGCCTGGACAGACTGTGGGTATGTTTGGTGTGAAATATCGTCTGAGGCTGTTCTGTGAAGCTCTGCACTGCCTGACCAGAGGGAACCATCCCTGGTAGCACCTGTCCCCATCCCCGTCCCCATCCCCTTCCCCAGCCCGGGATGCTGCACGGTGCGGTGAGCTGGTCCCAGAGGAGCAGCACTGCCTGTGTCTGCAGTCACAGAGAGATTAAATGTCCTGGTGACTAATTCGGGCCCTGACTGTCACCACCACCTCTGGGAGATCTCGCTTTTCCTCTTTCCACCAGGCTTTCCCTTTGAACCCTCAGCAGGAGGTGTGTCCTGCAGGTGCCTGTTGTTACCACCTGCCAGATTGTGGTTATAAGGAGAGGTCCTCCTGCAGCCAGGGCCCCCTTTGGGCTGCTCTGATGAAGGCACAGCTTGGCTCAGCAGATTTTGTAGTCTAAAGAGAAGAAAAGCAGTGCCTGGCTGAGGTAAGGAGGGGGTGAGGTGCAGCTGGGGGCTGTGGGATGCTGGGGAGCTCCAGCCCCGAGCAGCTTCATGGGACGCTCAGCTGGATCTTAGTCAGGAGAAAGCTCCTGAGGCTCGCTGGTGGATGCTGTGGGATCCGGTGCCAGGCAGCAAACCACTTTTCTTGTTATTTTCGTTGTCTGATGCTTATGAATGTGAAAGTGCCTGTGCTGAGCCAAGCAAGCACCAGTGCTGTGCTGTGGTGGCTGATAGCATCTGTGGGAAAGTCCACGGAGCCTCAGCCAGGTTTGGAGAACCTCCTCTCCTCTGTGCTGCTCAGCCCTTGACAGCAAGCAGTGGTTTGGGGCTGTCTCGTGCTTGGGGCTTGTTGGGGTTGTGAGCTCCCAGGTTAATCCTCCCGGCCCCGTAGCCCTCAGAGGGCAGCGTGGACGTGGGGCTGGTCCCGTGGCTGGTGTCTGCCCAGCTCCTGGTGCTGCTGGAAAGGAGCCCCGGAGTACTTGGTGCTGCTTTGCCTTGTGGAAGGGAGGGTTAGAAGTGAGGAATGAGAACGAGGAGGAAAGAGAAGGGAGGAGAGCCCGGGATGTCTGGGAGTGCAGAGTGGGCAGTGGGAACGTGGCCACAAGAAATGCGATGCAGGGCGAGACAGCAAACTGCTGACTGAAAGCACTGCCACTGCTCCAGCACAGTCTGCGGGGAGTTTCCCTTAGTCATAATGTGAGAAAAAAGGGAACAGGTACTGAAACCAAAAAGGGCAAGTTCAAACAGAAGAGGAGAAATAATGTGGCGTGCTCGGATCCAGCTGTGGAACTCACTGCTGCAGGACGCCCCTGAACCCACCTGGTGAATTTTGCAGGGTAAGAGGGTCAGAAATCCCGGAGAGCAGGGATGTCAAGCCCTGTTTGGGTGATGCTCAGGGGCTATGTTCTTGCTGTGGGCTGGGGGGTGTCCCAGCAGCACCACGGGGCCCTGCTCCTGCCCACGGCCTCCAAAAGCACAAGGGATGCTTTCCCCTGGGGGCTGGGGAGGTGTGGGGACCTCTGGTGGGGCAGAGCCCTGCTGGCCCTCGCTGCTACTGGGGAGGGTCTCCTGTGAGGTCTGGGGGCTGCTCGCACCCCCGGAGAGGCTGCAGCAGCAAAATGTATTGAAAGCATCAGGAGCGCTGAAGGCTCCCCCAGATAAAGGAAGAGCAGCAGCGTGACCGGCTGCCATGTGACGGCCCAGGGAAACGGAGCTGCTGCAGATCCAGGCGCTGATGCGAGTCACAAGGTCTGCAGAAGATGCCCTGGTATAAAAATACCCCGTGGAACAGTTTAGTCTCTGCAGGGCAGGCAGGGATGGGGGGACGCTGCAGCTGGCAGGACGAGGCTGGGGGAGCTCCAGAGGGGATCGCCGCTCCCAGCCCACACCGTGCCAACAAAGCGCAGCCCCCCCAAAAGTGCAGCCCCTGGGAGGGATGCCCTGAGCCTGCAGGGCCGCCTGGCTGCTCAGGGAGCTCCCCACCAGCACAACCAGCGGCAGACTGGAGGCAGCGGCCAGGAACTGGTCTTTCCAGAGAGGCAGCGAGCAGTGGGGAGGAGAGGACAGGCACGGGGCGGATGAGGGTTATGGGTGAGGCAGCGCTGAAATCCCGGCGCTGAAGCTCTGAGCGTGCCTCCACCACGCTGCGCTCGCATTTCAGTGTGCCTGTGCCCCTCTGTGCGTGTTGTGACACAGGCACAACGTGGGTGGAAGTGGGTGAGCGGGCAGCGGGCTGGTGGGCATCCAGGGCTGAGAGCTGAGCGTGCCTGGGCTTGGCCCCGAACCTTGCCCGGCACAGAGACCAGCCCTGCTCTGAGGCAGCAGGGTTGCTCTTCCCCCCCACTTTTCTTCTTTTTGAATCTAAGTATAACCCAGTTGTTGTGGCCTTCCTTTCCATAACTGGTGGTTTTCATGCTTCAGGTTTTGGTTCCTTTCTCATAACACCCTCAGAAGCCCTGCAGCGAGCGCTGGGTGCGTTCAGACTGCACATGCCGGCATTTGCAGCCGGGCAAGGCTGGGTGTGAGGGGCTGCAGCGTCTGTGCGGGCAGCTGGGCAGCACGAGGAAGAGCGTGCCAGCAGATCCTTCCCTTGAGAGGTCCACGAGGGGCAATGCCCAAATCCTGCTCTGCTGGAGCCCCCCTGCGTGTATTGGCTTGTGGTTACGCACGGCCCTGCCGGCAGCTCCCTGCGAGTGCTGGCAGCTGCAGATGTGCAGGGAGGTCATCAGTTCTTTCCTCCTGATGTAATAAGTGATGTGTTTGGGGCTGCGGCTCCCAGCAGGGTGTGTGGCCGCACTGTCCCCCGTAGGGCAAGAGTGGGGGGGGGGTGGATGAGCGCGGGGAGGGCCGGCTGCTCCTCGGGCACGTGGCTGCGGTCAGCCTGCAACGGCGAGGGGAGCTGCACCGAGCATTGAATTGGGCTGGATGCTGTGCTTTGGATGGAGACAGGAGGGGGAAGCAGCCGGTCAGAGCAGCCCAGGATGAAGTTTCTTGGGAAAATCGCCTCCTGCCCGAAGTGCTGGGAAAGCACCACTTGCACTGTCTGAGCGAGGTGCGCTGCGTGCAGCACCGGCCCAGCACCGGCGTCGGTTTCGCTCGCGTGGGGAGAAAGTGCTTCAGGGCCAGATGCAGCAACAGCATCGGCCAGAGAAAGCAGGGGCTTTCCGGGGCGCCTCCCATGTGGTGGGAGCCCACACTGTCCTGACCATGCAGCACGGGCTTCCTGCTCCCCAAATCCACCCTGGTGAGCTCCGGCGGCCTCTCTCCCAGGCCAGGCTTTTGCAGGAACTGGAACCTGAGCTGGGCAGCTCGTCCCCGTTCAAGGCCGTGCTCAAGCACATGCTTCAGGTCCAGCTGCCCCCGGCCCCCGCCTGCTGTGCTGCAGCGCTGCCTCTGCACGGGCTGAGAGGCGGCCCTGGGCCGTGACAGACTGTGGTTTCAGCCGCTCGAGGCGGTGACACGGGCACAGCGCAGTAACACAGAAATGAACACACATGGTTTCAGTAACAGCATTTGGGCAATCTTCTGTAACATGGAAGGGGAAAAAAAAACTTTGTTCTAAAAATGACCCAGGCCATAGGAAATGCTCGGGGTTGAGGCAATGTGTTTACTTAACAACACTTCACACAACAAGCTCTGAACTCTGCAATTGCTCTTGGAGAGGAAAAAAAAAAATCTAATGCCTGACACCGAATCTTCAGACTCGAGTTTTGCTTTAAAATATGCAAAGGCAAGAATGCCCCAGATGCATCAGCAGCGAGGTGCGTGGAGCTGCAGACCAGGGTTATTTGCACTGCCCAGAAGCAAGTCCTGCTGCTGCCTGTGTCCGGGCAGGGGCTCTGCAGAGCTGCCCCTGGGCGTGGGAGCGCTGCTGAGTTTGTGCTAATTCAGCCCCAGCCTCCTGAGCAAGTGACAGGCTCGGCAAGTGACTAACAAGTGCCAGACTGATGCAGCTGTGAGGTTTTCTGGGTGACCAGGCAGCACCTGCAGGCCCTTTATGATCGGCTGCCCCCTGCTCAATGCGAGGAGCAGCCTCCCTCCAGGCAGCGACCCTGAGACTTCATCCCAAAGCGGAGCGGTGACTCACGCTGTTCTCAGTGCTGTTGTCTCAAAACATCAGTTATTAACTCCAGGCTTCGTTTTTGCAACTTTTCCTGGGTGAGGGAGAACCGCGGGGCTGTGTTAGATGCTGTAACACATGGGTAACTTCGCAGATTTCACTGCTGGCTTGCCGGAGACCTCACCTGCTGCAAGGGCGCCCAGAGTGTTTTTGGGAGCGGAGCTCTGCGGTTTGGGCACCCTCCACACCCACGAGGGCGACGCACCGACCCCTCCGGGTGCTCGCTCCCTCCCAGCAGCCGTGCTGCTGGTGCCACGGTGGCTTTGTGTGGGCTGCGTGTGCGCAGACAGAAATCTGGCTGCGTTTTCGGATGGCTGTGAAAGCACGCGAGGAACTTCCATTTGCAGGCATGCTTCGACCTAAACAAAACCGGGGGGGCAGTCGGGTCTGACGGGGAATTGGGGGAAGCTCCCCTTCGGAGACGCAGGCTGTGCTTGCAGGGGCTGACAACAGCCTTTGCCCTGGGGGGCCGTGGGAAGGGTTTTGCACAGCAGTCGCGGTGCCCCGCGGGGTTTGGAAGCCCCGGGACTTTGCCGGGTTGAGGCCTGACCTGAGGACGGGACCCCCCGGGGGTGCCTGCCCCTAAAAGCGCTCTCAGCCCGGGACCCGCCCGTTATCCTGAGCGCCAGAGCTGGCGGCGCAGACGCTGCCCCTGGGGCTGGGGTCGCGGCTCTGGCCGGGGGAGGTGGGGTCGGGGGGGGACCGGGCTCTCGCCCGCGGAGCCGCAGGGATGGGGGGGGTCGGAGGGGCGCCGGCTCGGGGGGGTGGTGCCGGGAGGGGGCCGTCGGGGCAGGGGCAGGGGCAGGGGCTGAGCCCTCCGCAGCCGCCGCAGGTGCGGGATGGGTGCCGGGGCGGCCCCCCCACGGCCCCCGGGGCGCCCGCCGCCCCGCACTCACATCCGGGGCCGGGTTTGCTAATGGGAGGCGTAATTAACCCGGAAAAAAGCGACGGCGGAGCCGCGGGCACACCCCCTCCGCCGCCCGGCCCTCCTCCGCGCCTCGGCGTGCGCGCAGCCCGCAGCCCGCAGCCCCCGGCCCGGCCATGCGCGGGGGGCGCAGCCCAGGAACGCCGCGGGGTGAGTGCGGGGCCCGGCGGGGGGGGGCAGCGCCTCGCGGGGCCGTGGGGGGGTCGCGGGGCCGCCGCCGTCGTGCCCGGGGGCAGCGCCCCCCCTGCAGCCCCTCCGGTCCGGGCGGGGATGGGGAGGGGGCAGCGCGGGGACCCCCAGCATCCCGGAGTCCCCCCCCGTCGCTGCCGGCTGGGGCTGCCCGGCAGAGCCCCCCCAGCCCCCCGAGGGGGCTTCCCGGGAGCGGGGTCGGGGCTGGCGGTGCCCGGGTGCGGCGGGCGGGCGCCTTCCCCGGGGGTCGGCGCTGTCCCGGGGACTCCCCCGCGGGTCCGGGCCGTCGGCGGGGGAGGCGCTGCAGAAGCTCCCCCCGCGGGGCTGGCGGCATCGGCCCCATGCGCTGGGGGCGGCCTCGCTGCTGCCGGGGGGGTCGCGGCGCGGTCCCGCACCCCAAGGCTCCGGGGGCTGTGGGTAGGGGGCAGCGGGGGCTGCTCCTGGCGCGGCGCCTCGCGGTTTTGGGGCCCTGCGGGGAGCTTTGGGGGTGCTGAACGCAGCGGTCCCTGCTGTGGGGCTGTGCTGCAAGGATTGGGCAGCAGAAGCGCAGAGAGGGTCGGATCCGCGGTTATTTAAAGTGTGCTCCCCAGGCTGCGTGGGGAAACGGCGAAGCGAACCCTCGCTGCTCCCAGCCTGCTTTCAACAGGTTCATGATTTCATTAAGGCACGTCTGGATGGAGCAGGAGGGAGTCGCTGGGCTGTTCCTGCGCCGTCTCTGCCTTGTGTGCCTGCCACCAGACAGACGTCGATGGGGCAAGCTCTGGGAACTGCTCTGCAGGGCAGGTAGAAGGAAGTGGCGCAGCCACCGCCGCGCCTCAGCCCTGCACGCACAGGCGCATGGTCCCACACCCAGAGTGGCACCGGGGCAGCTTGGACGGACAGGCGGGGAGAGGAGGAGGAGGATGCCGTGACCAGTCTGCAGGCACAACGGGCTGCGTTGCAGAGCGAGGTGCCGAGGATTTGCCTGCACCTCCGAGGTGCTCAGGGCTGCAGGCTCTGCAGGCGCCTCCCTGCTGCCAGGTTTCCGCGGGCAGCGCTGCCGTGGCTGGAGCTGCGCCCTGAGAGCGGGGTACAAAAGGGCACAGGCAGCCGTGGTGGGGCGGTGCTGGCGTCCTGGGGGTGCTTCCTGGAAAGTCTGGCACTGCAGCCGCACGTGAGGCCGTGGAGCCAACAGGAGCCACATAACAGGGTTTGCATATCAGGACGGCTCCCCGCCCGCCTAGGGGCAAAGGCAGCGGCGTGCCTCCACCTCGCAATACAAGGGGAGGGGGTTTGGCTCCTCGTTTTGCTGCAAATCTCTGTAGCTCGATTGCTCTTGTCATCCCATCAACCGAGCTTGAGAAGGGCTGGCTGTACCTTTTGGTGGGGCACCAGGGCTTGGGCAGTGCTGGTGAGCCAGTCAGCTCTGAGGCTGGGGAGAACCCTGGAAGCCCTCGCTGTGCCGCTCTGCGCAATGGCATCAGTTCTTGGTTTGGATCCAGGAACGAGAAGCTGAGAGCCTGGGTCAGTGCAGTGCTTGGGAGGGTCTTTGGGCTGTGGCTGGACAGCAGGTTAGCCTGCACAAATGAAGCCCTGGCATCGTGGTAAATCGTAGCTTTGAGTGCCCAGGTTTCCATCAGGGGTCTCATCTGAAACTCACGCACCTCCTCCCAGTGAGGGCTGCAGGGCTCGTTAGCACTCCTACACAGTGATCATTTTCTGATTCTCTGCTCAATCCCTCCTACTCTCCCCCCCCCAGATCTAGTCTTGTGTCCTTCCTATGGCAAAGGCAAGTTTGGGTCCTGCATACAAATATTTATGACTCTGAGTTTATAAAGCGCTGTGTAAATAGTAAACATTAGTGTAAAGTGAGCTTTTTCTGGCCCTTGTGGAGTTCCCGAGCAGGAGGACCAAATACCCACATCCTGGCAGAGCTGGAGCTGCTACTTTTGTCATTTTCCTATGGGAAAATGGAATTCCCAGCGGCCGCAAGGAGCCAGGCTGCCCGTGTGCTGCGAGGGGCTGGGAGCAGCCGGGGAGCGGCACGGCCCCGGAGGAGGGATGGGGAAGATTCCTGCTCGCTGAGAGCAGCGCAGTCCGGAAGGCAGAGTTTGGAGCGATCGTTATCTCCTCTGCCCGATGATTTTTGCATATCCAAGTGCAATCTGAGGTCAGCTTGCACGGAAGAATTGAGCTGCTTTGCGTGCTTTCATCGAGCCCCTGCTAATCCAGGATGGCGAGGGGGGAGATAAGGAACTGCGGGAGGGATCCCGGGGGTCCGGCACCGCAGCCACGAGGAGCTGGGGACTCGCCCCTGAGCTGCCTGCCAGAGCCAGGTGGTGCTGCGCCCCACCTCACACCTTTCTCTTCCATTTCATAAGCAGAAACCTCTGGATTTTTGTTAGCAGCAGGAGGCGATTAAAGAAGCCTGGTCTGAACGTATTAGCACGGTTGAAGTCGGCTGGGAGTCTGTTTTATGTGCGTTCCCCCACCCCACAAAAATAAACCCACAAAAAAGCAGCGAAATGTGAAGTGCCCACATAACCTTTGCATCAGCCCACCGTGTTGTTTTGAAGCAATCCTTTCTGCTGCAGCGGGGCAGCTTCCCCCCGCGCACAGCCTCGATACCCATCTCTGGAGCGCTGACGTGACGCCGAGGCGCTGACGCCAGGTTGCCTCGTGCGCTGCCACCTCTACCTCTGCAGCTGCACCGCAGCTCTTGCACAACACTTGCCACTCCGGGCCCCGCTCCACTGCAGCTACTCAGCTCAAAAATAGTATTTCCTCCTTTTCTGCATGACATCTTTTATTTGTGCAGCCTCCTCTTCTGCCACCTGCACGAGTCACCTCCTTTTCTACCGGACAAACCGCACCAAGCTCAGCGCGCATCCTCTCGGTAACCACTGCCTCCGTCCCCCGTCACCGGGGCTGGGGGCTCAGCCCGAGCTGCAGCCCGTGCCTGGCCAGCCTGTGGGTCTCCGTGCTGGTCCTGCTCCTGCCGCAGGGCTGGAAGTGACAGCGACCTGGTCCTATGGGCAGCAGAGTGGCACGAGGTGCCACCGGGCTCCCCTCCCCGCGGCTGTGGTGCGCAGCGGGTGGGTGCTGCAGATGTGAGCGGTGGCAACGCGCACCCGCTGCTGCTGAGTCAAAGTGGCTGCTGCTCCCGTGGGGTGACCGAGAGCGATGCTGGGTCTCGCCCACGTCTAACTCCCGCAGGAGACAAGAGCAGAGTCCGTTCGCACGCACCCTGGCCCCGTGCTGCCCGTGTGGCAGGCTGCTGGGCTGTGCCTCGAGCTGAGGAGCAGCGCTGCAGAGGGTTTGTGCCCTGAGCAGCCCCGGTGACACGGCTGCGCCCCGTGGACATTGGTCATTGTTTTCCCTGCTGACTCCGCATCCTGGCTGCACACATTTTCTGCTGGAGTTGCAGATTGTTTTCCATTTCCTGGGAGTGTGCTCGGGCTCTCTCTAGCGCGCAGCCTGCCGCGGGGTTATTTTTTGTTGGCAGTTCCCAGGGGGCCTTGCGTTGCCCGGGGACCTTTGTGGCTGCTCTGCCCCGTCTGGAGGGGCCATGCTGGGGCACGGGGCTGCCCCTCGGTGTGGTCCATCCCTGCCCTGCGGACGCTGCTGGCGCTGGCTGCAGAGCCTGGGGAGAGCCACACTGTGCCGAGCACGCCCGGAGCCGTGCAGCAGGGCCAGCGAGCTTTTGTTCAGCTGCGTGCGGTGATCGAGTCCATCTGTGGTTCCTGCAGGCACCCTGGTGTCCAGCCTCCTGCAGTTCCTCTGCTGAGCTATTTCGGTCCTTGCTCAGCTGCTCTGTTTTGCCCAGCTCTTGCCTGCACCCGGGGCCAGTCACGCTGGCACCCCCTCCTTGCCACAGAAGCGTGCTGGATGACTTCTGTGTTCGTCTGGCAGCTTCCCCACAGCGTGACTGCACGGAGGGACAGTTTCATTTTGCTTTGACTGTGTTGGGCTGTGTGCTTTGGAGGCCTGGGAGAGGCAGCAGAAGTTTGGCTGGGAGCTGGGGACAGCTTGAGAAATGGGAGCTGCAGGAAGCTCCGGTGGCCGTGGGATGCGCCGCAGGGGGACGGGATGAGGAGTGGATTCCCCGGCTGCTCTCGGGAGCCTTGTGCAGGCTCCTGCGCCCTTCCAGCACCCTTCACTGGGGTGGTGGGCACATCTCTGCAAGGCCTCATTCCTCACTGAGGGGGCAGCCAGCACACCCGTGTGGATCAGTCCTGGCAGATTCTCTCTTCCCTCTCCCTTTTGGCATCTTTGTGCTGCGAGCTGGGGGCTGAGCCCTCACCCAGGAGGGGCTGAAGCTAACGGAGGTGGGGAGCGGGGCATGAGCAGAGCACCCACCTCTCCCCTGCCCTGTCCCTCTGCAGGGTGATGCCAGAAGGAGCCCGGCATGCCGTACCTGGACCGACAGAACCGTATCTGCGGGTTCCTGGACATCGAGGAAAATGAGACCTGCGGCAAGTTTCTGCGGAGGTATTTCATCCTGGACACCCAGGCCAACTGCCTGCTGTGGTACATGGACAACCCGCAGGTAGGGCTCCGCGCTCTCGCTGGGTCCCTCCCTGCAGCTGCCCGGCACGGGGGTCCCCTCACTGTGCCACACTGCCAGCCACGAGCCTGGTCTCACTCCCAGGGTGACCCCCCCGGCACGGATTCTGCATGGTGTAGTCAGTGATGTAGAAAGGAGGCCTTCTCCACACAAAAAAAGTGGGATATAAAAATATAAAAAGTGAGCAGGCTGGTGAGGGCACGCCTGGTGCCGGGGACAGCAGCGTGTCACGTTTGTGCCTGTTCCGCTGCGGTTTAATTGAGGGAAATGCTTTCTGCCTGACAGCAGCACGAAGCGCAGGGGTAGGGCTTTTCCCCCCATCTATTGCTTGGGCTCGTTTTGTTTTCCAAGCCTGGGGTTGAATTTTCCACTCCTGCCGCCTCATCCAAAGCCTGGTGCAGTCTGCAGGGAAGTTTTGGGTTTCTCCCTGCTCGGGGTGAAGCTGCTGGCTTGCGGAGCAGCGGCGGTGCTGAGCCTGGCCCCATCTGGAAGCAATCTGTCATTCCCAAGTAGCCCGGGCTGGTTCCTGCGCTGGGCTTTCTGAGGAAGCAGCAGCGCAGTGGGATTACATCTGTTACCAGCCTGGGTCACCAGCAGTCCTGAACTCTGCATCTCTTTGGATGTCGCATCCAAGGAAAATAAACCCGGAGCTCCTATGTGCACGTGCTGGGCTGCACGAGCAGCCCCAAGCTGCAGCAGCGTCTCCTTCCTCTGCCCGGCCCCACCAGCCATGGGCTGGGGGCTGCCGTGGGTTGCACCTTGCAGGAGCCCGCACGGCCCCTGCAGTTCGTGTCTTGGTGTAAAGGCAGCGAAAACAGGACGGATGAAAGCTCCTAGGAAACACTCCTCATCTTGGAGCGGTGTCACAGGGCAAATGTCCTCGGTGCTCGGTGCAGCCAGGTCCCTGCCTGGTGCAACGCCTGCTGTCTCTGGGGGCTCCCCGGTGCCTGCTGTCAAGCTCAAATGAGAAAGAGCCAAGGCTGAGCTCTGGGATGAGCCTCCCGGTGCTGTCAGTGGCTGGGCAGGCACCTGCCCCCCGGTGAGCATCTCCCCAGGGCTGGGGGAGCTTGGCTTGCCCCTTGCCTTCTCCCTCTCGTTTCACTCCCGTTGCTCGTTTTGTTTTTTGCAGAACCTGGCCATCGGTGCGGGTGCTGTTGGATCTCTGCAGCTGACCTACATCTCCAAGGTAAGGGCAGGGGGGCGGGGGTGCCCTGTGCCGTCCCCCTACCCCGCAGTGCTCCCAGGAGAGGTGCGATCCTGCCCCGTCCCCATCCCCGCTGCGTGCCTCGGGGGCGTGGGAGGAAGAGGAACCGCTCTGCGGTGAGGAAGGGGCCTGGGGCCGGGGCCGGATGGGAGCACGGCATCAGTGGAGCTGGCGGTGGCTGGGGCTGGGGCACCGAGCCCCGCTGCAGCCTGCGCCGGCCGGGGACGTGCCCAAGCCCTGCGAGAGGTGCCGTGGAGATGGGAACGGGGATGGCCCCGTGGTTCCTCTCGCTGTCAGGCAAAAACGCTGCAAAACCCCAAAACTGCCCCGCAGCCTGGTGGCACAGAGCTGCGGGCACGGCTCTGTGCAGCTGCGTCCTGCCCCTGCGCCGGGTCCCGCTCAGCATCGGAGCCAGGAGAGAATCGAACAGATCTCCGTGTTCCTGCTGAATCATGATTTATAAATTAAGCTCAGATGAAGCAATGCTGGGAGGCTGAGCCTTCCCCATTTCAGAAAGAGCCGCACTTATAAATTATATAGGTTTTAGTCTGTTTGAAAATTGCTGCAGGACGGCATTTGGTCACAAACTGCAGGACTGGGTTATGCCCGTGGCTCTAACTACCAGCTGTAAATACGCCAGAAAAATGGAGCTTTGCTTGAGAAAACATATTTAAAGCATTATAGACTGGCTCGGAAGGAGGAAGCCTGTCAGAATAAATACTCCATGAATGCTGTGCTTGGAGCCCCGGGGAATATTATTCTTATATAAATGATTCCTGCTCTTTAGGGAGAAACCACTGCTATTTTCCTTCAATTTTCTTAATTGCTGACAAGAGCGACAATGTTGGTCCGGCAGGAACGCGCACTTCCAAGGCCCTTGAAAGCTTTCTGCTCTTCGCAGTGCAGCCGCTGCCTCGGGGGGCTGGCGGGGGATGAAAGCCCGGGCTGGTGCTGACCTTCCCTCGGGGCTGCCCGCCCGTGGGCTGCGCGGTGCCGGGGGCAGGAGGCTTCCCGTGCAGTGGTGCTGCTGCAAAGCCTGCCTGGGCGGCGGGGAGCAGGGGCTGCTGGCCGAGCAAAGCGGGCACTGGGGGCACGGCCGGTGCCTCGGGAGCGCCCAGTGGTCTTGTGCACATGCATGGAAACTTCCACCCCTCCGGCACGTTGTTAGTGTTCATGGTTATCCTGCATTTTTTTTTCTGTCTGCTCTGTCGCAGGTCAGCATCGCCACCCCGAAACAGAAACCGAAAACTCCCTTCTGCTTCGGTAAGCCCAGGGACAGCAGTGGGGCGTGGGGGAAGCGGCAGCACGGGCACACGCTTGTCCCAGAGGAGCTGCGTTGCCTGGGCAGTGCCTTACCACGGGGGCTGTGACCCCACGCAGTGACCGGAGCACGCAGCGTGTCCCCCCCGGGTGCGCTCCCCGAGGGGCTCTGCCTTCTCCGTGCTGCGGAGCCCACCAGGATGGGGCTGGGGAGCACCGGGGCAGCTCTGGTGGCACAGCAGGGGCCGTGGCTGCTTCCTCCAGAGCTTGTGCAACCCGAAACATCGCCGGTGCTGCAGTGCAGAGGTCCCCGAGAGCTTCCCCTGGCCCACATGCAGCAGGCAGCGTTGCTGCGGGGCCGGAGGGACCCGTCCCCAAGGAGGTTCCCAGACCCTGCTGGGGTCTGCGTGCACACACTCGTTTGTTCTGACAACGCTGAGCACCGAGCGGGGTTCCCTGACTCTTCTGTTTCCCTTCTCTGGCAGTTATCAATGCGTTATCTCAGCGCTACTTCCTGCAAGCCAGCGATCAGAAAGACCTGCAGGACTGGGTGGAGGCCCTCAACCGGGCCAGCAAGATCACGGTACGTCGTGCTGCGCCCTCGCTCCTGCTGTGCCCGTCTCTGCTGGAGACGTCCCCGTCCCCGTGGCGTCCCCGAAGCGTCAGGGCACCGCAGCCCTTGCGTGCCCGGCGTTATCAGCACGGCCACTGGTTAATGCTGGCAGGACGCTACCAGCTCCTGCAGTGACAGCTTGTAAATCAAATGCAAGGAGAAGTCACGATGGATAATCTAGTTTAGGATTGGGCTCGTCGAGTAACCTTTGTTCCTTGTACTCTTTGTTTAAAATCGCTGTGGCGCTGTGCTGTAGTCCCTGTGTGCAACTCATCTGCAAGACCGGGCCTGGCCGGGATTTTCTTTTTTTATCTGCGGGCAGATGAGATGTGACAGCCTTGCACCCGGTGCCAACAAACTGACTGCACAGGCTCCGGCTTGTGCCGCCTGCCCCCTTCATGGGCCCAGGTGGCCGTGTCCACAGACAAAACCTCCACAGCCGGGTGGGAGGCAGGGAACTGAGCCCTGGGCTGGCAGCGGGGTGCCCGGGGCTGCAGCTCCTGCCTCGAGCTGATGAGCTGTGCCTGTGCCCACCCTCCTGCCAGCAGCGGCTCGGGGTGGGAGACTGTGGCTGCCCCCCTCCCTCTGCCCACATTTATCCTTGTGCCTGGCTTTCCTCAGCCTGTGCTGTGCTGCGACGGCTTCTGAGGCTCGGTGTCAGTCCCCAGGGGCACGGGGGGCTGCGGGGAGGGTTTTGGGGCTCAGACCCCCGGCAGCCTCTCGTCTCCCTCCCTGTGTGCTGAGCAGGGCTGGGGGCACCCCGGACTTGGGGACATTTGTGCCCGGTGCAGGGTGATGCCTGTGGGACAGGAGGATGGGGCTGTGGTTTGGGCACTCCTCCCAGTGCCGAGACCCAGGTTCAGCTTCTGCTTCTCACGGGGACTTTGCCCTGGGCGCATTGCCCGGTTCCTGCCTCTCCTTGCTGCCCATACGCAACGTCCCCATGGTGAAACCGCTTCCTGCGGCTCCCCAGCACCGCTGCGGGGCTGAGCCGCTGCTGCTGCCTGCAGAGAGCAGGAGGGTGGCCCGGAGCCCCCGGTTAATGCTGGCAGAGAAGCAGAGTGCTGGCTGGGGGGGCAGCTTGGCCGCCTGCCGTTCTTCCCACGGCTGGGAAGCTCTGAGTGGGGAAAATTAAAGGAGCGAGTGTCCCGGAGATGCGCCGGGCTGCAGAGGCCAGGCGCAGAGCCCTGCGAGGTGATGCCGAGTTACTCACCGCCTGTCTGGGATCCTCCTGAGAACCGCCCGGGTGCGGCCTCGCCCGCCTTAATTGGGGTGTCCCTCCTTAATTGGGGTGTCGCCTCCCTTTATTCTTCTTAAAGGGCCATTGCTGGGGTCAGGCGGGGAGGATGATGCGATGTGGTGGTGCCTGGAGCAGCCCCGTGGCCTTCAGCCTCTGATTTGCCCTGCAGGTACCCAAGGGCGGTGGCGTCCCGCCCGCAGAGATCACGAAGCCCCCGGCGGTGCCGCAGGCGCAGGATAGGAAGCCTCAGGTTGCCTACAAAACCGAGATCATCGGGGGCGTGGTGGTGCACACCCCCATCTCCATCAACCAGGTGAGCCTCGGGGCCGTGCTGCTCTCCGACAGTGCCCGGTCCTGCTGGTGGCGGCCCTGGGGAGCCACGAGAGCTGCAGGAAGCACACGGGGGTGCGAGGCTGCTCCTTGTGAGCCTGTGGGCTGCAGCTGGGGTCGGGATTTGGAGCTCTGGGGTCGGGATTTCAGAGCAGGTTTTGGGGTGAAGGGGCAGCACTGCTCGATGCGGGGTCCAGGGGGAGGCAGGTTCTGGCTGTGGGCTGCCAGGAGGCTGGTTTGCATTTTCATTTCTGGAAACCAGCTCAGTGCCTGCCAAACCTTCCCACTCGCTGTATAAATAGCTGCACTTAGCACCTTGAGCACCTCTGCTTTGTCTCGCTCTGAATTATGAAGAGATGGGGGGGGGTGAGGAGGAGGGGGGCACCCACTGCCCCTGGGCACCCCACGGCACCACCTGGCTCCAGATCCCGCCCCGAGGTGCCTGGGGTAGGGGGGCCACGTTCTGCCGCCCCCATGGGAGCAGCCAAGGGGCCGGTGTGGATTTCGCACACTTCCCTGTCTGTGGGGGCTGCACGGGGCTGGGGCTCGTGGCCACCCCGTCCCAGTGCCCCTGAGCAGCGAGCTCCATCCTCAGCCCTCGCCTGACTTTTCTTTCACAGAGGAGCTTTTTTTGGAGGTGATGCGTCAGCCGCTGGGCTATTTTCTGCGCTCTCGCTGCTTGCCCTGGGGTGAGATGGCAACTCTCCCTGCTTCCTGGGCACGCTCACGGTTTCCTGGTCCTGCCCTGGGATGGATGGTGCCGTCCCCAGGCTGCTCAGTGACTGCTGGGGGACCCCTGCTCCTGCTGCACCCCCAGACCCGCAGCAGCATCGCCCCAGCCCCTGGGTCTGCCCGGGGCGGTGGTTTGGGCACGGAGCTGCCCGGCTCGGCGGGGCTGGTGCCGACCCAGGGAAAGGTCTGGGGGTGCCCGGCTGTAGCTTGGGGCCGGCCCAGCTGCTGCTCGCCTCTGTCCTGGAGGAACCAAACGCTGCCCCGAAGGTGCTGGAAGGAGCCGAGCGGGGCAGGTCGCTGGTTAACCGCAGCGGTGCTCGCTCAGGCGCGGGTGCCATATAAGGCTGGCTGCTATGGCAATTCGCAAACCTCAGCCTCAGAGCAGGAGGAAGGGGTTGGAGGGGCAGGAGGGAAGGAGATGAGCACAGAGGTTTCATCTCGAGCCATCCTCCGCGCTGCCACGGGGGGGGGGAGGGACGGCGCCGCGGGGAGCACAGCGATGCTGGCTGGGGGCAGCGGGGCTGGGGGCAGTGGGGTTTTTCTGCCCGAACTCCAAACATCGAGGTTTCCTTCGGGGAAATGCTGGCTTGGCTGTGAGAATGTGGAGCGGAGACTTTATGGCTCTCCTGAGCAGTTTATGCCCGTGATGGATTGCTTTCTCTGGCTGGAAAGCCTCCCTGCCTTCTAACTTGGGTTTGTCTGGCTCCAGTTTCCAGCCGGTGGTTTTTGTTCTGCCTCTGCCAGATGAAAGAGCTCCCGTACCTTGCCTTTCCCCCAGGACCTCTCTGTTGCAGCTGAGTTGCTTCTCAGTGTGAGATAAGCCGGGCTGATGAAGTTCAGCTCCCCTGCTGCAAGGGATTTCCTCAGCCCTCGAGTCCCCCCTAGGGCTTTTTTGTAGCCTCTCCAATCTCTTAACACTGTTTTTAACACGTGGGCACCGTCGTGGTGAGCTGTACTCCAGCAGCAGTCTGCGAGCCAAATGCAATGAGAGAAACCCCTCTCTCCTCTCGTTCATTACCGTGCTCGTGTCCAGGCGCTGCAATTTTCCCTGTGCATGCAGCGCTGTGCTCAGGGCACGCTCTGGGTCGCCCTCCCCTCCAGCTTTCCATCGGGGAGTTCCCCTCCCTGCTTTCTCCGTGCCCCCCCGGGTAACCGTGCTCTCCTTTGCAGAACGGAGGGGACGGGGCAGAGGGCAGCGACCTGGCCGCCCACCCACTGCTGCGGCGCTCGCAGAGCTACATCCCCGTCTCGGCCACCAAGCCGCCCACCGGGCCCCCCGCCATCAAGAGCGGCTACTGCGTGAAGCAGGGCAACGTGGTGAGTGCTGGGGGCCCGCGGAGGGAGTGCTGGGCTGCTGCTTTCCCCAGCTCAGGGGTGCTCCGGATGCCACCAGCATGTCCCTGGCACGGGGAGAGCGCAGGGCCCAGCACCCAGGGGTTTCCTCGTCTGTTTTCCAGAGGAAGAGCTGGAAGCGCCGGTACTTCGTCCTCGATGAATTTTCCATCAGTTACTACAAGTGTGAGCAGGTGAGCGGCCCAAACCCTGCCTGTGTCCGGCTGCTCCTGGAGCAGAGCCCTGGGGACAGGGGTGCTCCCAGGCACACCCCGGCACCGGCAGCCCTGCGGGGTGCCCCAGCCCACCGTGGTCTCCTCTCATCTCCGCAGGACAAGGAGCCCTTGCGTTCGATCCTGCTGAAGGATGTGTGCAAGACCCACGAGTGCCTGGTCAAGTCTGGGTAATGCTTCCTCCTGAGCCCTGCTCCTGCCGTAACCCCGCGTTGCAGCTCGCTGCTGTTTCACAACCCTCTAACGCCTCCTGCTTGCCCCCCCCGGCACTGTGCAGCCCTCCAGAGGGTCCTGGGGGTGGGCACTGCGAGAAGTATACAGGCCTCAGCAGAAAGCATTCTGGATGTGTTGCTTTTCCTCGTTTTTTTTCCTCGGAGTCGCATCCAGAGTCCCCTTCTCCCACGCCTTCCCCTCCCAATCCTGAATTCTCCCATTCTGCCCTGGAAACCCTCCCCTGGCTGGAATGGGGTCAGCAGGAGACCCCTTCTCAGGACAGCGGGTCCTTTGGCTCCCCCCGTCCTGCCATTCACTCCTGCGTTATTCCCAAGTGTCTCGAGCTTGCTTTCTCCAGACATTCTTCAAACATCCCGGTTTTGGTTTGCTCTTAAGAAACTTCTCTTCCTTCAGCTTCCCCAGGCAGGTTGGGGAAATCTGGATGCAGGATATTGTCACTCTGTTCTCCTCCTCGTGCTGATAGTCATCTCTGTGGCAGAGGCGTGCTCGCACAGCTCTTATCTCTCTAGATTAAGGAGTACGAGGCCCTGCTCAGTAAATAGCATCATATGACAGAAGAACAAAGGTGTTCATAAAGCAGCTGAAAGCTGGGTACAGGCGTATTCCCTAAACTATCACAGGTGGCTACACAACATCTTGGGAACAATTTTATTGCAGCTAACGCTGATAAAATCAAATAACTTGAAGATTTGCAATGAAAATGAACTATGAAAACAAACTTCTTTAGCTTGAGCAAAAATGTAATTCATTAATTACAGCTTTGTATCAGTTATTCTTAAGAATTCAAGTTTAAAATGAGGCTGAGGATTCCGGGTCTGGGGAGGGGACAGAGGCGGAACTGCGGGAGCTGAACTGTTTGTGGATGGAGGTGGTCCCCGGGGAGCTGGGCTCTTGTTACCAAAATCCTGATGAGATTGCTCCCCCTGGGTGTGTTTTTCCCCAGCACGCTGTAGGTGTGAGGGTCATTCTGTTGTTTCGCTATCCATGGTGATTTCTAGGTAGTGACTGTCTCTTTCTTGCTGTTCCCAGTGACCTCCTGATGCGGGACAACCTCTTTGAAATCATAACGAGCTCCAGGACCTTCTACATCCAGGTACAGCAGCTGAAGGGAGCTGGTTCCGGAGCTGAGGATGGGCGGAGGCGGTCAGCAAGCCAGGGCATTGCCAGGCCTGGAGTTTACTTTGCTAGGCAGTAAATTCCAGTGCTGACAGCCAAGGCAAGCCACCCTCCTCTAACCAGGATGTTCCCCGGCAGCCTCAGCCAGCAAACATCGGCGGAGGAGCTCGCACACGGCTGCCTGGCTTCAGGGCATGGGCAGCGGGGAGGACTCCGGGCGGTTTCACTTCTCCGCCGGGGCTTATTTATAACAGCAGCTCCTTGTGCGAGCAGGAAAAAGCAGAGACAAGAGCACGCGGCGATCCGATGAGCATCCCGGCCGTGCGGGGCTGTGTCTGCACGCGCTGCGTGCTGCAGATGTGGCCACCACCCGCCCCCCCCGCCTGCCTTGAACGCTTTTTGCAGGCGAGGGCAGGGCGGTGCGGTCACTTCTGAGCAAGCAGGAGCCAGCAGCAGCTGGGCTGGGGGCCGTGGTGCCCGGTGCTGTGGGGCTGGGAGGCTCGCAGAGGCACGGGGGCTGACTCCTGGCTGCTGTGGTTTGCAGGCAGACAGCCCCGAGGACATGCACAGCTGGATCCGCGCCATCGCAGGGGCAGTCCAGGCCCTGAAAACCCGCCCCAGGGTAGGTCATATTCGTGTTTTGTGTCAAATAATGATCATGTTAACTCACAAGATGCTTACTTCGGGCCTGTGTAAACGCTTGGTGAGCCCGTTTCCAGGTGAGGTGCCTGCCCTGCTGTCCCTGCCTTTGCTTGCCAGTCCCTTGGAAAGGATTGAGAAGGGAGATTCAGCTTCCAGGCTGGCCCTGGCTGAGCCCTGCTCTGCTCTCGGAGCTTTCTGATGGCAAGGGGCCATTGAATTCAGGCTGGCGGTTTGCTTAGCGTTTCTTTCCTTTCTGCAGAGCGTGCAGAGGGCCTAAGTCTGGTCCCCAGAGCTCTGCAAATTGCTCGCAGCAGCTGCTCACACACAAAACCAACCGGCACTCACTCTGCGTCTGTCCCTGCAGGAAATCTCCTTCATGAGGTCCTGCTCCATGACCAAGCCGGCCCCTTCCCAGCAGAGGCAGCCGGCGGAGGAGAGGAAGGCACTTTGCAAAGCCCCCTCGACCTCCTCCTGGCAGCCGTGGACGCCGGTGCCGCAGGCGGAGGGGAAGCAGCCGGCGCTGGCGGAGGTGCCGGTGCCGATGAGGGACGCGGTGTTCGTGCCGGCATTCACCGAGCGCGACGTCGGTGCCACGCAGGGCCAGCGCCTGCGGCACAGGTCGGAGCCGCAGCACCTGAAGGAGAAGTCCTTCGCCTTCGACCTGGACGATGAAAGCATCCGGACCTCCGACGTCTGACGGCGCCGAGCCACGCCGCGGCTGCAGGGCGCGGGGACTTGGGGACGCGTGGCCGCTGGTGGGGCTGGACGAGCTGGTCTCCTCGGTACTTCTGCCCAGCCCTTGGGACCTCGCCTGCCCCATCGCCTCGGCTGGGACGAGATTTGGTTCCCTTCCTCCACTGCTGCTCCTCCATGCGGCGCTGGGCTGGGCCAGACGCGCTCCCTGGTGCCTGTGCTCCATGGGGAGAAGCGGGGCTCCCGTCCTGCTCGCCCCTCAGTTGTGGCTCGGTGAGCCCGGGGGCCGTGGTCTGGCAGCGGCTGGCTGAGGTAGTTTGGGGTTTTGGCAAGCTGCCTCCACCCCGGGCACTGCCTGCCTCCTGTGCGGGGTGGGAAGCGCCAGCTCTGCACTGCTGGTGGTGGGGGGGTGTCCTCTGCAGCAAATGCATCACTTCTCCCCAAAAACACCCCTGGAAGAAACAGCAGGAGGGCTCAGAAGCAGGAAAGGGGGGAGTGAGGTGGCCTTTCTCGTTTCTGGATAAATGTTTTTCTCCCCTTTTGTGCTGCTCAGTCTTCCCCGGGCACAGCCAGGGAGCTGCACCACAGCGCAGCTGCGCCCGGAGCAGGGGAAGCGCTGCAGCTTCCAGTGCTGATGACATTTTTTCCAAGAGACCAGCTCTTTACCCTGCTCGACTAATGGTGTATTGGCAAATCTGTTTGCTTTTCATTCCTTCTTTTTATATCTGTCGCCACTGCTAAGCTCCAGCAGACTCCCTGCCCAAAGCCCTCTGCAAGGTTTTAGTGATTTTTGCTGCGAGCTGCTGCTGGGCAGGCTGCTGGGGCCGCAGCGACCGGGGGCAGGAGTGTCCTCAGGTATGTCTCCAGTTCTGCACTGCGTGCAGTTAGGCACCAAAGAGACGTGCCTGAGTGGTGAAGGGCTTTTAAGAAAAAGCAACAAAAGCCGAGTGTTTAATGAAACTCAGAAGACTCGTCCAACTGGCCTCTTACCCGCCTTGAAATGAAAATGAGCAGCACCTTTTTAAGCAACGCGAGCCATTTCCATAACCAAATGCGCTCATGTAGGAGGTGTGACAAATAGCACATCAAAAATTGAAGTGAGATTGCCCGATACCTGCAGTGCACGGAGGGCTCTGGAGTTAGCAAGGCTTCCCTTCACTCTGTGCTCGTTGCCATTTCTTTGTCATTACATGTTCTCTGCTTTGCAAAATCTGCTTAACGTGCCCCCCAGAAGCAAAACCTCTGATTTGTCCCTGCCTTTTCCAGGTCTGTGTGCTCTAACCCAGCTCAGGCAGCCTGGGATCGAGCGGGGTTTTATCACCTGCCTCGCTGCACATCCCCGTGAGGTTCGGGCATCTGCCGAGCCCTGGTGTTGGAGACGAGGCCAGAGGGGAATTTCGTAGCTTGGCCGTGCCCTGCAGGTTTTCTCCCCTGTCCCTTCACAGCAGCCCTGCACAGCCGTGCTCTGCACAGAGCGTGGTGGCTTTGGGGAGGTTTGTGCTCACACCCACACCTCCGTGCCCGCGGCAGGAAGGGGAGGCAGCGGCGGTGCCTGGGGCAGGCGCGGTCTGCACGTGGAGGCGTTCTCGTTTTTCACAGAATCAGTTGGCCAACACGTGGCTTGCCAGCAGTACGTTGTCAGATGGCATTATTTTGCTTTCCTGCGGTCTGCTCTAGGCCGCGAGGGGCAGCTGAAGGTACACTTTATAGAGCCTGCGAGGCGGCGAGCGGGGCCTCCCCAACCCGGTGGGCGAGAGTGGCTCACAGGGGGCTTGTGTGGAAATCCTGGAGAAAATTGAGAGTATGAAAATGAGTGGGAATCGATGCAAATGGTACTGGGAGAATGTTAATATTTGTTATTTAATTGTAGAAATCTAGGTTACGCCGTTCCTTTTTGCTTTATTTGCACTAGTGTTTGAATTTTTTTCTCTAGGCTGACTTGCTCTTTGGCTAGTTAGATGTTCTGTTTCCGAAAATGTTTTAATAATTTGGTAAGACTTTCAACCATAAAGTTACGGCACTTAGTGATATCAGCGCTCTGACCTCATTTCTGGAGAACATTGAATGTGCAGGGACGATGGTTACTTTGTGCAAGGCTTCAAAAACACAGAGTACCAAGTATTTTTGTTGCTTGATAATTGCAAAGTTTCCTCGGGCCTGGGATGGTAAAGCAGAAGCTCGTTGCGCAATTACGGTTAATTATCCAGGAGGAGAAGCTACCAGTGGCTCCAGCGTGGTTGCGACATCCCCGTCTCTCATTCCCACCCTCCCTCCGTCTTCAGGACAGCGCGACGGCCTCGGCGGTGGCACGTGGACGTGGGACTAAAGGCAGCGTGCTCAGAGCCGGCCCCATCCGTGATGGTGACCCCCTCCTGCAGGAATTGCTCCTGTCCTGAGGACGGACAGAAACACGGACAGGAGCACAGCCAGACCTCGGGGCTCTGCAGTGATTCCTAAAACCGGTGCCCCACGTCCTGTAGGTTTGGCTCTTGGCACTGGTGTCGGGGTGAATGCATCGCCCTGGTGGCTGCCCCGTGTCCTGCGTGGGCCCTTTGGGAAATGAAGCTTGTGCCGAGTTTTCCCTGCTTTAGTAGCGAGTGCGGGTTCAAGGTATCTTGTACGGAAAGAGCGGAGTGAGGAATGGGTTTGCTGTTTTATATGAAAACTCCCAAATGGTTTCAGCCATCGGTCAGTGCTGGCTGCATGCTCCAAGTGCTCTTAGGGACCGGGGTCCCTCGCTGGGCGATGCTCCGCAGCCCGTGGTGCCCATCGTCCGCCTCGTGCATGTAAATGCTGGCTGCAGGAGATGGATCTCCCTTTTTTTGCCCTGTGTTTTTAAATAAAGAAGGAAATCCCAGTTGCTTTTCCAAGCTGTCCATGGGTGTTGTGTATTTTGGGTGGTGAGTCCTGAGGGGGGTCAAATGCCGTCCCTGCTGATGTGAGATCCCCCAGATCGTACTCACCTTGAGCACTTCCACAGGTAAGTGTCCCAGTAAAACTCTTGCTTTAAGCCTGTTTTTTCCTTTTAATATTACATTTTCCAGTGCAGTCTGGCTGAGCACGTTTCTCGTGGCCGTTTGCAGTCTGTGCTGTGTTGACGAGGAGCGGAGCAGGATCTCCTTTTTTCAGGACTCCTTGAATAAATAGACAACAGAGGAGGAGGCTGTGAAATAACTTCCTCCCAGAGCAGCCTAGGAAACCCCTGCTGCGACCGGTTGCAGCTGGGGGCATAAACAACAGCAGAAGTGCAACGGGAGCAAACTTTTCCCAGTTGCTGGGAGCTGGGAAGCAATCCTACAGAAACAGAAAGGTTTGGAGAGCTTCACATGAGAGCTGCGCCATTTTCCAACACAGTTTTGTTGATGGGTAGATGCATTCCTGGGAGAAGCGGTGCATTTTTTTTATTATTTTTTTTACTAACAAACTAGCACAATCGAGGACTAGCAGTAATCCTAATATCTTCAAGGAACGAGACAAGCAAATGAACTTGCTGCAGAGTTTCTCGGGCAAATGCTGCAGTGGTGGCTGCTGAGATCTGCAGACGGCGCGGATGGGAGTCGAGGCTGGGCTGAGGGAGGCTGCGCATGCGGGGAGGCTGCTGCAGAAACGCCTGCAAAGGGCTTGAATGCTGCCTTCCCAGACTCGTCTCCTACCCGCTCCGCTCCTTTTCCTGCTGTGCAGGACAAATGCAGACACCGTGGGCTGGGCAGTTGTGATGGCATCAGGAAAAATGCAGGACATAAATGCTGCTGTTGTGCACAGGGGAGTTTCATGTGTAGGATGGGAATGAGTGCCATTAGAAACAAAAACATCAACGTGCCTATTTTTAAAGCCCAGGTTTAGAACCCTAGCAACTATCTTTTTCCCCACCCCTCCATCAAAAGGATGCTTTTGATGTAAGACTGCTTTTCCAGCTTTGTTCCCCATTAAAGTGAATCAGAAATCTACTTAAGGAACGAGTGGGTGCCCATGAGAAGCGTTGTGTTGCACTGAAAACACCAGAGGTGATTCATGCAGCAGAGCAGCACGTAACTGCACTGAGGAAGGCAGCACGGTAGAGATTTTTCCCAAAGTAGAGAAAGAATTGATAATATTTCTGACAGGAGTGCGTTGCCCTCTTGCCTTGAGAGTTTGAAGGGATTTTTTTCAAAAGCCTTTCCCCCAAGCAGGTGACACGGCTGGCATGGAGGTACGGTGAGGAGACCGGATTTGCTAGGTCACATTTTGAAAGTGTTTTATGCCAGTCTGCCCTGCAAACGTGCGTGCTCCCCGGAGCACCGGGAGTCAGCTCCTGGGCACGCTGTGCATGGTGCACGGGACCCCAGCAGCCCCCAGCGCCTTCTCTTGAAGCTCCAGCATTTTGCACATTTTGCATCCCCATGTGAGCTGTTGGTGCCTCCCGTACCAGCGCTGCCTTTCTGAGGGCCTGTCCCCAAGGGCTCAGCGCTCTGTGACCTGAGGGAGCCCCTCAGCCTCAGCACAGCTCCTTGCAGAGCGCAGCACCGAAACACCAAACCCCCAGCTTCAGAGGGTTTGGGAGCTCGTTCCAGCCTTGGCTGCCCCACTTCTCTGCCGCCCCAAGCCTGCCGGAGGTGGCTGGGGTCAGACTGAGCAGCGTCGTGCTCTGAGTGCTGCCTCTGCAAGGTGCCACCGAGCTCAGCAGCGATGGGCAGGGAGGGGACGAGGAGCTCAGCCCGGAGGTCTCAGACACGGGCTGCGCTCAGACAGATGCTATCGCCGATGTGAGATCAAACTCCAGACGCTGCCCCCGGGGCTGTGGGAACCGCAGGCAGCAGAGAGCACTTTGGTCAGCTTTCAGTGGGATTCCTGGGTGCTTAGGGAGCGATGCCCCAGAAATTCCCAGGTTTGGGCTCTGTGATCCGCTCTGTAATTAGCAGCAACTGTCTCGCGGGCGCCTCTCCTCTTTGCATGCACGTCCGTGCGGCGGTCGCAGCAATGTTGCAGCGGGAAGTAGCACCCAGGAAGTGTCTGGCCTGAGCCCTTCTTGCTGTAATTACGCTCCTGGCGGGGAGAACCAGCCCTGCTGGCCCGACCAGCAGGAGGGAGAGGGCTCACGGCTCAGCAGGGGCTCTGCTGCCAGCCACAAGCTTGTCCTTGTCTGCAGCGGGGTGGTGCGGGTCCTGCTCAGTGGAGGAGTTGCCCCTAAAAGGGAGGGGAGCTGTGGCTGCCTCCCCTGGGGTCCTGTGGGTGCCCAAACCTCTCAGGACCTGTGGCCAGGGGTGGTCCTGCCCAGAGACAGCCCTCATGCTCTGTGGAGTGTCTTTGAAGAGCTCACGCTGGTATTAGGACCACTGCCCTGCTGCAGTCTGCGAATTCAGGCTGTCCCGCGGTGAATTTAAGCCACTCTCTTCACTGCCTGTCTTTCACCCATATCTAATTCCTCTCGGTGCCTTTTCTGTTTCATTGCAGTGCATCCAGTGCATGTTTTTGTTGCCTCTGCTGCTGACAGTGATAGACGGAGAATGAAGAAATCCCAGCACAGTCATCTGAATGTAATCTCAGCGGGGCACTGTAGGTCTCACTCTCATTTACAGTGGGAGATCTTCTACAAGAAGAGAATTTCCTCCACCCAGATTTGCTTTGACGTTTTTTCCCTCAGCCCTATGCACAATGGGAGTTAAAAGCAGTGGAACTGACCTTATAGGAGAGTGAAGTCAGATCTTACTCCTCGTGCAACGCAGCACGCTGCAGCAGCTAACAAAATGGGAATTTCTGTATCCATCTGTTACGTAAAGGTAATAACCGGACTGAATGCTTTCCCCCCTTGCCATGTGGGTGGTGAGCTGCCTGGGGCTGTCCCCAGGCCGTGCCGTGGCCCCTGGGGGGGGTCCTGGTGGGCTGCAGCCAGCGCAGGGTGCGGGGACACCTGAGCTCCTCGCCCAGAAGCAGCTGTGCCGTGGTCTCGCCTGCAGCCGTGTGCTGCGTCTGTGCTGTCTGCAGACCGCGGGGTTTCTGTGATGCACCTCGGGCCAGGGAATCTCATCATTTACCAGAGGAATTCCCACTTTTCTAAAGCTTTGCTCCCTGCTTTAAATAAACCATGGGGAAGCACAACCTTGAGGCTGGGATTTCAAACTTCTTGTCACCGGGAGTTCAATTCATGTTTCTCCCAGTAACTCCTCTTGCTCTTGCGCCACGGGTTTGTTTCTGAATTAACATTAAGAAATGCAGTGCTGCGGGTGCCTGCGTGGCCTTACGGTCATCTGAGCAGCTCCTGGGCCAGCCCTAGTTGTGCCTGGAATACGCTGGTCTTGGGAAAGCACAATTCAGAATCACTTCACGATTCTGCATCCATGCAGCTGCTGCTGCAAGGGCCGTCATCCTGAAACGGGGACAGGACGGCGAAGTCCCGGGGCTGAGCACGCTGACGGTAAGTGCTGGCACCTCCTCTGCAACCTGCTCTTCTAAAAATCCTTTAAAAATCCATTTTTATTGCACGAGTGCAGTATAACAAGTTGCCCTATGCCTTGGTCACAGCAAGTTGTAGCATAACTTCAGGCAGAGAACACTTGAGAAGCTTCAGCTTAGCACTGAAGAAAAAAAAATGCAAGGAAGTTGAGATCCTGGCCTGGAAGGGCCGAATCCATGGGCAGCAGGACAGCCACAGCAACTTCTGTCCTTCTGGGTACGAGGGCGTGAGGAAGGGGTGCCCTGATGGCCAACACCCCCTGGCACTCGGCGCAGTCAGCGACGGCCTCGGCTGCGGGAGGAATCTGAGCCCCCGCTGTTAGTTGGCAGCTGCGGGGCTGAGAGCACGGGGAGCTGTTAATGATGATGGGCTTTTTGCACACAGGATTATTATTTTTTTCTTTCTGGCTTGCAGCTTATTTTTTTTTCCCACCGTGGGCCTTTCAGCCCCGTTGTTCCACTCGTCTGAAGAATGTGGTAGTTTTATAATGAGCGCTCCCCCCACCCACCCCACAGCCCCGAGACCTATTCAGAGCTGCCAAATTCAGATTACTTGTGACCTAAATGGGATATAAATCCCATTCCCCAGACAGAAGGAGTTGCTGCAACAAACCACAAACCAGAACTGGAACAGGCAGAATTCCCTGCCAAATCGAACCCCTTCGCAGTTCCACGGAAGGCAGAAGTAGAAGTAACACCGGCAGAAACTCGCTGAGTGCAAACGACTGGAGGGTGCTTAATTTGCAGAAATGGGTGAGAATGGTGAGTGTATGTCTGCTGTGTTTTATCTCAAACGTTAATTGACTTTTGCATATACAGGTTCTGGTTCTGGTGGCTGCTTCTGTCTGTGTGTGACTTACTGTAACAGCTTCCTTTTCCCGTTTTTATTCAACTTGTGAAGTTTTCAGACTGCATCTGGTAGGGCTTCCTCTTTTGTGTGTGGTTGCTTGAAGCGTCTGCTCATTTTGGTAGCACTCGCGCCCCGTGCCGTGCTGCCAGTGCTGCAGGCAGCGGGCTGCCTCGCACGAGGACGTGCGTGCTGCAGGATTTACCCTCCTGCCATCCCGACCCCGTCCCAGCTCTCCCATGGCTCCTGGCCATCCCCTGCAGCTGCAGGGTGGAAGTAAGCCTTTCCTCACTAATGAGGCCAAGCTCGTGTTTGGCAGTTCTGTCCGTTTGCTGTCAGTTAACTGGGGCACAAGTTTACTGATCGGGACTAATGTCGTCACAGGCAGAAATGTGTGCAGCGCCTCCAACGCCACAGGAGCTGAGCTGATTGGCTTTATGGGGACGTTACCAGAGGCTGCAATGGAGCAGGCTCCCCTCTCTTGTTCACGCTCTGCAGCCTGTCCCTGGAGCCAGCGCTTGGCTGCAGCACCAGCAGGATGCCCTTAGCCGTGAAGGGCAGGGGACAGGAGAACCAGGTAACTGTGAAGTAACACATGTACTGCTTTGGGGTGGGTGCGGTGTGGGTTTTCCAGCCTGAAAGGGAAAGTGCCGTTCTCCACAAGGGTTTGGCCTCTCCCAGATCTAACCCAGCTTCACATGAAGGAAGTGCACGTGGTCTTGAGCAAGTCAGTTAGAACTGGAGCTCATGACTTTGCCACAGTCTCTATAACACTGCTTGGTTTCAGCTGTAAAGGTTTGCTAAATCATCGCACACAACCACAGGACAGGGGCCTGCATCTCCATGTGGATGTACCCTACCAGCACCAAAAATAAGTGGAGTCAGCTCTGTCCAGACTTTATTAATTTGACTGCCAGTGTTTGCAAGGTCTCAGTTCTTTAACTGTAACCGGTTGAGAGGAAAAAAGCCCAGATCGTTGTAAACAAGCAAAATATATACTGAACAATTTTGTGTCCAAGGTATGTACAGAGGAATTAACAAGAGTAACTGTTCTGCAGATCAAGCTACAGCTTTGTAAATCCACGTTTGTGCAAGGCAGAAAGCTGCACGAGAAGTCTGTTCTGATGCCACGCAGCATGTGGCAGTGTCCATCTCCAGCCCTGTGGAGACGCTGTGGTTTTCTCTGGGACCAGGTTTGCTCCTCTCAGTACACCGTGCACCAGTTGCTGCCATCGCTGGGCATCAGCCCTCCGGTGATGAGGAGAATCAGATCCACGAACCACCAGATCCCGAGGCCTCCGAGTGTCAGCAGCTTCCCCACAGCAGTCCCCGTGTGGCCCAGGCAGAAGCGATCCACTCCGAAGCAACCCAGGAAAAACGAGTAGAGCAAAGTGGTTATAAAATAGTGCCCGGTGTACCTGCAACCGCCGGCAAGAGGTGGGTCAGAGGGGGAAGGACACGGGGCAGGGGGCTGTCAGAGCCCGGCTGCTGCCCGCTGCCGGCGGCGCGGCTCCCCCCGGCGGGTGCCGGGCTCCCTGCAGCCGGTGCCGGCTCCTACCTGATGCAGGGCTTGCTGCCGCGCAGGAAGCTCCGCGGCTCGGCGCACTCGATGCCATCCAGCGCCCGGCACTGCACCCGCGTGTGGTCCACGTCGCCGTGCGCCTGCCCGCCGAACTGGGAGGAAGGGGGGGGCTCAGCCTCAGCCTCAGCTGGCCCGGAGGCCGCCCCCCCCCCTCCCCTTGTCCCCCCGTGACGGGCCCGGAGGCCGCGGCTCACCTTGACGCAGCCGTGCCCCAGCTCCTGCTGCGCCGTGGCGTTGCCGCCGTGGTCCACGGGCTCCTCGCACTCCACGAACTCCTCGGGGCTGCGGGGAGGGACAGGGCCGTCAGGGAACGGCCTGAGGGGACCCGGCCTGACGGGACCTGACCTGAGGGGCCCGTCCCTGCCTGAGGGGACCTGATCTGATGGGACCTGCCCTGAGGGGACCCGGCCCGGCCTGAGGGGACGTGGCCTGATGGGACCTGCCCTGAGGGGCCCGTCCCGGCCTTACGGGGCCTGCCCTGAGAGGCCTGGCCCGAGGGGACCTGCCCTGAGGGGCCCGTCCCTGCCTGACGAGGCCTGGCCTGAGGGACCCGGCCCGAGGGGACTGTCCCTGCCTGAGGGGACCCGGCCCGGCCCGAGGGGCCCGTCCCTGCCTGACGGGACCCGGCCCGAGGGGACGCGGCCTGACGGGGCCCGCCCTGAGGGTCCCTCCCCGCCCTCCCCGCTCACAGGTATGTGCAGAGCACGAGCGGCGCCTGCGGGTCGCTGTAGGCCCAGGCGTTGGCGGGCGGGTCCTGCCCGGTGGGGTCGGGCTCGGAGGCGTTGTTCGGGGCGGCGCGGGAGGCCCCGCGCAGCAGCAGGAGGTTGGCGAGGAGCAGCGCGGCCTGGCCGCACAGCAGCGCGTAGCCCAGCGGCCCCCCGCGCCGCCGCGACATGGCGGCGCCCGCTGCTAGGAGACGCCGCCGCCGCCGGGCCGCGCTGCGCAGCCGCGCTGCGGGCAGCCAATGGGAGAGCGAGGAGGGAGGCGGGGATAAGCGCCGATGGCCAATGGGAGAGCAGAGGGAAGGGGAAGAAGGGAGGAGGGGAGGAAGTGTGCGCCGGACGAGGAGGTGATTGGATGCTAGCGGGGAGGGGCAACCAATCGGAAATGAGAGGGGGCGGGATAAGGCGGCCGGGGCCTTTAAAAGGGGGCGCCGCGGGCGGTGTCGCGGGGTGTGGGCCCCGGGGCCGGTTGGGGCCTGGGCTCCGTGTCCTGCTCTGCCACAGGGTGCTGGGGTGCTGCTTCCTGAAAAACACCAAATTCCCCTCCTTTAGCCAGGGCAACGCTGGGATTATTTTCAACATCTACCACATGAACTTTGTTTTCACGCTAGATACGGCGTTACCTTTGGTGTAAATAGTTAATTCGAATAGTTAATTCGATGTCCTTTTGGCTCATCAGCTGAATCAGCTAATTTCGGCTGTCAAATTGCCGCCTTGCTCTTGCGTTACCAATTTCCTATGGAAGTGAGGCATCCAGCACGCACGATTTGTTTCTATTTATGTACATTTTTTCTTAGTAAGTTCACTTTTAAATGTTTCCCGATTCTGCCTGTCATTCCTATTTAAGAGAGTATCTCTCATAACCAGGCCTTCAAAAAGGTTAAACATCTTGATTTTACATCGAGTAATCTACCAGGTTCTTCTCCTTGTCTTATTCTGGTCATACAGTTAGTGCAGGACTGCTTGCCTTTGAGGTTTCGTTTGTGACTTCAGACAGTGCAGCAGTTCCAGGATTTACTGGTTCATTTCACCTGGTCCTTTTCCAAGAACATCTTCTACCACTGCTGAGCGATGGCTCTGCTTGGTCATGAATTTCAGGGATATTTCCGCTGGCGGATCTGATGAGCTTTTCCTTCCAGAGCTGACGGGCTCACATTTGACCCAAAACATCTGTTCAGAAGCTGTCCCAGCCTTCTCGCCTCCTTTCTGATTTGTTTCTGGAGTTTGGGGCTTTGAGGTGCGTTGTCTTACATTCCTTTTGCTGCAAAGCCAGAATGGTGGTGGGAAGCCATAGAGGTCAAGGGAGATGGATGTGGCTCTTGCTAAGTGCAGACCTGGGAATCTCGTGCCCCTCAGGCAGGAGCCACTCGTTTATGGGATGATTGATGTTTGTGTTATTTGTACAGTGCGCAGTGATATCCGTATTTGATCCGTGATAAGATTATAATCCATGGGAAGCCATCGAGTAACGCCTAGCTCACATGAAGCACCGGGTATTGCCTGGCCCAGAAGTTACGCTGACAGCCCTCCCACGGCGCTCGTGCTGTTGCCTGTTTGTGTCTGTGCTGCTGAGACCTGTGAGGCCTTTGGCACAAATCCGGCCCTGGGTCTACCCGGCATCGGTTTTGTTCAACAGCAGCAACGTGGATGCTCAAAAACAAACAAAAAAACATAATTTACCAGGACTCGGAAGACCAGAAAAGGTCAGTATGTGAAAAGTTGTCAGTGGGACTGGGTTTTCTTCACATGTACTATAGTACAAACTACCAGAGCCTGCTGGAAGTACTACGGGGCAGCCTCTGGGTACGCTGTGGAGGTGACTAACACCTCACTAACACCTCACGTGTTGTTTGTGCTGTCTGTGCTCAGAGGAAGGCGCCGTGCTCCGCGGGGTGTTTGGGACGGGTGTTTAAGGTTGCTGCGTGCTGTCAGCGGCAGGTTGAAGCACCGTGCGATGCTCAGGGCGGCAGTGAGGTCTGTGACGTGCTGCGTTGAGGCAGCTGGTTCCTCCTGCTCACCTGCATCCTGTTGATATCACACAGCGGAACCCTAACGTGAAGTGTTACCTCCATGTGCTTCACGTGCACAACTTAGGTTTTTTTGGGAGGAAAAGCCAGCAGAATAATTGTTTTGAAGGAGGTGTCCGGGTGTTTCTCCCGAAACAACGGGGCTCTCCGAGCTGCGGGGTCGCTGCGTGTGCCTGGGGCTCAGCCCCTGGACGTTTGCTCAGAGCGGGGTGGGTGGCCCGGGGCGCCTCGTTTACAAGCCCACGCTTCTGAATTTTACCCTGAGGCTCCCGTGAGCTCCCAGCGGGGCTCAGCTCCCACAGCCCTCCCTGCGCTGTTACTTTGGGGGGGCACCTCCCGGGCACGGCGCTGCCTTCAGGCGGCCTCCCCTCGCCCTCACCCACCCCGGAGCCCACCTCAGCCCCCCGAGGGCTGGTGTCCGCCCGCCCACCCCCGTGTCCGCCCCTTGTCCGTGGTGCTGCCGGCTGCGGGCGGAGCGGCCCCGCCCGGGGGGCGGCGCGGCGCAGGCCCGGCCCCGGCCCCATCGCAGCCCGCGGCCGGAGCTGAGCGGGCGGCCCGGGAGGGGCGAGATGCGGCCGGGGGGCGCCATGGCCGGGGCGGCGCGGAGCTGCCTCTGCCTCCTCCTCCTCCTCCTGCTGCTGCTGCCGGCAGCTGCCCGCGGGGCCGCAGCGAGCGGGTGAGTGCGGGGCGAGCCGCGACCCCCGGGGCGGCGGGGCCGGGCCTGCTCCTGCGGGCGGCCCCCCGCATACCCTCAGCACCGCCGGGCCGGGGCCTGGAGGGGGGGGTGAGGAGGGCGCCGGGGGTCGCGGGGAGGCCGCGGGGGTCGCCGAGGAGCGGCCGCTGTCGGCCCCAGCAGCCCGGGGCCCTCCCGGCTGGGGTCCGGCCGCTCGGGGGTGACGGGCCCCGGGTCCTGCGGGAGGTGCTGAGGTGCTGGGCTGCTGGTAAGGGGTAGTTTTGTGCTTGGGGTATCCCACTGCAGGCAGCTCTCCTGGAGCCGGCAGCCACACTGCTGAGCAGGTATCGCTCCCGGGGGGCTCTCGGCGTGTTGCTGAGCCCCCAGTTTCTCGCCTGGCACCGGGCGTGTTGTCAGCAGGGGCTGGGGGCTGCCAGCCAGGCAAATCCCGGCTCGGACAGGTGGCTGGGGGCTGGTTGTGGAGGCAGGGAGCTCTGTGGGCACCGTGAGGGGCAAAGCTCACAGCACATCCCCAGTGGGCTGGATGTGTGTGTGTGCAATGGGCCCTCACTGTCCAGAGGGTCAGTGCTTCGTCCCTGCCCAGGATGAGGGAGGACACGCCGGGCACTGGAGCCCCGGGTGGTGTGTGGGCAGCGTGTCCCAGCTCATAACGCCAGCTCTGTCCCGAAAGATCCCAGAGCCCGGCTGTCTCAGCTCGGGGCACGACCACGAGGCCAGAACCTGGCACCTGTGCCCGTTCCTGCAGCGTTTGGGTGGGATGGGAGGGCTCTGGGGGCTCCCCAAGGAAGGGGGGTGTGAGGCAGAAGGGGGGTGTTACCGGAACCTGCTAATTGAAAATTCCTGAATGGACGTAATGGCACGGGGATGTGTAGCCCTAGGGGACCTGTGTGTGTTGTAGTTTTTCCCTTCCTGTTTGTGTCTGTGGGAGGTGTCAGCATTTGCCTGGGTAAGTTCATAAAAAAGCAATCTGACACAGCAATAGGCAGGGGTTTTGCCTTCTGCCTCCCATTTCTTCCCCAATTCTTGGTGTAACATACCCATCGGGATGGTCTAGCCGCACTTTATTGGTTTTTAAAGGAATTCTTAAAGTGTTTGAATACTTTGGTTTGAGTTTTCTGAGGAGATGCAATGTTTGCTTAAGATAATGCTTTTGTTCAGCTCACAAGAAACACAGCGTGGCCTCACCCGTATTTCAACAGATCTGGGACAATCATTCAGCAGAGTAAAGAGGTTTTTGTGGTTATTTCCTCTGAGTGAAGAATAAAAAGAGGAAAAACTTCAGTGTAGCTAATGTTGGAGCTTGTAGTGCTTTGTGTGTGGAGAGAGGAAGTTTGAAACACGACTTTGTAGTGTTTGCACGTCTCGAGCATTCTCATTTCTTAAGATTAAAAAAAAAAAAAGTTTATTTGCTCAACTCCACTGAGCTCTGTGATTGAATTCGTCCTGCGTGGTTTCCTTTGGTGACCAAATGTAAAGACAGTGACATCTCTGAAAAGAAGCGTTCCCACGAGCATCCGCCGTGCGAGGAGAGTCGGCCCCTGCAGCTGGAGGAGGTGAGCGGGCGCTGCCCTTGGAGCCAGCACCGCCCCGGTGCCTCCCGGGGAGGGGGAATTGTCTCCCACCCTCGGGCAGTGCGGCTTTGCTCAGTTTCTCACTGTAAAATGAGGGGCCAGGCTGGAGAGGATGTTAGTGGCAATACCAGAGAAGAAGACCGATGGTCCCTTTGCGGAAGGAGGGTGGCTGCTGTCCTGCAGGCAGATGAGAGCGTGGCTGCAGAAAGGGCAGAGGGAGTACCAAGAGTCTAGACAGGAAACCCTTACAGCAGAGGTCGGGGTTTTGGTGGGAGGGAGGTGAGAACATTGCTGGAAACGCTGCTGTAGGAGAGCTCAGTGTCATCATTAACTTCCCACACCACTAGTAAAATACCAGGAGAAATCACATTAACCATTCTTGTCTAGTTTAGCGTGAAGTATTTGAGGTGAGCAGCAAATCAAGTGCATGACTGTTTCTCTTGCCGTGATAGCAGGTCGTGTTTTCCTTCTAAGAAGGCAGTGACACCAGGAGACCTGCGTGGTCTGAAAACGTGGAGCAAGGGAGGGAGATGTGAAGAGAAGCTCCGGGCAGGAGTGCCCTGCAGCAGGAAGGCATGCCCCATGTCTCCAGGTGCTTTGGAGATGGAGCACGACCGTGGACATGCAGGGCACTCTGTGGTCTTTGAGGCATCAGAGGAACCAGAACTGCTGGCTTCCTACAAAATGTTCCTATATTTTTGCAGTAGATTTGTTGGCTTGCTGCTTTGTGTGAAGCTTTAAATGTTTTTAAGTGGACGTGGATAATATTTACATAGTGTAAGTGAAGGAGTTTCTTGCTTCCAGTAATTTGAAGAGTAAATCTTAACTGCAGCTGTCATCTTAGAGCGAAGGGCAGCTGCACAGAAACGTGCCTTCCCCGGGATGTGATGGGCTGAAGAATTGTACAGAAGAAGTAACTGATGGTTGGCTACCGTTCCGGATGGACGTTTTAATCCTGTTCACAGAATTTTCTCCTCAAACAGTTGCTGCTTGGCAAAGTCCTTTATGGTGTTGATAATGGGGCACAGAGGACGCATGCGGAATCGGCAGTGATGCCCCCCCCAGTCAGAAGGGATTCGAGCTCCTCAGACAGGGATCAGCAGCGCAGGTAACGCGGGCACATGAGAGGAATACCTGGCAGGAAGGGGCAGCTCTGCGAGGACAGCTCTGCGAGGGAGCTGCCAGGCTCAGGGGCAGGGTGGGAGGCAGGAAGGGGGCTGGAGCTCTGTGCTGCTCCTTGCAAACAGCGCTCTGCGTAACCGTCAGGTGACGGTGCGGTTGACCTCATCTGTTAATTGCAATCAATTAGAACACTGTGGTTAGCGCAGTCGGCATATCTAATGCGTTAGCAATGTGTGTCTTTTGATTCAGTCTCAGTTGTGTGCGTGCTTGAACTCAGCGCTGTTAACTGATACTCTTGCTTTAATACGGCTCTGACCACACCTTTACAGGAAGATGGCTGAGAATTGCCAGGATGGATGCAGGCGCTGGATGAATCCAAAGCAAGTGTCAGCTTTTGCCGTGCTTCTGTGTGAAAGGAAGCGCTTTCCCGTGTCAGTAGGAAACCTTCCACTCCCACGCAGGGACTCAGTAGGTGGCAGATAGAAGCGTGTGGTTACACTGGCAGTCCTCTGTGGCGTTCGCTGATGGAAAGCTGTACACAAATCTGGGGAGGATCAGAGGAATTGCAGCGTTTTGCTCCTTGTGAAGAAGGATGCTGCCTGTCAGCACTCACAATGCTGAAAGCAGCAGGGGATCCCAAAGGGGTGCTGAGCAGAAACCTGGCCGTGCAGCCATTGCTGGCATTTGGAGCACTGCAGTGCCCGGAGGTGCTGCAGGTGGGATGGCTTTGGAGGTTGCTTCCCCAAGGCCTGACCTCCTTTTTCTCCTCTTCCTTTTCCTCTTCTTCCTCCTCCTCGGTGCAGGAGGGGGCTTGTGGGTTCCTCGTCCCAGCTGCCCATAGTCTGAGTTGGTCACCTGCTGAGTGAGCTGGGCGTTGGGGAATGAGTTCTGCGGTGCAATAAGCTGCAGTCTGAACTTCCCCGAGTTTTCTTTTTTTATCGTTCCGTGGAAGAGGACGCCTTTGGGCTCACCTGAAGGGCTGGGCAGGAGGTACTGTAACAGCTGGGCCGTGCCTCTGTAGCACAGCCAGCGCTCTGCAGGCACGGTGAGGTGCGGGGAGGCAGGGCATGCAGCTTGGCCTCCAGGCATCGATCTTACCTGTCGGGGAATAAACGCCCCGCCAGCTTCCCTCGGTGTCTGAAAAGCCACAACAGCTCGGATTCAGTTCACTGGTTTTCAAGCTCCCACATGTGAGGAGCATGCATGGCATTCTTACTGCGGGTTCAGGGCGGGGAAGGTGATTCACGTCTTCCTGATAATTACGGCAGTCCTTAATGAGACAAGATAAACACAGAGGATGCAGTTGCTTTTCTCTGCTTGGAAATAACTTCAGCTGGTGCTGCGCCCAGGCCTGAGCGATAAGAAGTACCGCGGTGGTGAGCAGTAGCTGTCAAGATTTGGGCTCCTCTCTAAGAAGAAGCCAGTCGGGTCCCACAGCAGCGAGCCTTGAGGGCAGGAGGAGGATTTAGGGGCAGGGCTCTCTTTGCATGCTTTAATTGCCGAGCTGTTGTGTTTGCCCCTTGTATCTGGTTACTGAATAACCAGTCAGATGCTCCTCTTGAGGCTTGCTAATGAGTGAAATCTTACATGGGCAGCCAGTATGGAAGTGATTCCATACTGAAGTTGGGGTAAAGGCGATGGAGATAACTGCTAGAATGGGGGCTTTTGTTCTGGGAGGCCCCGCTGGTGGAGTCTGTGCTTTCAGACAGAGCAGGGAGGTTTTGTCCTAATGAGAATCCCACAAAGCAAACTTCTGTCTGTCCTGTAACGAAGTGGGCTCGTCAACCTAATCTGTACTACAGCATGGGAAGAAAAAGGGTGTTTTTGCCAGCAGAGGAAGGAGAACTGAGAGTTAAAGGGAAAAGGATTTGCACTGAGTTCCAGCTTCTAACGTGAGCCTTGCTGTGCCCCTTCCATCCGCTGAGATGAGAAGCAAGGAGCTGCCTTCCTCCTCCTGTGCTTGAGCTTGTTCTAGCAGGAGGAGACAAACACACCTCCCTCTGATACAGCCAACCAGGGGAAGGGGAAGGCATTGCACCTGAAATCAACCCCCAGGCTGGCAGTGGGGAAGTGAGGAAAGGAGAGCAGAGGTGTCGGAAATCCCTGAGACCTGAGGGCGATGCTCTTTCGCCGCCACTTCTCTGCGACGCAGCCTCCCGGGCTTGCCCTCTTCCCAGAAGTTCCTCCCTGATGTTCCTCCCCGAGCTGTGTGTGCTGATTCACGCCTCTGTGTGCGGCGTCCAAGCTGCTTTTGGGGAGGCGTGTGGCTTTCTGAGCGCTGCGGGGACCAGCGGGGCCCTGGGACAGGATGTGAACAGAACCGGGTGGCTGGAAGTGACAGAGGGAGAGAGGTGACTCGCCAGAGCGCACTGCGGTGGCTCATCTTGGGGAAGGAAGCAGCCCTTCCCTCTGCTGTTCTCGGGCGAAGGAAGCGTTGCCACTGTACTTTCTGTAGCCTCTGAACTACAGTTCAAGAGCTATTTTCAGGAAGTGTCCCTGATTATGTTTTCCCACACTTCTCCAATAATCACAGAAACGAACCAAAGTTCTGCTGCCGTGTGCGCAGCTGTGCTGCTGCCTGGTGGGAGGCAGCGTGGCTCTGCCCGTGCTTATGTGACAGAACCGCAGTGTTACAAACAGCAGGCAGTAATGAATACGGCTGTGTTCCCCAAGCAGGTGTGTGCTTGCGCTGCAGCCTATGAGAAACTGGAAGCCATCAAACTGCTTTTGCTTCCTCACTGGGATCCTGCTGGGAAGAGCACGGAGATGATGGGCGTAGCGTTCCCGCTGCGCTGGCGGTGTTGGTGCAAGGCCTGGCTATTGCAAAGTGCACTCTTGGTGTCAGACATAAAAGCATTTGTGGGCTGCCTAAGGGATCTCCAGCTAATTTTGCTGACTGTGATAAATCAAAATCGGTCTGTCCTGCTGTAAATTCTGCTTTTCAGCTGCTGCTTTGCATGCTGCTTTTGTGCAAAGCTCCGCTGAAGAGGGGTGCATCCTTCACAAAACTGAAATCAGCCCAATCTGTGCCTCAGGCTGAGAGGTGCTGAGCTTGAGAAGGGAAAAGGTACCAGAAAGGAGGCTGTAGGAGGATGAGGGGCTCACCACAGAAGCAGGAACACTTCCCTGTCTTCTCTTTAGCCTCCTGTTGGTGCGGTAAGCTCGTGGTCGCAGTGAGGAGTGCGGCTGCTCCCTTCCCCTGCGTTTGCCTCGGAAGGCTCACACGGTGCTGTGAGCTGAGCTCACCCATCCGTGGCTGTGAGCTCGCAGGAGGCTGCTCCTCGTCCGTGCCTGCGGGTTGGGAAGGTAACTTAGGTGTGCACTTCACTCCTGTCTGCACGTCCATGCGGAGCAGGTGCTGGAAAACCTGGTGGCTCGTGCAGGACGGTAGAGTTTTGGTTGCTTTCTGCTCCATCAGGTGATCTGTCTGTTGCATATGCAAATTGTTCATACAGTAATCTGCAAAAGGCTTTTTTTTTTTTTTTTGCATGTGTTTGTTTCGCCCCGCTTGTTTTTATAAGGTGCTTAAGTGCTCTCTAAGAACGTAATGAGCAGTCCTGGCGTTCTGTCAGCAGCTCGGCAGTGGCGTGCAGGGCTGAGGGCGTGACGCTGAGCTCTGCTGGCCTCCAGCACAGCATTGGAAGCCCAGGATCTGCTGGAGCCTCTGGGAGCTGAGCTGGAGAGGCTCTGGAGCCCAGCTGGTGTGTTTCTGCAGCTCAGGAGACCTGGATTTGACACTGCCTTTCTTTCTGTCCTTGAGCGAGTTATCTCTGTGCTGACCTCCTTGATGTGCTCTGATTTCTGCTAATGGAATGTGAGATAGACACCTGTAAGGGAGTAACTGAATCATGAAGCTTTCAATTCAACGTGTTCTGCTCAGCTCGGTTGTGTGGCCTTTCCCAGGGCAGCCCACGAGTGCCGTGCTCTGAGCCACACTCTGCGCTGTCCTGTGTGTGTTGGGCCTGCGACTTCGTGTGTTTGGGTGCGGAGCTCCAGGGGCTCCAGGGCTGTGCTGCACAAAGGCTCTGGTGGGGTCTGCCCGGTGCCGTGCACCTGCACAGAGCTCCAGGGGTCTGCCTGCCTCCTCCCTGCCCAAGGGAAAGAGCTTTTCTTCCTGCTGCCTCATCCTTCCGACTGCTTTGTTTCCTTACGTGGACTAATCTGCTGGCGTTTCTCTCTTGCTTTTTAGGTTTCCAGGAAATTTCTGAGTTGTCGTCCTATGAAGTTATAATCCCGCAGAGGTTAGGAAGAGAACGGCGAGAGGCCTCCAATGTCTCCTCGGTGCAGGTACGGGGCAGTATTGACCCAGCTGAGGGCTGGGTTAGACACCTCCAGGGGTGCTTTCCAGCCTGTATTGTCCTGCTGTAATCACATAACTAAAGACTGCACGCCTCAAGGTATTGGGATTAGACCAAATGTTTTTAGTCATGGATTTTATAAGCCTTGGCAGAGTTTAATAATCACAAAAATGCCTTGCAGTTTATTGCTGTCGATGACTAGTACTCTTGCTGTGATATTTAATGTAGTGATCAGGCGATTCAGCTTCCCCTTAACATGTAAGGACCCTCGTTGCTGTGCATGGCACTTGGCTGACGCCGGGCTGTGGAGGTACTGGCACACTGAATGCTCAGTGGTAAAACAGTGCTGTCCTCTTCCAGCTGTAACTAAGAGTTTTTTCTGTGAAAGTCTTGTTATAAACAAGGAATGTGAAAACCACAAAGCTATTTCGAAACAGCTTTCTTCATGTGACTTTTTCCCAGCTACGCAGGAAAAGATGCCAGGTTCTGGAGGTAGGGACGGTTAGAAAATAGGTTTCAGGCTCACACACCCTGCTTATTTCTGCTCCAGTGCAACCAGCAAGATTTAACAAAGTGCAGTGTCTGTGTCTGGCAGTTTGCATGTGTGGATATGCCATGTAGAATCAGTGTGGTTTGTGTTGGAAGGAACCTTTAAAGATCATCTAGTTCAACCCCCTGCCTTGGGTGAGAACATGTGTGGACACAGCAGCCATCAATTCTTTTGGATCTCTGGAAACCAGAGCAAACTCAGATGGCTGAGGCCAGCTTCTCATCGCAGTCTTGTCAGCACAGCGAGGTCGGTCAGGAGCACAACAAACACCCGGTCCCCCTGCCCAGCATCGTGGTACCAGCCAGCAGCACCACAAGAGGAGCAGCCGAGGTCAGCAGAGCTCCACATCCTTCAAGGAAGCAGTTTGAATTTTGTTGCATCTCCTGTAGGGACTTTGCTAAGGCTGTGTCTGTGAAGGCTAACGGGACAGACCGCTCCTGAGCTGTGGAAGGTGTCAGTAGTGATCTGAATACTTGCGCCCATAGTAGTAGCTTGCAGAGGCTGTTTCTGCCAAACTTTTGGTGCTGTTGAAGAACATTTTGTTCATTAACATAACTAAAATGCAACTTTTTCTTTTTTACGTTCAGGACAAGGTGTCGTACGCTATTGAGATAGAGGGAAAAGAATACACAATTCATCTAGAAAAGAACAAGTAAGTGGTTAATTTCTCAATTATTAAATTCCAACTGTTGCTAGTTTTGATTCCTGAGGTTCCTGATGAGAAGGGACAGTTACAAACTAACTCTGAGAAATCTGCAGAGAAAGGCAGTGAAAGTGGGCTGAGCCACAGTTGTCCTGGCTATCAGCCAGCAATGTTGTTGAGCTCCTGTGACACTGGTGATCCTCTTGCAGTGAAGGAAGTAGTAGTTTGCTCAAAGGGGATCTGGGGAATCATTGAAATAACTCTCCATTCACATCTAAAAATAAACAAACTGAGTTACATTTCAAGTAAATATTTCTGCTTTCCTTTGGGTTTTGTTTATTGTTTCAGGTTTTTTTCCCCTGTCTCAGTAGCACAAGACTACTAACAAGTGAGGAAGTGAACTTCATCTCCCAGCTCTTAGTATCTGTAACTTACAGAGAACGTAGATGTTGTCTGCCTTGCTTTTAATTTTTAAAGGGCTACTTGAGCAACAGCAGGTTACCGTACATCAGGCTGTTCCCCTTGTAAAACTGCCTTCATAATAGAAGAGACATAACTGTCTCAACAGAAGGCCACAGAGATCTGTCTGCCATTTGCCAAACTCCTGACCCTCAGGAACGTGGGAATTCACCTACACTTGCACCTCTGGATTTACGAGTACAGGTCAGCTGTCTTAATCATAGGAGACTTTCCCAATACACTTTCTTCCAAAACTGGGGATGTCATAATCAGCCACCTGAGTGCTGTGCTTTTTTTTTTCTGTGTGAAAGCTGGTGAGCTCTTAGCACCATCTAAAGACTTTTGATGCTTGTTCTGCTTACCCAGGGTGAGGTGTTTGATTTGTTTTCATTAACGGTTCCACCATTGTGATATCTTGGATTTTGCTGCAGAAGTGCACAATTTTTCAGTTTTTTTTTCCCTTTTGAACAATACATTTAATTATAATTTGCATACATGTGACACTTAATTAGGATCATCTTGCTACCTACTATAGCATTATGATTATGTCATGATTTTCCTCTTTCCTCTCTTCTACTCTCTTTCCTTGCAGAGATCTGCTGCCCAAAGATTTCACAGTTTATACATATAGTAAGGAGGGGAAGTTGCAATCTGAAAATCCAGATGTCCAGGTAGGACTTCTTCCTTTTTATACCTTTCCTGAAGGTGTCTTGAACATTGAGCATCAAGACCTGCAGCAGAAGTGGGGGTTACCTGAGGCCTAGGGAAAGCTTTTCCTTTTGCACACAGCGATCTTCCACATTGGTCAGCTGCTGACCCATCTTTTTTGTTTTACGAGGCGCTGTGTTAGTGACTCTTAAGAAGCTCCAAGGGCTGACAGCCCAGCCATCAGTCCAGACGTTTGGGAGCTACTGGAAGGGGCGGAGGACCTCTGAGAGGGACGTTATATGCATAGTGTTGGAGTTATTTCACTGAAAATATTTGCAGCCCTCTTCAGTACGAGCAGACTGCCTGCTAGGCTGCCTTTGAAAATTTAATTACTTCTGTAGAACAAGAATAAATAGAAAGTAGCAGCCTTTGCAATACAAAAAGCATGAAAGCGTTTCTAATGGCTTCACTCCTCTTACATACCGGCATTGTTCCTTTGAAAGGGAAGTGTTAGTCATATATGATTCATGGGATCTTGTTTTTGAAAATAGAGCACCTGAACTGACTATTTACTTCCTATAAAAAAATGATTGAGAGGAAAAGTGTTTTTTCTGCACAAGGTTACTGAAGTTACGGTGACCCTGAAGGATTATTGCACGCCTCAGCATTCAGTGCTGAAAGAACAGGCGATGTAACCTGCCTGACCCCTATAGTAACATTCAAAAATGCACTTGTCAGAGAAAACTGAATGCATTTGCCATGTATTACCCTATTTTCAAATTTCCAGAATGTCTAATACAGAGGATAAAATGGAGCTGTTGTGTCTGCTCAGGGCTGATGGGGGATGTTCTGTGCTTTTGGGAAGTTTAGGCAGCACAGTGCCTTGGCGAGGATAGCAGGTGTTGGCCCTCTTCTTGCTAGAAGGAGGCTACATGCAGGCCAAACCTTCTCCAAAACAGTTTTTTTTTCAAAGTCTGAATGATGATTTGGCCCAAATCAGTAGGGAGGGGCTAGCCTCAAAATATTTGAGGCAGGGCGGAGGACAGAACTGCAGAGAAGGATGGCTCAGTGTCAAAGCTAAGAAATCCAGTCGCTAGATAATGCCTCTGAGCCCTGCCTGTCAGGATTGCTGCACGTTAACAGTGTCAGCTCAGAGTCTGGCTTCAGGTAGAAGGACTGAGTGGGATTTTAAACTCAGATCTAATGAACTACTGGCTGTATCGAGTTGTGAAGAGCGCTTTCTTCACAGAATAGGACTCAGACTGGGTCCCTACCTCCCTATCCATCTGACAGCTTGATTAGCTTCCGTTATAGAAGTCCTCGTGGCACCAAGGCATGGGAGGAAGTTTAGGTGCATGCTGGAGAAGGAAATGCTGTTACGTTGTGGTAGTGCCAGAGGCAAGTTAGAGGCTGTAGACTATAGGTACTTTAAACATTATGTTGTCAACTTGCAGCTACTGCGGGTCAGTGGCAGACATGGCAATTTATGTGCTCAGGGGTCGCCCTGGGTGTGCAGAAATGCATGGAATATGCCTGTAATATGCCGTTGTTTTCCCACACAGGATCACTGCCATTACCAGGGATACGTGGAGGGGATCCTGGATTCTGTTGTTGCTGTCAGCACTTGCTCGGGGCTCAGGTAGCAGAACTCATCTTTTGTGCTGCAGTTGTCACGTGAGGCTCACGGTTCATTGAACCTGAAACACAAATTCTTTCTCTGTTTTTAACTACTGTTCAGCCAGATGGGAATTCATGGACTGGGGCTGAGCTGCAATAGCGTGTATTTTATGTAGTCTGTCTGCAGTATCGTTTGTTCAGGTGGAGTTAACAGATATTTCCACTAGCTTTAAATACAAGCTAATGCAATTCGGTATCAGTACAGAAAGCCATTTGTTGACACAATTTTTGCCTTATTTGATTTGATGGTCATTATGAAGAATTATACTCAGTGCAAAAGTGTAAAGTGGAATACCATTCTGCAAATTTTTTAGAATTGCACTTTAGCTTATGCACTTCGAATGTGATTGAAAATTCTTTTTGTGTTAATTTCCATACCTTTTGTGCTAATTTCCATACCTTTTGGGACTTCATTTTGATGCAGCAGTGTGCCAGACACAAAAGCAGTGATAATAATGGAGCTACATTTTTTTCTGCATGTGATTTAATTTCTCAGGCATTGCAGACTGATGGAAACGTTTAATTTGCTGTATTTGTGAGGGCTGTGTTCAGCCTTTAAGTGAAGCATACTGTTTTGCAAGGACAAAGAGGACAGAGATACAGTTATTCCTTCAGTTATCAAAGAACAACTGTTTCTTTTTCTTTAACTGTAAAAATCTGCATAGTTATTCTGTATTTAATGAAAAAACTTCTTGAACATCACCATATTTTAGGGGGTTGGTGACCATAGAGAACACCACCTATGGGATTGAGCCCATGGATTCGTCCTCTGGCTCCAAACACATTTTATACCCATTGGATAATGTGAAGAAAGAACCCACAACATGTGGAGTAACCACCGAAGGCCATGAAAGGGAACATGCAGGGGAAAATCACCATCCCAGTATGACTCAGCTGCTGCGAGTAAGTGCACCACTGTTTTCTCCATAGTCCCCTATAATGGATTTTGTGAATGTTCAGCTAAGAATATGGAAGCAGCTTACTGGATTTCCTGGGGTTTAGCACATACCTAAAGGTTTCTGATCCAGAGGGTTTTCTACTCTGCTGGAAAATGCAGTTGTCGCAACAAAGCAGTTGCAATTTTCTTCTGCGTCTGCACAGAGCAGTGAGAGTTCAGTGGCTGGCTAGATTATTCATTGACAGAGCTTTCAGGGGCTTTTAAAGGCAGGAACAGTACCATTATTGGAGAGGCTCATTATCAAAGTATTGCATCATAAGCCGGCAGAATATTGTGTTTAGTCCATTCTCCTAACCATCAGTTAGGTGTGAATGTCCCCTTTGCTGTTTAAAGACTGGCTATATGGGAACACAGATGCTCAATTTTAGTGTAAAACACTGTAGAGAAATTGTCATTGCTTTGGATTGCATTTCTTGCTTTTGGCTAGTTTTCAACTTGGCGGAGTGACTCTTAAACCACTAGTTGTGCCAAGTGAGATATGACAATATAATATTTCTTGTTGTTACTTATTCTGAGTTAATAAACTTGAAATTATCCAAAACCTTTTTCCCCAGAGAAAAAGAGCCGTCCTACATCAAACAAGATACGTGGAGCTATTCATAGTTGTGGATAAAGAAAAGGTAGGGATTGTGTTTTGCTTTCTATTCCTTCTCCCAGGGAGATGACTTGAAAAGCCCTCAGTCTCCGTTATTCCCAAATGGGCTGTTGAAAGACAATGACACTTTAGACAAGGTTATGCAAAAATGTTAACCTATAACTGAATAAATATGTCCTCTGTGATACTCCTCAAGAGAACAGTAAACTGTCAGACATGGAGAGTTTCTATCTGCAAAGGAATTAATGGAAGGAAAACACATGGCAAAAATTGCCTTTCCTGTTCTCTCTTGGATATTGAAAAGCTCAGTAACAGCAATGAAAATGCTGTTTTCTTGATAAGAAGGGGTTCAACTTTGTATCTTTTAAGCAGGAGATTGGGAGCCTGGCAGGGATTATTTTTGTTATTAGTCTTAAAATGTTTTATTTGTTTTTCTGATTTTTTTTTTCTTCTTTTCATGACAAAGTTTATTTATCTTGCAGTTTGAAGATTTTGGGAAAAGTGAAACAGAAGTAAGAGAACACATGGTGCAGCTGGCAAACTTCCTTGATAGTGTAAGTTAAGACACGCTGACCTTAAGGAGGAATGACAGCGCGTGCAACAGCCTTTCAGCTCTGTTTATGTTTATAAACTTCCACCTTGGAGTTTGTTCTCTTACCACTTTGGAGAGAATGAAATAAAGGTTTTTGTCAAGCTAGGAACTAAACCTGTTCCAATGGGTCATCACTATGAAAGCTTTTTTCCTCCCCTAAATTCATCTGCAGTTATACTTGAGAATGAACTTAGGGAACTGTTATAACCTGTGACACAGTGACAGGACAGGTTATTGCTGTCCTTGTGTATGTAACCTTTAGGTTAGAGAAAAAGCATGTCTTTCAACTTGACTGTTTCAGATGATATTTGTCAGGATTTAAAATACTTTTTATTTGTGTCTTGGATTTCCTTGTAGTATGGCCACTGTGGCATTTAAGCGCTGATTCTTTAGCTAATTAAAATGGAACTTACTGGGAAAATGCATCCTGGTCATTTGAACGGTGTACTAAATTTAAAAAAATAAGTGGAAAAAGTGTGTGTGGGGAAAAGGAGGTTCTCACAGTTAGATGCGTAACACAAAGCCACTTGTTCTTATCTGAAGGTCTTCAGAAATATTTATTCTTATTTTATTTTTTCTTCCCCAGATGTACGTAATGTTGAACATCCGCATTGTACTGGTTGGCCTGGAGATCTGGAAGTACGAAAACATCATCAGTACAGACGGAGGTGCTGGTGATGTGCTGGCAAACTTTGTACAGTGGCGAGAGAAGAATCTTGTTTTGCGACGGAGACATGACAGTGCCCAGTTTGTTCTGTGAGTCGAGGTTCCTTCCCTTTGACTTTTAAGAAGCTTATTCTATTCCTGTCGGCTTAGCTGTGCTCTAGCATCAAAAGTAGCTGTTTTCTGGCAGAGTATCGAATGCAATCTGCTGTGTTTTATGGGAAAACACTCCAAGTCAACTTAGGGATTTTAAGGTTTCTGTGGTCCTTGAATGTCCTCCCTGACAGATACATTCCTAAATTTATTTTCTCGTTCCACATCTCCTGCAATGTTATATTTTTGTATTGTGTAAAGCTTGTAATCAGATAATCCTTTGTCAGGATTGTACACTGTTCAGACTTGTAATGTAGGGCTTTTTTGCTTGGAAGTGAGCATTAGCCTGGTGCTGAGCATTGCATCTGCATGGAGTAAAAGCTGTTTCTGCAGTTGGTATCCAGAAACCGGCTGCGCAGTTTGAGCTTTGCTGCGTGACATTAATCTGTCTGTTCCTGTTGCCTGAAGCAAGCACAGAATTTGCAGGACGCGTGCCCCCGTGCACTTCCTGCCCCTGCAGATAGCACAGGACTTAGGAAGCCACTACCCAAAGCACAAGGGAGTGCAGAGGCGAGAGCACTGCTTTGCACGGGGGCAGCTGCCCGATCTGCCCTGGCACAAAGCAGTAGCTCCCCTTCCTGCAGGGCAGCAGGAGCTCAGAGCCTCTTCTCCATCGAGGCAGAGCACCACTGGTCAGGTTATGAGGGCAAGATGGCTGAGAAAAGTACTTTTAAAAATTGTTTTGTATGAAGTAAAATGTGGTTCGTTGCACTTAAGCTTTAAGATCTATGTAGGAAAAAAATAAGATAGTAATGAAAAGGAAGTCAGCAAGGAAAGGAACCTATGTTTGGCAATAGTAGAAAGGCAGTTAATGGCCAATTTAAACACATGATTGTAAGGGTGGAGAACTTAGCTTTTCATGTTTAAAGGAATATGTGGGAGAGGCTGACTCTCTGCAATCTCTTAATTCAATTTAAAAGAAAAAAATGAACAGAAAGATAAAGCTGAAGTAGTACCTTCATACCCAAAATAAACAGTAGCACTTGTAGCACTGTTCCTCCCATTTGCTAGCATGTGAAAGCTGAAAAGCCAGTGTTTTGTGCCCAGAGGCTACTGAGTGGCTGTATGGATGGGCTGTATTATTAACAGACAGTATTACATTGTCTGTATGATTATATTTCTCCTTTTCTCTCACTGACTGCAGGAAGAAGGGATTTGGTGGCACTGCTGGAATGGCCTATGTTGGAACAGTGTGCTCCAAGAGCCACGCAGGAGGCATTAATGTGGTGAGATATCTTTAGTAATGCTGTGAGTATGAATGAGATAAAATAAATAAATTGCGCTCCACAAGTCTTCTGGAAGTACAGAATCTTTAACAACACAGCTGCAGTGGTTTAATGGGGGCTTTCATGGGGTCACAGTTTCTGGCAATGCCGTGATACCTGGGTCACGACTCTTCTGCCGTCTTTTGCATCCTCTGATTAGCCTTCCCTCTCCTCAGCGTGCAGTGCTCATGAGGAAGGGACGGGATTTCTCTGCTGATGTTTTAAGCACCCATGTTGTAGAAGTATGTGGGAGCTGTGAGCATTCATCTCAAATCTGTCCCCTGTTGGTGTCTGCTTGACATCTGCAGCTGTGCCATTCTGTGGAACAGTGCTGGTTGGTTGCCCTCTTATGTGAAATTCCAGAGCATTAGTGAGCTGCATTGACTTTTTGGCACATAAGGAAGCACTGACTTTCTCAATATAAAGCGTCCACTAACTTCCTCTGTTTTGCTCTTGTGCAGTTTGGAAAAATCAGCATACAAATGTTTGCATCGATTATGGCTCATGAACTGGGACATAACCTGGGGATGAACCATGATGACGAAAGAGTCTGTCACTGTGGAGCAAGCAGTTGCATTATGAGCTCTGGGGCATCGTAAGTAACTGAGGAAAGGGGAGGCAATTCCAGGCTGTCAAAACTCCCTGTGTATATGCTTAGTTTTTACAAGTCACAGGAAAGCAAATATGATGCTTGTTCTACAACAAGTACATGAATTGACGTGGTGTAAAGATATGCTCATGTTCTCTGTACAGGGGATCAAGGAACTTCAGCAGCTGCAGTGCGGAAGACTTTGAGAAGCTAACTCTCAACAAAGGTGGAAGCTGCCTGCTCAACGTTCCCAAGCCTGATGAAACCTATAGTGTCCCATACTGTGGGAACAGGCTGGTAGATGTAGGGGAGGAGTGTGACTGTGGTTCGCCAAAGGTTGGTAGCTTGCATGTTTTACAAATGCTGCCTGGGTAGCCTTGCATGCCCCTCACTGGAGAGCAGCCTGTGGCTGGCTGAGGGTGTGATTTCCTGACATTCACAGAACTTCTGTTTTCAGGAATGTGAAAGTGATCCTTGCTGTGAGCCAGGTACTTGTAGGCTCCGATCTGGTGCTGCATGCGCTTACGGTGACTGCTGTAAAAACTGCCAGGTAAGAGACTGAGGTGTATTATTTGGAAGCGTTCTTCAGTGGGTTTAGAAAAGGAGCGTAGGCCTAGCCAGGGCATCTGTGAGATGAGCAGCACACGCTGTGCTGGGAATTGCCCTGCACGTTTACAGCACCCTCAGAGGGCTGCAGATCAATGCCCTTTCTGCGGGGAGCGCACTGTGGGTTGGGTGCATCATTCACTGCTGTGAGGTTTATATTTTCTGATAGTTTCTCCTCTCCAAACTCTCTCTTTAGCTCCTTCCTGGAGGAACTGAGTGTCGGGCGAGTAACAATGAGTGTGACCTGCCAGAGTACTGCAACGGCACATCCCAGTTCTGCCAGCCAGACTTCACTGTTCAGAACGGTCACCCGTGCCACAACGAGGAAGCCTACTGTTACAATGGTGTTTGCCAGTACTACGATGCACAGTGTCAGGATATCTTCGGCTCAAGTGAGGAAGAGCACAGTATTACAGTTTTTCTAGGAGACGTAGTTAAAAGAAAACACTGAGCTTATTTAAAATGTTTCATTGTTTTCCTGTAACAATGACCAGATGGCTCTGGCAAAGGATTTGTAATAGTGGTATTTATGGCTTTACCTTCACACACTTTTCCTTTGTTGCAATTAATGCTGTGCTGGTGACTCAAGTAGTAGTTTTCTGAGCATTCCTATTACAGTGAGGCTTCTGGTTTATAGGACTTGAAGAAATAACATCCAGTCAATTATGCCATTTGATAAGTAACTTTTTAAACTTTTTTTTTTAACTTGGGACCTTGTAGTGCTGACAGTTTCACTCTATCATTTTGATCAAGCTCTTGAGCTATCTGTGTTGCATGGAAAACATTAGGCATAGCAGGGTAATTGGTTTGGGGAATGAAAACATGATGATGTGACATGTTTCTGTCTCTGTTTAACCTGGTTCCTCTGTCTGGGGGAATGGGCTGTTTTTTTCAGAAGCCAAAGCTGCCCCGAACATTTGTTTTGCTGAAGTGAACTCCAAGGGTGATAGATTTGGCAATTGTGGTTTCCACGGCCATGACTACAAGAAATGTTCCAGCTGGTGAGTTGAGCCTGACACATCAACAAATTCCTAAATGTATCACTGAGATTTATTTGGGTGCCACAGTGTTAACTTGGGGTTTTACAGCAGGCTCGCTGGGGGAGAGAGATGTTATGCCATAATCTAACTTTATCAGCAATGCATGTGTCACTCAGTAACCACAGTGAGGTGGTTTAGGAAAGGTCTGAAAAAGATCTGAAATTTCTGAAGCTGTTAGTAGCACTTAACTAACTCACAGTCCCCACACCTGCATTCCTAAGCTTTGCTGGCTTTTGTTTTAGTTTGTTTGGCTTTTAACTCTTGCCCTTAATAGCTGAAATGGATTTGAATATTCAGGCAATTCTTCTGTAGCTGGATTTTGAAGCTTTTGTGCTTGTGCTGCAATTCCTATGCATGCAGCGTTCTGTTGCCTCAGGGTGTCTTTGTGTCGTGCACTCAGACTTGGGGCTATGGCAGGGAGAGTTTGTTCTACATCTGCCATCATTGATTGTTCTTATCCTAAAGTCTTTACATACAGGAAAAAGATTAGGAAATGGTCATGTTTTCTTTAATGTAAAGATCCTGGCAGCTTGCAGAAAGAACGGGTAAATCCATACCCTTCCAGCACTGAAACGAGGCCCAGCTCAATTCTGTTTGGCAGGTTGCCTCAATTTTATTTTCAAGTAGCGTCTTCCAGTAGAAAGAAAAGGTCATATCTGCTTTCAGTTGTCTTCTCAGAATAAATTAGTGTCATCATTACAGTATTTGTATGTTGATGTTGTAGGAATGCCATGTGTGGGAAGCTGCAATGTGAAAATGTGAAAACTATGCCTGTTTTTGGAATTAAGCCTGCCATTATCCAAACTCCCATTAGAGGCACCACGTGCTGGGGTGTAGATTTCCAGCTAGGCTCTGATGTCCCTGATCCAGGAATGGTGAATGAAGGCACCAAATGCGGTGCTGGAAAGGTAATTAACAAGTCAAAAGTGACTACTAATAATTTGGGTTTTAATGTGAATAAAACTTTGAGCTGCCTTGTTTTATGGGTACATATGGCCACTATTTTGAGGGGGGAGGGGTTCACATAGTTAATGCAGAACTGAGTAAGTCCATTATGTCCACACACTGCTTAGTATTGCAGTGCATGTCCAGAAAAAAATAAATCTAAAACCCCTCTCATTTGTAGATGAAGCAAAAGAAAACAAATATTTTTAAGAGTCAGAATCCTTCCTCCATCAGTGAGCAGGAAGAACTAGGCTTGCACAAATGCCTCTGAGAAAATTTTCAATTAAAATCAACCTAAACTAAATGTACTTGAGAAGCTTAGCACCAGTAGAGGAATGTGCATTCCGCATCCCCATACTGCACTCTGCTAATCCTTTACATTCAGACAAAAGCCTTCAAGTGAGAATTCAGACCCCATACTGAGAAACCTTTTGTAGAAGAGATGTTCCTGTGGAGTTAAGGTTTAACACACAAAAGTCCGAGACTTGCTTTGCAGTCCATGAGAACAGAGTGCCTTGAAAGCCATGAGCTATCGGAGGTGAAGCAGGCAGCCTGGGGAGCAAGGAGTGGGAAGAAGGGGTGGGTCAGTGAAAAGCCAGCATGCTTCACTTGTGTGCATCTCTTTAACTCCCCTAGATCTGTAGGCATTTCCAGTGTGTGAGTGCCTCTGTCCTGAACTATGACTGTGATGTAGAAAGGCAGTGTCACGGGCATGGGGTAAGTAGTGCAGGAGCCTCTGCTCCCACAAATAGTCCACTTAGAATGGCTGCTAAGGCTGTAAGTTTTGATACAACTGGCAGTGTTTCTGTACGAGGCTCTCTGACATATATATACTTGAAAGCTCTTAAGATAATAATTTCTTTGCTGGGCAGGAGTAATTCCCAGTTCCAGGATTGCTAATGTAACTTGAAACTGCATCTCGCAAAAAAAGGGCAGTTAGGACAGCTAATCTTTGGAAGCTCGTCCTGAACAATGCTGTGCTTGCTCAATCATGTGAAATCTTGAAGACACGTGGCCTGGCCTGGCCTGGCCAAAGACTATCTAGAATTGACATGGGAATTACTGGTTAAAGTTCTCCAAGATGAGTGATGTGGAAGGGACAGAATAGACAGTCATGGCTACAGCATGCTGCTTTTAAAAATATGGAAACATAAGTTACCAATTTGTTTATACAGAACTTTGCAAAACGAGTATTCAACTGAATATTAAAATGCCTATTGCAGTGAGTTTTCAAAACAATTTGTCTTATTTTTGTCTTATTGCCAGCAGCTCTGTCACAGTGTATGCATAATGCTAACATTTTGCTCTGTATCCTAGGAGGAGAAATTCCTGAGTGCAGTGTTAGTAGTTGTTCGTATAACTTTTTTTTAAATTTCCAAATGGGCTGTAGCAGCTGAAGACACCTTGCTGTCTTTGTGTTCTCACTATTCTTAGCCAGAAGATATTTTCTGCAGTAATAGATGGCTTCTTCCTCTGTTTTGGTTTTTATTTATGTGTGTGTGTGTTTTATTTAAATATAGGTGTGCAATAACAACAGGAACTGTCACTGTGAAGCAGGCTGGGCCCCTCCTTACTGTGAGACTAAAGGCTACGGAGGAAGTCTTGACAGTGGACCTCCTTATAACGGCAAGTAGTGCGAAGGCAGCTCTGGAGCTGTGGGTCTGTCTTGCTAGGGGTGATGCTGGGCTGAGTGCAGTGCCTGATTGCTTGGAAGCAGCTCAATTCTGGTGTCTGAAGTGCTGGTGGTTGGCTGTTGACCAGGTTTCTTTTGCAGCCAGTAGGTTTCATTTGCAAGCAATACCAGTTAGGGTTTTGAGCTCAAGGTGTTGCCCTTCTTTCTTTTGGGGTGCAGTAGATCTTCAAAGAAACTGGTCTGTTTTAGCTGTCTTCAACTGATTTCTGCCAACTTGGACCAAAATCAACTTGGACTTCTCTGTACCTGAGCTGGGAAAATTGCCCTTTCTAATCTTAGATTTTATTTTCTGATCATCTTTGTTTCAGAAATTCTCTGGTCACAGGTGGAAAAAACATATGCTTTATGATATGCTGGGCTATAACAGCATATTGCTTTACAAAATTAATTCCTAATTTCTTTCACTCCATCACTGTGAAGATTTTGAGCTCAGCTGAAAGACAGGAGAACAGAGCTTCCTCCCTTTGATCCAATCCTACCTCTGTTTGCTTTACACAAAGAGCTCAGGTTCTTAGCAATCTCTGCATTTTTACATATACCAAATTTCTCCACGACAGGCTGTGGTGCGATTCCCCAGTCTGTTATTATGCTAACACAGTATCTAGCTTCCCTCAAAAACCTCTACCATCTTATTAAAAATGGTCTTCAAGATCATTCTTGCGGTCTTAATAGTTTCTTTAGGTTTTTCTTCCATGAAGAACTTGAGGGTAGTTGGAAAAAAACAATCCTGCTAAATGCTGCAATGAGTTGAGGGGTGGTAATGCTATATAATACTTTTTTCCTCTCCATCCTTTTGTCCCTATCAGACAAAGACACCTCATTGCGGGATGGACTACTGGTATTTTTTTTCCTGGTCCTACCACTCCTTATAGCTGCTGTTCTGGCATTTGCAAGGAGAGACAGGCTGAAGAGATGGTTTAGAAGGTTAATGTCACGCTGTCATTCGTAAGTATATTCTCCTCCTTACCTTCTCTTCTGCCCTTTTGAGGTAGTCCATAGACATTTCCTTACACAAGCCAATACCAACATATGTAGGCATATTCCAGTCCCAAGGTGGTCAAGCAAAGACTGCTGCACCAAATGTCACGTGTAGCTTGCCCTTGGCAATGACACAAAAGATAAAAGTTTTTCTGTTCCCACAACATATTTTTTTTCTTTTTACCATTATGTTTGTTGCTGTGTCTTTGGTGATAGTTTTTATGTTTGTTTGTTTGTTTGTTTTTTGGTTCCTATGTTTAGTACAGAGGCAAAGCAAAGCTGTCATAATCCTAAACAGAAAAAAAGGTTGTTTCTTAGCTGTGTGGCAAATACTGTCTTCCTGATGTTTGATATTTGCTAAGATACTGTAAATCCATCTAGCAAGTAAGAAGCACTCGGATTCATAGCCTACTTGGTCATTTAACGCGTTTATATGCTCACACAGCTTATTTTACTTGGATTTCAGGCCACCTCCTAGAACAGAAACAGAACCAAGAGACTACCAACACAGAGGCTTTTCACATGGCATGCCTTATTCTTCAAGAAGTGTACCCATGGTAGGGATGATCCACTTTCCATTACTTTGTCTCTAACAGATGAGGACAGCTTTTTTTATTATTTTTGCACTAACAGAGGCTTCCAAGCTATTTTATTTTTTCATTTCTGTAATCATTTTCTTTCTGTGCTAAGAAGGGAATAGAAATATTATTTCCTAAAGGCAGTGAAAAAGCTCCTCCGTTCTCCCCTGTTCAAGCACTATGGGTTTCTCTTATGGAATTTTTTGGCTTGGTGGGCAGTTTACCTGCTCTGCTACCCCCTCATCCTTACACTGGAAGCACTCATTCCACCTGGGGAATGGAGCACTCCTTCCCACCTCCTTGACCTCCCTCCTTTGCAGACCTGTCCTGTCTCTGAGTGCAATAACCACTCAAAGCACTGCTGCTAAACAAACCAAACACTTGTCAAGATCAGCCCTTCTATTTTTTCCAGAAAGCAGTACTCTTCAGACTGCTGTTGCTTCTTTCTACTGAGCTTCTTGGAAGGAAAGAGTAACTCTGACATTTCCAGATCTGTTTGCAAGAGGTCTTAAATGTCAACTAAATAATGAAACAAATATTTCAATTTCCTAACTGTAAATCTGTGACTGTTCTTGTAATGTTTCCTTCATAGGATATGGAACCAAATACCTTCCCTGTGCCATCTTACCCAGTTAACCAGCATCCTCAGCAGGCTTACCACCAGTCCTACTACCCGTCTCCACAATACCAGGCACCACAGTCACAGAAGCTGCCAACAAGGTTGGTTTGAGTTATTGCAAATACATCAGCACAATTGGTAGTAGTTATATAGCTTGTCACTGCCTTCATCTGTGTGTTAGGGTATTTCATCATGGGTTATATGCATGCAGAGCAGACCTATTATTGAAGAAAGTTTCTCCTTCATTTCACACTTCAGAACTGAAGCGCTATTACCCGTAACATTCATTTTACACGTTGTCAGAGCTAGATTTTGATTAACAGGTTTCAGAATGCTTTTCTGGGGCTAGATTAGCCCTGCATGCAGGTGAAGAAAGTGCCTCTCAAAGGACATAGTTTAAATGGAAATTACTCAAAAATCTGGCATCTCTCTGATTCATAAATATTATTGCCAAGTACAGGATCATTTCTTAATTAACTTTGAATAGGTTTGCTTTATTTTTCATTTTACTTTTGAATTGTATTTCTAAGATCTTAATGCCCGTGCTGTAAAATATGCTTATCCAGAAAGTACAATGCATCAAGAGAGGAGAGGGAGTATTTTAAAATAGCTTGTGTTGGTGAGAAACTTGTGGGGGTCTTTGAACTGTTTTGGGAAAAATTGTTAATTGAAACTGTGGGAAGAAATACAGGCAGTGGAAAGAAGAGTTTGACCATGAGGAGTTTGAAATGAGCCTTAGCTCTGGGAGCTGGGTGTGCTAGAAGCGGTGTAGCTGGAGAGGGGGGAGTCTCTGCCATCGGCTTGTGCAAAGCAAGAGGAAGAAGGGGCAGCTTTACTGTGTGTGTTTTTAGACGTAGTCATCTGAACTCACAACGGCTTCTCTGTCCCCCTTGCAGGCCACCTCCTCCGCAACAGAAATGTGTACCTCAGGGACCTCTTCCATCACAGCAGAAATGTTTACCTCAGGGACATTATTTTCCTTCTCGACCGGCACCTTTGCCTCCCAAATAGCTTTTGGCTTCTTTGAGGCCTTCACGTGAGCTGACCTGTTCGCTGAAGCAAAGCTGAAATTGAATTTATCCGTCTTGCATCGAGTGGCCCATGGTAATCCCAGAAAGCCTTCCTTCTGCAGCCTTGGATAAGGCAAATGAGATATTGAAACAAGGAATGTAAAACTTTAAACTAAATACCTCTACCAAAGCTACAAGAACTGAAAACATCAAACCTGTTCTTAGCTCTGTCTGAGTATTGTGGCTTTGTAAACTGCAGCAGGGCTGCCCAGCTGGAAGTGGAGCAGTCTGCAGTTAATTCATCTTTAAAGTACAGCACTTAGGAGTTGCTTTTTGTTTCCCAATTTCTGTGGTGAGCCCTAATAATGAAATTATTTGTTGTTGTCTTTCCAAATGTACAGTGAAGAATTAAAGTAACCCATACTAGTATCAAATCAAGGAAATCTGGCCGATTAATTTAAAACATATTTTGCACGGACTGGAAACTGCTACCCATTTACACATAAATGGCACAAGCGGAATAAGGTATCAGTGTACTTTATCAGAGGAAGATAAATATATTGTAAACATGTTTATGCATGTATATATGTTTATTGATGTGTAATAATGCACTTAAATTCTTAATTTCATGCTGACTGACACTAAGCTGTACTATATGAACATTAAGTTTAATTTAATGTTTTTAAATTAGTAATTGTGAGTTGCTAAATGAGAATCCTGCACTAACTTCCACTAATACCATGAATGGGCAAGGAAAATAAAGGTACGAAAAGACACGGCCATATTTTGTTTTTAAAAAAAACGGAGTGCTCTCAGGTTTTAAACTGGGTCTAGAGACTACAAAGGAGTCTGCAGAACACTGAGAAGCAAAAAATGTGTATCTGCTTAGACCACCTGAGCTTCTCCGTGCACTTTAGACAGGAGCCTGTTGACTAATGCGAGTTTGTCACCTAATCTTCAAACCCTTTTAACGTCAGTCAGGATGCTTATATAGGCTAACTTGCAGTACCTTGTACTGCCGTCAGTTTCTGCAGCATTGACTAAACCAGGTTTTAATACTGCTTCTGAAAAGGAGTGTTTAGCACTTGGTGCGTGAGCAGAGGAGGTCTGTTAGTTGCGATACAGTTGTGCTGTAAGTAGAAACTGAATGATGGTGGTGACGAAGAGAAGTCCATTGCACAACCTTGCTAAATCTGAAAAAAAAACACTGAAAAGTGTGCTTGGCTTTCTCACTTTGTGCTAGCCACTGAGTACAAATGCGCTCTGTAAAGATCCCCCATAATATTGCCAAAAAAATCTTTTCCTTTGTATATACATATATAAATATATATATAGTGTTTGCATTTGCAGTAATAAAATACTTGAACTCTTGTGGTTTCCCATAAACTTAGACTAAGATTTGTAACACTATTAAAATACGTAAAATGTCAGCTAAGGTATCACCAGACTTATCTGTGGGGGTCTTCTGTTTGTTCCAAGATAATCACTTCCTACTTTTTGTTGTATTCTACTCAGTTTGGGCTGTCTGTAAGTACCTAGCTTTGTTTGTAAGGCGATGTCTGGCCGAGCCCCTCGAGGCAGCTCACAACAGCGGCCAGGATCGCTGGGTGTGTTGGGGAGGAGGGAACCCAAGTCACAGAGTAATCCTGGAGGAAGACGTACTTAACTGAGTTTAAAGCCGTACGTGTGAACTAAAACTATGCTGAAAATGGTGCCTTCTAATAGCTAAGTTTTTATACTTCGGTGTGCATGTTAGCAATACTTGCAGGGCGGAGGTCTAGGGCAACGAACGTGCAGTTTTTAGAAACAGTTCTATGGAAAGGAAATCGCTCATATTTTAAATGTATTAAATACTGAGTATGACTACTGACTTTTTTAAAGTGTACACTCATCCCTGTCACCTGACCAGGTTTGAAGGAGCAGGAAATGTTGTTCATGTCCCATACTCATTTAAAACGTTGCACTGGGAGCAACGTCGCCTGTTTCTGTGCGCCTCCGGGACCGCGCCGCGTGCCAGTTTTGTAGCGTTTGGGTGCAACGAAAGGGCTGTTACCGAAACCCTTTGTAAGAAACGAGCAATAAAGATGCCAGTTTTGTACAAAAGCGCTCTTGTCTGCCCCTGCTTTCCCGGTGCAGGAACGGTCCCCAACGGCCGCAGCGTGGGGCGGTTCCTGGTGGGGCCGTTGGCAGCCAGGCCACGGCATGGGGCCGTGCGTGGTGCTGCGGGCGGCGCTGCTGGCGGTGCTGTGTGAGTCTGCCCACAGCAACCTGTGGGCCCCCAGCGTGCCCGGGGCTGCAGCTGGTAATGCCTCACACGGCTCCTTCCCTCTTTCTCTCTCTCTCCAGGTTCACGGGCACTGTCGCAAGTCACAGTCCCGCTGCAACTACCCCGAAACACAACGGGAGAGTCGGTACTTGAGCACCACTCTTATTTCCTACATATGTGTGTAGGCGTGAGTGGGTCTGCATGCAGGAGGCTGTGCTCTGCTGGCTGTAGGGGGGTGATGGGGTGGTGAGTGCTGGCAGCTGTAACTGCAGCCACAGGGGCTCAGCCTGCCCCGTGAGGAGAGGAGCGTTTGCTCATTGAGCTCCTGCAGTTGTCCTCAGCTCTTGCAGCCTGCACTCTGAGCTTGCTTTTCTGCGGTCACTGGTCCTAATTCTTCCTTTCTCTGTTCTTCTGCGCACACAAGGGCACGCTGTCCTACGTCCTCACGATAGAGGGGAGGCCGTACACCATTCACCTGCAGCAGCAGTAAGTGCCCTGGTGCTGCCCCGTCTGAGCACTGCTGGCTTGTGCGCTCCCAGCGGAGGCTCCTCTGGCACGGGACGGTACTGGTCAGAGATGCAGTTTTAGTGTTTGACTTCACGCTTTTCTTTTGCAGTCTCTTTATACCTGATGATTTCAGGTTTTATATGTCTAATGAGATGGAGTCTTTTAAAACTGATTTGACCCATATCAAGGCAAGTTTGGGCTGTTTTTTTTTCTTTTAACCTGAAGTATTGCAGAGCTGCTGTTCAGTGCGTGCAGTTAAGCTGTCTGGGTGACCAGTTCTTGGGATTTTATGGCTTCCTTTACTTTGCTGTGGTTTAGGGCAACTGCTTCTACCGCGGGTACATCGAGGGTGTCCCCGGCTCGGCGGTGACTCTCAGCACCTGCTCCGGGCTCAGGTACCGGGGCCGTGCTGGTGCCCATGGCTCCCCACCCTCCCCATCCCCTGCCGGGAGCCGGGGTTCCCAGCAGTGCCGTGCCCCTCACAGGGGCTTGCTGCAGTTTGAGAACGCCAGCTACGGGATCGAGCCGCTGGTTAATTCACCCATCTTCGAGCACTTCGTTCACCAGATGAGCAACGAGAACACTGCGGGCTTCCTCTTTGCAAAGAGCCGCGCCGAGAGCGGGGCCCGGGCGGCAGCGCAGGAGATGGTGCTGAAGATCGTGTATGGTGAAGTGAGCTGCCTGCCGGTCTCCTGGCCGAACTCGGTTTGGGTGGGGGCTGTTCCTGCGGGCAGCTTTGTCCCACGCGCGGTCTGGATGGGCAGCGTTGGTTGAGGGTTTTAGGAGGGCAAAGGCTTCATGGGGCTGTCACGTAGATCGTCACTGTCCTGGTGCCTAACGAGAGGCATCGCCAAGTTAGAACGGCTTCTTTGAAAAGTGAGGAGTGGTTAAAGTTACAGCAGCTGCTTACCTTGTGCTAACATGAAGACAGCATCCACGTAATGCTTTTGAGCAGACACTTTGTAGTATAGCAAATTTCAGGAATAAGATCGATGGAATGTAAAAATAAACAGCTTCACAATATTTTCTTTTTTAGCCAGCATTATCTGCAGCACGGTCTCCTAAGTACTTTGAGGTGTATGCGGTTTTGGACAAGGCTTTGGTAAGTCAGTGCCAGCCATCTTCTCCTTGTATTTGCTTGACTACTACGAACATAAAAATGGTGCCGTTTCCAACTTTTATGCATTTTTGGTTTTCCCATTAAAAAGGTGTTTGTACTGTGGATTTTACAGGAAAGAAAGATTGAAAATTGGTAGCTCACATTTACGTGACTGGATGCTGGGAATCCTTTCCACGTTGTCCTGCTTCGCTGTGATAAACGACTTGTCCATTCTTACACCCTTGTGTTGTTTTCCAGTACAATTATATGGGCTCAGACAAGAAAGTTGCAACATGGAAGATAATCCAGATTTTCAATTTAGTCAACAATGTAAGTTTTGAAACCTGGTTTGTATCGTAATAGAATGATGAGGGGCTGATTTTAGAAACGGCCTCCTATTCCCTAGTTGCTTTTGGTTCGGGGAGGAGGCTTTGTAACTGCAGTTCCAGCCCTGGCTCGTGATGCTTGGCATTGCAATGCCAGGCACAGCCTGGCAGGAGCTGCCAGCTTCTCTGCCTCCTGGGCCAGACGTGATAAAAGGTTGGTGAAGGGTTTAACCCCACTGGATGAACACAAAGGCTTTGCTTTTTCTTCCCCTCCACACTGTCCGACACACATACTTTTAAGAACCATCCTTGGGCTGATTTGTGCGTATGATGATAAGCTACTTAACAGAAAAACTAAAACATTTTTACCAAGTTATTAGGCTTTGTTCATGTGCTTCTTGGGGCATTGTTTTATTTTTGAGTTTAGTTCATTCTATTTTGCCATACAGATGTCATTCCATGGCTGCCAACAGCTACTGTCCATCTTTTCCTGTGTCATTTGTTGCACGTACAGATGTAATTGTGCTCTGAAAACAGGCGTGTGAGCAGCCATCTCACCTGTCACGTTTTCAGATTTTTAACCCTCTGAACGTGACCATTGTTCTGTCCTCCCTGGAGTTCTGGATAGAGGAGAATAAAATCTCGACGGCAGGGGAAGCCGATGAACTTCTGCAGAGATTTTTGGAGCGGCAGCAGCCGTACCTCGCTCTGCGGTCGTATGACATCGCCTGCCTCTTTGTGTAAGGCTACAATTCCCCCAGGGACTGGCGGTGCGGGGCAGAGCTCAGCCAGCCCCGCCATGCGGGGGGCACTGGGGGGGACCATGGGTCTGGGGGCTGCGACCTGCGGCCGGAGAGAGCTCCTGTGTTTCAGGTACCGGGACCGAGCTTCCTTCGCGGGTGCGACCGTTCCGGGCAAGGCGTGCCAGAGGGATGCTGCGGGTGCGGTGGCCGTGGTACGAGGCCTGCAGGCCGGGACCAGGCCGGGTGCTGCAGCCCTGGGGTGGTGTCGGGGCCGGGTGCCTGCGGGGCAGCGCCGCACCCAGCGCCCGGCTCTGCCCCCCCAGTACCAGCGCAGCGTGACCCTGGAGTCGTTCTCCGTCCTCCTGGCCCAGATGCTGGCCCGCAGCTTGGGCATGAGCTACGACAACAACAGGAGCTGCCACTGCCCCGGGCACATCTGCGTGATGAACTCGGAGGCGCTGTGAGTTCCTCGCGGCCTTCGTGGCCTTCACCTGCCAGAGGCGCAGGGTGTTCTTAAACCCAATGGCCGTGGATGTGTTGGCACCTACACAAGCGGGGATAATCCTTCGTTTTAGACGTGTCGGTGGGGCAAAAGCCTTTAGCAGCTGCAGCGTTAAAGACTTTGAGAGCTTCCTCCAGCTGGACGCAGGGGACTGCCTGTTCGACAGGCCGCGCCTGGCCGGGCTCTTCTACCGGCAAGCGGCCGCCTGCGGCAACGGCGTGGTGGAGCGCGGCGAGCAGTGCGACTGCGGCTCCGAGGCGGTGAGCGCTGCAGCAGCTGTGGTGAATGTGGGATTTTGTGCTGTTTGTCCTTTCGGAGCAGTGAGACGTGGAGACGCAGGGCGCAGCTGAAGTAGGAGCCAGCCCAAGGACTTGGGTCTGCCGTGAGCTCCTGTGCTGGCATTGATCTGATGGCAGCTTTGCCCACTCTCTCGTGCTGGCTGCTGCCCCAGCATAACATTTTATGGATAAGAAGGAAGGGGAGGACCTTGGACAGTGAAAAGCTGAGGGGGAACAAAAGTGCAGAATAATGTGGCTTTGTGATGTGTTCTCAGGCATGCTTGAAGGATAAATGCTGTACTAAAACGTGTCGGTTTAAGCCAGGAGTGAAATGTTCCTCTGGACTGTGCTGTGATGGATGTCAGGCAAGTCATGTTCTTGCAGTCATCACAAGGCCATCGTAATTTTTGGAGAAATATTATGTTCCCATGCTTAAGGATGAGGACAAACTCCTCTGCTGTGCAACTGCAGCAGTTCCTGGGGTGGAGCTTTCCAGCTCAGCTCCCGAAAATCCCAAGGAAGGAAATTACTGGGGGAAGGCTGTAATGGGATGGGATGGGATGGGGGAGACACATGGTTAACCTGAGTGCCCAGCAGTGGTCCTAGCACTGGGGAGCTGTTGTAGAGGGTCCCAGGGGCCCGAGAGAGACCCCTGCCAGTGGGTGCCTGAGCATTTGTGAGAGAGGAATTGTGAGAAAGGAACAATTTCTGCCTCTCTCGCCAGTTTAAAGCAAAGAACTCGCTGTGCCGCCCTCCTGCCGACGTGCAGTGCGATCTGGCCGAGTACTGTGATGGGTCCTCCGCGTCCTGCCCCCCCGATCTCTACGTGCAGGATGGGCACGACTGCGAGCACGGCACCGGGTACTGCTACAAGGGACGCTGCCAGTCTGCTGACCTGCAGTGCCGGAGGCTCTACGGGACAGGTAGTGGGGCGGCTCTGCTCTCACTGGCACTGCTGCCCAGCTTGAGAAGGCAGCTATGGTGCTAGCAAAGTTGGTTTGTGTCCTTGCCCTCTAAAACACCAAACTCAGGTGGGTTTCATTATGGCTTTTTGTAGCCTGGTTTCTGTGGAGGTGAGGTTTCGTGGTTAGTTGTTAGACTCAGGTCTGATATTTGGTGAGAACTTCATCAGCGAGCCAATTATCTATTGGCCCATGACATGCTTCTCAGGACTAATTAGAGAAAAAAAAAAACAAACAAACAACATTTTATTTAAATAATGAACAGCATCCACGTTCTGCTGTGTGCAGGATGAAAATTTGTAGGTACCATAACATGTCATTTTGTGTTTCTTTAGCACTAATATTGATTATAAATTAAACTTGTAGGTTCAAAAAGTGCTCCTGTGGCATGTTATGAGGAAGTCAATAGTCAGCGAGACAGATTTGGACACTGTGGGGTCCACTCCCGATACGGCTATAGGGCCTGCATGTGGAGGTAGGTTGCAAGGGAAGGGCAGCTGTTCCCCTAAAAATGGGCGTTTAATTTGGACTGTACAGAAGGGGACAGTATCGAGATTCCAGCTGACAGTGAGATTTGTGAAGCAGTAAATAGCAATGTGTGTTTTCTCCTCATTGGTAATGGAGCATCTTTCCTCGTATCACAGATCATCTCTTGGGCTTTGCCAGCCCTACTTATTTTTTCTTACCATGCAGCACGCCGTACTTCTGTTGTGTGGTTTAATGGTGCTGTTGTTTCACTGTTTAGCATGCGTATGTGATACACACACACATTACATGCAAATCAATTTTACAGGAATCTCAGATGTGGAAAGTTAATCTGCACGTATCCGTATAGCACTCCCTTTGCAACTGATGCTGCTGCTGTCCTTTACGTCCAAGTGCGAGAGCATTTATGTATATCTTTGGATTACTTGAATGTACCAGCGAGGCTGGATCCTCTTATGATTCCGCCAGGTACAAAGTGTGGCTCTGGAAAGGTAAGAAAACACTTTATAGTCAACTAAGATGTCAGATAGATTTTAAACATTAACAGTTTTAGGAATACTCGCTCCTGTGCAGCATAGTGTAAACACTGCAAATATACCCTGGCATCACATTAAGTTTCTGGTGTGGTATAAGCATTGAACATAACCCTAAAGTAGTCAACGTAGCTTTTCAAAAGCACAGGGTTGTTTTTTCTAAGGAAGCGTATTTTGAATCCCATGGGGGACACGAGGCCAATGAGCTGAGGACTGATGGTAAAGCACTGAACTGGAATGGCCGTGTGTTTTTCTAGGTGTGCATAAACAACACTTGCCACCCCCATTCCGTCCTCGGATCTGGCTGCAACAGCGAGGTGGAATGCCACGGCCACGGAGTAAGTAGCAGCAGCACTGCTCCGAGTGCTGCGGGTGTTTGGTCCTAAAGGTTTGCTGGGACTCGCGTGGGACCTGCCTGCAGACACATTTTGGGCTGATCCTATTGAAATCCCGGCCCTGTCAGCCGGTACCGCGAGTAAAACCATTTCAACGTAATGCTCCTAAAACCAACTCCGAAATGAGGAGGACAGGTTCTGTTCACCGAGAGGGAAAACTGGGAGGTTTGGAGGGGGGGCAGCGATGCTGAAGGATGCAGCACCTCGGGGCTCTGCCTTGCGCCGTGCTGCCCGCCCCGACGGGGCTTCCCCGCTGGGTTGCTCCTCGCCCGAGCTGCGGGGGGGGCGCCCCGGCTGACGGCGGGCCGGGGGCTGTCCCCTCTCCCCAGGTGTGCACCAACCAGCGGCGCTGCCACTGCCACCCGGGCTGGAAGCCGCCCGACTGCAGCCGGAGGGGCTCCGCGCTGGGCGGCAGGGCCGACGGCGGCCCGGGGCCGGCGGAGCGCGGTGAGTCCCGCGGCCGGGCCCGGCGCCACGGCGGCTCCGCAGCCCCTCCGCCACCGCATCCGCGCTCCCTTCTCCCCCCGGCAGGACCCCCGGCGCTGCGGGACGCGGCTCGGACCTGGCCGCTGCTCCCCGCCTGCCTCCTGCCGCCCGCGCTGGCCGTGGCCGCGCTGCTGCTGCTGCTCCGCCGGGAGGCGCGGGGGTGGCGCGGGGTGCGGGGGGGGCAATAAACGAACCTTCACAAACCAGGAACGGCCTCGGCAGCGGCTGCGCCTCTCTGCGGGACCGTTACCGGGCGGGGGGCGCCATGGGGCTGCGCCTGGCGCTGCTGGCCGCGATGCTGGCGGCGAGCCGTGAGTGGGGTCCGGGGCTGTCCGGTGGGGCCGGGGTCGCCCCAGTGCTGCCCGGGGCTGCAGCCGTCTCGGGCTGGCCGGGAATGGTCCCTCCCGGCGTCGTGGTGGGGATGCTCAGGGGTGGTGGTGGTCCCTGATAAGGGTCCCTGGGGAGGGCTGGGGGCTCGTCTGCTGGGCTCGTTCTCACCAAACGCTGAATCCGGCTTCTGGGGGTTCGGGGACTTCACCTGCTCCGGGTACCCCCCTCCTCGCTGGCACGGGGGTCCTGGGTTTTGCCAACGTGCCAGGCACGTGAAGGGGCACAAAATGGGCGGCTGCTGCGTGGAGCGCAGCACACGGAGGAGCAGGAGCACTGTGGAGCCTGCTGAAGTGGACTCTCACTGTACGGCAGTCAGTGGTGTGCGGCTGGGCTCCCCGAGCCCCATTTCTGTTCCTGATGCAAGTTGGGTTGGGTTGGTTGAACTGGGGCTCGCTCTCACGCTCCCATCGTACCGTACTTACATTCCTGGGCTGCAGCAGGGCTGGGGTCCAGCACTGGTGTGTGCGCATCCATTTGTTTTTTTCTATGGAAGTGTCCAGAAAAAGCAGGGCTGGTATCCCTCTCCATGCCAGCCTACGGTTTGTAAAAGTGCCTCTCCCACACACACAACTCCAGCTGTGGCTGCCAGGCACAACTGTTGCGGCATTCATCTGTGATTATAACCTGAAAAACAAATTGTTTCTCTAGGCTCACAAATACCTTTGCACGTCACAGTTCCTCAGAGGTTACCCTCAAAAACAGCTGGAGAGACGGTACTGACACAGTTAAACTATTTAATGTTTGTGCATGTGTGTGCGAGTGGATATACTGGTGCAGGAATTCAGGGTGTAACAGTCCTTGCGTGGCTGCTGCGGGGACAGTTTTGGGAAATGATGCTCTGCCTGCCCTGAAGTGTGTGTGTGTGAGGGGGTGTGGGGGGGTGACCAGATCTGCTGAGCTCCTGCAGTTCTCAGCTCTTGCAGCCTGCCCTCTGAGCTTGCTTTTCTGAGGTCACTGTTCCTAATTCTTCCTTTCTCTGCTTCTTCTGCACACACAAGGGCACGCTGTCCTACGTCCTCGCGATAGAGGGGAGGCCGTACACCATTCACCTGCAGCAGCAGTAAGTGCCCTGGTGCTGCCCCGTCTGAGCACTGCTGGCTTGTGTGCTGCCACCGGAGGCTCCTCTGGCACGGGACGGTACCAGTCACCTGCAGAGGAGCGTGTTTGTGTGGCACGCACGCGAGTGCTGTGAGGGGCTGGAGCAGGGCTGGAGGGATGCTTGTGCCCGTGACCGCTGATGGCAGCGGGTTTTGGATCTGCAAGGAGCCCCGGCACCATCGGTGTGGCAGTGCCTGCTGCAGGACCCAGCGCGAGCTTGAGAAGCTCCAAGTGAACACTCCCCAGAGTGTTTTCAGAGGATTTTGCTGTATTTATGTTCTAGGTTCTTTTTACCTGATGATTTCAGGATTTACACATACAATGAGAAGGGATCTTTGTACTATGATTCGCCCCAGATCAAGGTAGTGCTTTGTTCTTACGTGGGATGAATTGTGGGGCAGCTTTGCTCTTAAGTATATGGGGAGATGTCACCCCTTACGCAGGGGAGTGATGCTTCCCTCCTTTCCCTTGTCCTTCAGCAGAGCTGGGTGGGACAGGGCCATGCTTTGTCATACGAATGCCCTGTCCTCACACCGGGATAGTGTGTAGAGACTGGAGATTGTTTGCAGATGCTTGAACCAAAGTGAGATTGAACAAAATCTTCATAGTGCCATTGCCTGGCAGAGCTGCCCCTGTGGTTCCCTTTGCTTCCCTTTGCTTTGCTGTGGTTTAGGGCAACTGCTTCTACCGCGGGTACATCGAGGGCGTCCCCGGCTCGGCGGTGACTCTCAGCACCTGCTCCGGGCTCAGGTACCAGGGCCGTGCTGGTGCCCACGGCTCCCCACCCTCCCCATCCCCTGCCGGGAGCCGGGGTTCCCAGCGGTGCCGTGCCCCTCGCAGGGGTTTGCTGCAGTTTGAGAACGCCAGCTACGGGATCGAGCCGCTGGTTAATTCACCTGCCTTCGAGCACTTCATTTATCACATGAGCAACGAGAGCATGGCAGATTTCCTCTTGGCAACGAGCCGCGCTGAGAGCGGGGCCCGGCCAGCAGTGCAGGAGGTCTCCTACAAAGCGCACACAACGCTGGAAGTGAGTGCTCTGATGGTGGCACTGATGGCAGCATCAGTTCTGGTGTCTCTTGGTCAATCAAAGAAATTAGCTTTTCTTGCATATCATGACTCAAATGGAGAAATTAATTAACAACGGTGAACTTTTTTTTCTCTTTTCCAGTTACTGTCAAAGCACCACAGAGAGTTGGCACTCCATTTAATTTTGGAAAGGAATTTGGTAGGTTTGCACCAGTCAGTTCCTGTTCCGTATTTATTTCCTTGGCTCTGGATAGAGCTGCTGCACAGCTTTGCCATGGTCTTTCACGTGGTCCTGCATGGCTTTGTGCGGGCTGTAGCTTGTGGCTGTGGTGAAAGGCCAGTGATAACTCCACGTGCTTCAGCACGTCAGTAATCTAGGTACAACCTCATGTCATATTGCAGTACAACTACCTGGGTGCAGACAAATACGTTGTGACGCAGAAGATAGTTCAGATCATCAGCTCTCTCAGCAGTGTAAGTTTGAACTATTCTTTAAATACTGCAATAGAAATTTTGGGCTTTAATTTCAGCCTACTAACAGCTAGGTAGGTATTGGTAGGATTTGTCTAATTTTTGAGAAGATAATAATCAATGATATGTGCTTTCTGATAATACTGAATCTCATCTTTTTAGCTATTGGTTTTTTAGTTTAGTCTGTCAGAAGCTCCAAGTTTCCTTAGGTCTTGTCTAGATGGGGTTAGGAGCTGTGGCAAGTAAGGTTTTATCCTCTAGTAGTTCCACTGAGGGGTGATCATGCACGTGTGCATTAATAAGAATAAAAATTTACACAGGGCATGAAATGAAACACACGTGAGTAGCCATTTGCCGTTTACTTTCCAGATGTTCAGTTCTCTTAACATAACCATTACCCTGTCCTCCATGGAGGTCTGGATGGACAAGAATAAAATTCAGACAGGGTTGAATGGAGAAGAAGTGTTGATGCAGCTGCTGGAGTGGAAGATGACCAGCGCTGCTCTGCGGCCCTACGAAGTGCCCTATCTACTGCTGTAAGGACAGACGGTCGTTATTATTTCAGAGCAGACAGTAATGACCTGTAAAATTCCTGTACTCTGGAACTCTAGGCTTTACTAGGGCTGAGATGCCTCTTGAGGAAGTGAGGTGGGGATGCAGTGAGGACCAAACAAGAGCCCCCCCTGCCCTGCGTGGCCTGGGGGCTTTGACCCGGAGCCGCTGAGGCTCGGAGGCCGGAGAGAGCTCCTGTGTTTCAGGTACCGGGACCGAGCTTCCTACGTGGGTGCGACCATTCCAGACAAGGCGTGCCAGAGGGATGCTGCGGGTGCGGTGGCCGTGGTACGAGGCCTGCGGCCGGGACCGAGCTGGCACCGTGGCCCTGGGGTGGCGCCGGGGCCGGGTGCCTGCGGGGCAGCGCCGCACCCAGCCCCCGGCTCTGCCCCCCCAGTACCAGCGCAGCGTGACCCTGGAGTCGTTCTCCGTCCTCCTGGCCCAGATGCTGGCCCGCAGCTTGGGCATGAGCTACGACAACAACAGGAGCTGCCACTGCCCCAGGCACATCTGCGTGATGAACTCGGAGGCGCTGTGAGTTCCTCGCGGCCTTCGTGGCCTTCACCTGGCAGAGGCGTGGGGCGTTGTGAGGAGGATGGCACGGCGTGCCTCGGGCGTGGGTGCCCTCCTGTCACAGGGTGACACAGAGATCTCTGCTGTTCTTGCTCTGGGAAAGGAAAAAAAACATAAATAGCAATTCGATGGTTACATCAGAAAGCAAATCTTTTATTTCCAAAAGCAAGATGTTTCTGGATGCTTCTCATCCTTACTAATAGCACATGTTAAAGTCAGGGTTGCCAATGAGATGAAAGGCCCCTGGGGGCTGCTTGTCCTGCCTCGTGCTCACCCTCGAGCAAGTTCTCAAACTGAACAGAGATGTTAAGAAATGGGCCGGCGGCGGATGTGTTGGCACGCACACAAGTAGGGATAATCCTTTGTTTTAGACGTGTCAGTGGGGCAAAGTCCTTTAGCAGCTGCAGCTTTGAAGACTTTGAGAACTTCCTCAAGCACAATCCAGAGTGCCCTTACATCAGGGTTGCCCGGAGGGGCCCGCTCCCCAGAGCGGCCGTCTGCGGCAACGGCGTGATGGAGCACGGCGAGCAGTGCGACTGCGGCTCCGTGGCGGTGAGCGCGGGGCAGCGGGGGGCCGGGGTGTCCCCTGCCCTCAGGAACAGCCCCAGACATGGGCTGGAGGTGGTCCGGGGGTTCATAATGCAGCTCTGTGGCCATGCACGGAGGTGCAGCTGTCCCCTTCCCTTGGGGCCCCTGAGGTGTGCTGTTTGTTAGGGGGATGGCGGCCTGGGCAGGTGAGGAGATGGGAAGCAGGGAAGGGTTCACGGTGTGCTTGCAGGCATGTGCAGTGGACAAATGCTGCACTTCCCAGTGCAAGCTCAAACCGGGCGTGAAGTGCTCCTCAGGACAGTGCTGTGAAAATTGCCAGGTAAGGCACATTCTCAATTATCAGCAGTTAAGGCTATTTTTGAGGTCTGGAGACGTAGTATTTACTGTAGTAGGACTATAAGCCAGCTTACTGGCTTTGCTGATGGTCACCTCCAAAAAAATTAACAATATTGGTGCCGCCTTTTGTCTTTAGCAAAATGAGCATTTTCCCTAGCATGCCATGTATGGACAAGATAGCATCCAGGGGATGGGGATGGGGCGTGGGGGACCTGAGTGCCCAGCAGTGATCCTGGCACTGGGGACCTGTTGTAAAGGGTCCTTGCACCGATGGGTTCCTGAGGATGGAGAGAGGAACAATTTCTGCCTCTCTCGCCAGTTTAAAGCAAAGAACTCGCTGTGCCGCCCTCCCGCCGACGTGCAGTGCGATCTGGCCGAGTACTGTGATGGGTCCTCTGCCTCCTGCCCCCCCGATCTCTACGTGCAGGATGGGCACGACTGCGAGCACGGCACCGGGTACTGCTACAAGGGACGCTGCCAGTCTGCTGACCTGCAGTGCCGGAGGCTCTACGGGACAGGTAGCAGGGGCGGCTCTGCTCTCGCTGGCACGGGCTGGGAATGCCTGTGCAGACTCAAATGCGTAGTGCTGGGCTTCCTGCGCTTGTGGCGAGAGGAAAGGAATGGGCCATGGGAAGGTGATGGTTTACGTGAGGATTTCAGGCTGAATGTTGGCACAGCCATACATCTAGGCAGAGAACAAGCCACGGAAATACCCAGATTTTGTGGATGGTCTCTGGGACTTTTCCAGCAATTCCATTGTCTGCGAGGTCTGTCCTGCAACTCGAACGTGGGCAGATAGTGATATAGCCACTGTTTTACTCCATCAGATACAAGAACTGATAAATGTTAAAGCCAACACAGGTATTCTAATCTGTATTCCCCTCAGTTATAATCAGTATTATTTCCAAACTTCCAGGTGCCAAAAACGCTCCTTTGGCTTGTTACGAAGAAGTCAACAGCCAGCAGGATAGGTTTGGACACTGTGGTAATCACCCGAAGGATGGGTACCAGCCCTGCTCTTGGCTGTAGGTTTCAAAGGAGAGGGAAGTGTTTAACTAAGAACACGTGTTTAATTTGTGCCCCCCTTTACTGTTGATGTAAAGTGTAAAAATCTGTCAGAAGCTTCTTCAGTAGGGTTTTCTCCTGCAAGGCTGCCTTTTCTTCCACTATTGGCTCTAGCTGTTCTTAAAAGAGATGGTGATGCCGGGCAGGTCTTGTCCTGATGGATAAGGGACACGTAGGGGTGAGCAGAGCACTCTGTGGTGGGCATGACAAATGCTTACCCGTGGCATAACCCGAGGCGTGGGGGGGTACTGGAGACTGGCAGGGGGTTGAGAAGCAACTTCATCAACCACCCAGCAGTGCAAGCAGTTGGTGGGCTTGGGCGCTTATTTCATTTAAATCTCCTTCCCTGAATTGTGCACCTCAGTGCCTCCAGCATTGTGGTCAACCAGATGCTGTGCCCACTCTTCTAATTTACTGTGCTAATGATTTTTTTAGGAATCTGGGATGTGGAAAGCTAGTATGTACATACCCGAGTCATATTCCCTTCACAAAAATTAAGGGTGCCATCATTTATGCTCAAGTGCAAGAACATCTGTGTGTGTCTTTCGATTTTATGCGTGGACCAACAGTGCAAGATCCTCTCATGGTTAAAGATGGTACAAAATGTGGTCCTAGAAAGGTAAGAAATGTTTTGAGAGCATGGAAATGACATACGATTATCACAACTGCAACAGTTTTACAACTGCAACTGGTTGCAACTTTGCAGTATAATTTAGAGGTGGTTTGTACTTACATTTTTGGTAATTGATTTACTGATCATTGTTTGAACCTAAGAATCTTTCTTAGAGTAATGGCTAGCATGACGAAGAGTGATGGGAAAGTATCCAGCAGAATTTTTTTCCCTCTGGACTTCCAGGTGTGTGTGAATGGCACGTGCCAGCCACATTCAGTCCTGAAGTATGACTGCAATGTGAAGACTAAATGCTCTGGGCATGGAGTAAGTAACGGTGCTGTTAGGGTGGTCTTGTCATGTTGGCTGATATTGCTGAAGAAGAGAGAGGATCTTCTCATGTGCCTACAGTGGCTTGCTTGGGACTTGGCTAAACCTGTGATTTGGGCTAACACTCGTTCTCCAAAATTGTTATGCAGCAACTGTGGGAGAAATTAAGTGAGAATACCTAATGTACTTTCCCTTCCAAGACCAAATATAAATGAGATGAGGGGATGTGGAGTACTTGCTTGTCTAGATTAGCAGAAAACTGGAAAAGGGGTAACTAAAGAGGATTTAACTGCACGTAATTGAAATAGTGTTGGAAATGACCAGTGTATTTGTGCGAGGTAAGAGGCAGCCTGGGGAGCAGTGGAGCAGGACATGGAGGAAGCCCAGTCAGGGGTGTCCAGCAGCAGCGCCAGGTGGCTCTGGTGTCTGGCTGTGACCGCAGCACGGGGCTTGCACTGGTCTGCGTGTGGGAAGGAGTGGGTATGAAAACGGTGCGAGTGAAAGCTTCGCAGTGCTCCTTAGTACAAGTTCTTACAGGTGGGGAATGTTTTCTTCCCACCCTGGTGTTTGCAGGTCTGCAATAACAGAAGGAACTGCCACTGCAGCCCGGGCTGGTACCCGCCCCAGTGCAGGATTCGGGGACCTTCGATAGGCGGCAGCATCAACAGCGGGCAGCAGCTGTGGGGCCGTGACAGTGAGTCCTGCGTGGCAGCTCTGGGTGCCCGGTGGTTTTACCGGGGGCAGTGGCTGCCCCCATGGTCCCAGAAACAGCCTCATCGGTCTTGTGACAGAGCAGACGCCCTTGGCATCGCCTGGCCCTTACCCGGAGGTGTGCCTGTGGTTCTCTCCCTAGATACTATCACAGAAAGGTTTCATAAGGGCACGCTGAAAAGTTGGCTGCTGCTGCTCCTCTGCATTCTCATCCCCCTCATTATTTCCTGCATCATCCTGGTTAAGAAGTGGAGACAGCTGATGAGGCGCTGTGTGAGGAAAGCATCGCAAAGTGATGGGTAAGTTAATGGTGGTTGGTTACTGCGAGTCCCCCGTTTGGGGGGGCGGAGATAGGCAGGGGGTTGTGGCAGCGAGGGGTTTGGGGACGCATTCTGTCCAGGTGTGAAGGAGAGTGGGTGGGAGAGAGCATGGGCATGTGGGGAGCAGGGGGAAGCAGCGCTGGGTCAGGACACGGAGCAATTGTCCTCCGCCCATCCCTCGAAGCACTTGCACGCCTCCCAGAGGGGTGCAGGCATGCTCCTCAGGGGTTACTTGTGCAAGCGGTGACACATTTCCGACCTCGCTCTCCAAAAACACCGGGCCCTCTGGCAGGACTCACACGTGCATGCGGGGAGCGGGTGGGGGCGCCTTTCGGGGAAACGTGCCCTGGGGGGGGAGGGCCCGCGGGGCGCAGCCAGCAGCGGGTGCCCGGCGCCCTCACGCCCGCCCCGCGCCCCCAGGTCGGAGTCCGGCAGCCAGAGCAGCTGGGAGAGGTGAGAGCGAGCCCCGCGCCCTGCGGGCGGTGCGGAGCCCAGCGGGGCCGGGGCTGAGCCGCCCCCCTGCGCTCCCGCAGCACAACCACCGAGAACAGCGTCGGCGAAGAGGAGCCGGAGCCGGAGCCGAAGCCTGAGCCGGAGCCGGGCCGAAGCGTCCGTCGGAGCCGGGGCTGTGCCGGGGCGGGCAATAAAGGCGCTGGGTGCAGCCGCGAGTCCGCGCCTCTCTCGGGGCCGTTGGCGGCGGCCGTTGGCGGCGGCGATGCGGGCGCTGGTGGTGCTGGTGGTGGTACTGGTGGTGCTGGTGGTGCTGGTGGTGGCGCTGGGGCTGCCGGCGCGGGGCCTCGGCCCCGGGGGAGCGGTGCCCGGGCAGCCCCGGTCCCCGGCGCAGCGCCGCCGCCAAGCCCCGCAGAGCGCCCGTGCCTACAGCATCCCCATCGCGGGCACCCCCCGCACCGTGCGCCTGCGGCAGCAGTGAGTGGGGGCACGGCCGCGGGGCGCTGCGGGGCGCCGAGCGGGGACCCCAGGGCTCCGTCTGTGCTCTGTGCGCAGAGTGTTCTTGCCAGAGGATCTCCGGATTTATACGGACGGCCGAGGGGGGCTGGCGAAATCCGAGCTGGCGCGTGTGGAGGTACGATATGCCCTGCGTGCCGCGCGATTTTGGGAGCAGTGCTTGCTGCTGAGGTACAGCTTGAAGAAGCGTGCGGTGAGGTTTCCTTCTGCAGGGATGCTCTGTAGACCTTTTGCTCGCCTCGGGCACTGATCTGCTCCGGGCAGCCCTGGTGAGGGTGTGCATCAGCTCACACCCCACTGCAGCCATCACGAGTTCCCAGGGATGGTGAGGAGCTGATGAAGGGACGAAGGCCGAGCAGTGGTCAGTGCAGGTGTCTGCTCCCAGGGGAGCCCGCAGTGCCGTGCTGCTCCCACGTGCTCTGCGTGCTCCCACCGGGAGCCCGTCCTCTGCAGGGACGGGGACCATGGCACAGGTAGCAGCAAGGTCTGGCGCCTTGCACGCTGCCACACGCTCCAGGTCTCGAGGGAGGAGGCACCACACAGCAGACACGGCTTTACTCCTTCCAGCGTGACTGCTTCTACGAAGGCTACGTGGAGGGTTTCCCGGTGTCGCTCGTGGCACTTAGCACCTGCTCTGGACTGAGGTAAGCCTCGGGCTGCCTTTGCCCTGCAGCACAGGCACTAGCAAGAGCACCAGGCTCTGTTGGTACCAGTGGTGCTGGGCTGGTGGAGGAGCCATTCCTGCCGCTCGTGCCTTTGCCTTGCAGTGGGGTCCTGCAGCTCGCAAATACCAGCTATGGGATCAGGCCTTTGGAGGCTGCAGCTGGGTATCAGCACCTCGTTTATCAAATGCGTAATGAAAACGTAGAGACACCATTTGTAGAAAACAGCTCCCTTGCCTGGGCTGCAGAGGTGTCACCAGAGCCATGGGAAGGAGCAGCAGTGAGTATGCCTCAAGGCCATGGGGTTTTGGTGCAGTCGTAGCAGTAGGGCCTGGAAATCTTTAGCTGAAGGGTGCCTCAGTTTGTGCAGTAGCATTTGTTCCTGTGTGCATTTGGTACATCCAATGCTAAAGGGCTTCGTGACTCACCGGAGCTAAGGGCAAGGTCAGCAGGGGGGGCTGATGGCAGCGCAGGCTCAGCCTGGGTGAGTGGGATGGGGCTTCCTTGAGGCTGCAAAGAGTTCTGCAAACTTCTGTTGCTGTGAATACAGCCTGAATCTGTGGCTGATGTTATTGTGTTGTGGATTATGGAAGGAATGCTTTCCTAGAAGCTTGGTACTGTTTGTCCTACAGCTCCAAATCGTTGTGGATCCCATTAACTGACTGTGGAACTAAATGTCTCTTCTGCAAGTTGATACAAATTGCAGAGGCTAGTCTCTCTGGGAATTTTTTTGGGGGTACTTTTGTTGCTGTTTAGTTTGCTGTGGTTTGTTTTGGGTTTATATTTCCTTAAGGGCAAGGAAGCTGTCCACAGATCCCCACGATATCTGGAAATGCATGTAGTTTTGGACAAAGCTCTGGTGAGTCTTTGCATCCTCTCCATCATAAATTGTTTTCTCTACGAAAAAACTCTGCAACAATTTCAGAACTTTACAGAACATCAAGGGAAGCATGCATGGGGCTTGACAGTCCCCGTGAAATGGAAACTAACTCCCTTGGGCATGGATAATAATATGTTACGGCACGAGCTGCACTGAGCCCTGGGGAGCTGGTCCTGCTGCCTCACACAGTGCACTCAGATGCTCCTGTGTCTGTTGTCTTTCAGTATGACTACATGGGAGCAGACAAGGATGCAGTGACAGCCAAGATAGTCCAGCTTTTCAGCTACGTGAACAGCGTGAGTTGCTTTTGGTTGTGCGTGGCAAATGTGTTGCAGTGGTAAGGAAAAGCAAGTGGGGAACTGTTGAGCAGCTGGGCTCTGGACCAGCCGTGGTGTCTGTCTGCTTCCAGATGTTTTCACGCCTCAATCTGACGATAGCGCTCTCTTCACTGGAGCTTTGGACAGAAAAGAACAAAATTCCTACCATGGGAGATGCTGAGGAGTTGCTGCAGAGATTTTTGCAGTGGAAAAACATACATCGTGTTCTGCGGCTCCAGGACATAACATTCTTATTCGTGTAAGAAGGGGCTGGCTGTGATAGCTGGCACGGGGATGAGAGGAGTAGGACGGTGTCAATACAGAGGCACGAGCATACACATGAGCAGCATGTGTAGGGCTCAGTCTGCGCTGTTCCTCAGCTACAGGGAGCAGTCCCCTTCCATGGGGGCATCTTCTGCGAAGAAGCTGTGTCTCAAGAACCACGCTGGAGGGGTTGCCTTGGTACGCAGCCAGTCTGTTTGTACCCCTAGCCTCCCGTGTGTTGGCACGGTGCTGAGCTGTGCCTCCAGGTGAGCCCGTGCCTATCCAAAGGGCAAAGAACGCCAGCAGCACTCTGTAGGGCACGGAGCCCCTGGGGGTGATGGAGCAGGGACCCCAGGGCTGTCAGAGCCTCGCAGCCCACCGGAGCCCCAGAGCAGAGTGAGTTTGCTGCAAGGACAGCGCTCTGAGGTCTGCCCGTGTTGCCCTCGCAGTACCGAAGCGCTATGACGCTGGAGGCGTTCTCAGTCGTCGTGGCCCAGCTGCTGGGGCTCAGCCTGGGGATGGTGTACGACGACCCCAGGAGCTGTCACTGCGCGGGAGCCACCTGCATAATGCAGCCCAGTGCGGTGTAAGGCTCCCCGTCCTCACAGCATGCCCGGGGTTTGCAGGGTGAAGCCCCAAGTGCTCTGCCCATGTGGGCGCCAGCCTTGTCCTCTGGCTTACAGGCACTCGGCTGGCACCAAAGCCTTCAGCAGCTGCAGCATAAGAGACTTCCAGCGTTTTCTTGCCACTGGAGAAGGGCAGTGCCTGTTGAACAGGCCAACGATGGACGTGTCATATAAAGCTCCCGTGTGCGGCAACAAAGTGGTGGAGCCAGGAGAGGCTTGTGACTGCGGGTCGGCAGAGGTTGGTTGTGAGCCTCGGTACAGCAGGAAAGAGCCACGTCCCGTGCCCCCGGGGGGAGAGCTCTCCAAAGAGGGGTGTGAACCTCATGCCTCATCAGGAGGCTGCAGACAGATGCTGCTGAGGGGAAGCCCGAGCTCTCTGCTGAGCTCCTGTACCCGCAGGAGGGGTGTGAGCCCTCCTGACTGCCTGTGCTGGTGCCTCCAGGAGTGCCGGCGCGATCTGTGTTGTACCGTGGGGTGCAAAAGGAGGAAAGGGGTGCAGTGCCTGTCGGGCCCGTGCTGCTGGAAGTGCAAGGTAAGCTGTGCAGCAGCAGTGGGAACACTCAGGAATAGCCTTTGTGTGGCAGGGCATGTGTAATGGGACTTGGTGGGGACAAGCGGCTGCATTTCCAGCTGCGAGTACTGGCTGCTGTGCTGTGAGGAGTCAGAGCACAGGTGAGTGAAGTGAGCTGTGTGACGTGGTGGTGCCAGGGAAGTGCCTTTGTGTCAAGAAGGTGCTTTAAGGAGCAGGTACCATGCCTTCTCCTGAAGTACCGAGATGAAGGATATGCCAACTGTACGGACACATGTTAATGTTGCAGGGGATAAACCTGGTTTGAGGAGAGTTTTGAAATCGTGTGGGTAGATTTTTCCCAATCCTGATCTAAACTGTAAAGCCAATATTTGCTTTGCCCTAAGAGGAGATTTGTTCTGTTATCTGTGAGTGCATGTGCTATGCAAAGCTCCCTTTGTTCTGCCTCTTCCCACTAGTTTGCAAAAAGCAGCACGTTGTGTAGAACCAGCTCTGAGGACGAGTGTGAGCTGAAGGAATATTGCAACGGCACCTCTGGGGAGTGCACGGCCAACCAGTGGGTGATGGACGGGCATCCCTGCAGCAGGAACACCGCCTTCTGCTACAGAGGAGCTTGCCAGACAGCTGACAAGCAGTGTCAGGACATCTTCGGCAAAGGTAAGGGCACCAGGGTGCTGCAGGGGGGCCGTTTGTTGTGCGTGAAATGTTAGGCTGTGGACAAGAATCATCGAAATGTGGTGGGGCTGGGTGGCAGCTGCAGCACCGCACAGCAGCAGCAGGCTGTTGGGAGCACGGCGAGGTGAGCGCCGTGTCCAGGCTCCTGCACGGCCACGGCACCCAGTGCCTGTGAGATCCGACAGCCCTCAGCATCATCGGGTGGCCCCGGCAGCGATGTCCAGCCCTGAGGTGGAGAGAGAGGCCTTTTGCCGGTCTGTGAGTGATGCTATGTGTTTGCAGGGGCCAAAAATGGACCCTTGGCCTGCTACGAGGAAATTAATGGCCAAAGGGACAGAATGGGACACTGCGGCTCCAACCACAGCGGGTACCAGAGCTGTGCATGGAAGTAAGTGCTGTAGGAACCCCAGGGGCCTCTGGCTAGGTCCGTGGCAGCAGGGAGCCCGGCTGCACCGCAGGGCAGGACGGGAGCACACGGATGTGTCACCCTTGGCACTGGGGAGGAGCGCACTGTGCTAGGGTGCGTGGGCTGCCAGGCAGATGAGAGAAGGGCCCGTGGCAGATGTAAGCATGCTGTGTCTATGTGCTGCAAATCGGCTGTTTGGGATCTGTTCTCCAAGCCCTCGGTGTGACCGACGGAGAGGAACAGAAGGGTGAAGGTGGCTTGTGTGAAGTCCTCTGCTCTCCGTGCCTTTGCAGGGATCTCCAGTGCGGGAAGCTCATCTGCGAGTATCCGGGTAACGTGCCTTTCACCAAGGAGAAGGCTGCGGTGATCTACACGCGGGTGCAGAACACGCTGTGCATCACGCTGGACTACATGAGGCCTCCCATGGAGAGGGACCCGATGCTGGTGAAGGATGGCACTGTCTGCGGCGACCACAAGGTGACGTGCCTGTGGCTCTAAGGAAAGGAGGACTTGCAGGAAGTGTTTCTGCAGTAGTGGTGTTGGAGACCCACTGGGCAGTCAGTGGCTTTTCCTGTGGTTGCATCCTGAATGGGTTGGGGTTGGTGCGTGGATTGTGTGAACCCCATCGCACGGGGTCGGGCTGGAAACCCGTGTCTGTCCCGAGCAGGAGATGGGTGTTACTGCCCGCTGCGTGCTGTCTGCTGACCCCCACGTTTGTGTTTTAGATCTGCATGAATCAGAAGTGTGTGTCTGCTGCTGTCTTGAACTATGATTGTGACATAAAGAAAAAATGCAACAATCATGGGGTAAGTGACAGTGCTGTGTGTCCTTGGGTTTTTTGGACCATCCCGCTCTCCCAAGATGCGGCTTGCAAAAGCAAGGAAATGTGTTCGTGATCTTTTGTAGCCAACAGAAATCATTTCTCTCCCTCTCTGTCGCCCAGGTGTGCAATAACAAAGGGACTTGCCATTGCCACGCTGGCTGGAAGCCACCGAACTGCCAGGAGAAAGCAGGGAAGCAGGGAGGGAGCAAAGACAGCCCGCTCAGCGCCGGTGAGCAGCGAGGGCAGCGACCCTCTGGGCTGCTGGGAAAGGAGAAAAGAAATAGGGCAGGAGTTGGCAGCAGAATAACAGAATTACGGGCTGTTGAGGTGGGAAGGGACCTCTGCAGGGCTTCTCCAGCATCCCTGCTCAGGCAGGGCCACCCAGGCCCAGGTTGCTGCCATTCCCTTTCTGGCCGTGGCTCACACGGGGGGAGCCTTGCTGTCCCGAGAAGTGCGCTGCTGCGGGCTGAAGGAGGTTGTTCCCTGTGCCTAGATGAAGCAGGCCTGCAGAACAAGGACCCGCTGAAGATGTGGCTGCTTCTCACCTTCTGCCTCTTTGTGCCCGTCCTCATCGGGGTCATCCTCTTGGTGGTGAAGAGAAAGGAGCTGAGGCAGTGTCTCTACACAGAGCAGCTGGAAATAGATGAGTAAGTCTGCTCCCTCGCCTCGGGCTCAGATGCAGTTGTAGGTGACAGTAAAGGCAGAGCCTGGACCTGCACCCTTGCCATGTGGTGTGCACGAGGGGGGGAGAGGAGAGGGGAGGCAGCGCTGTTGGGCTTGGTGACTGGGGGCAACTCCCTGCTCCCACCCTAGGTTTGAAGATAAAGAAAGCACTGAGGAGGAGGGGAGCGTGGTGGATGCGCAGTAGCATAGCTGGAGAGGACTTTAAAGGTAAGTCGTTGCCAAAGTCACCCAAGTTTTGTGCCAATGTTGTAAACAGTCTGCACGTGGTGGCACAGCTGGCAGTGGAAACCGGGGAATGGGAACAGTCTGTGTGCCTCTGCACCAGCACGTAGGAGGTGTTAGGGGGAGCGTCAGGACGAGGGCACTGCAGGTGGCCCAGGCATCACCGCAGAGGGCGGGCAGCAGGTTCCCAGCTGCTGGCAGCTCCCAGGCACCAACAGACGTGGCCAGGGAGGTCGCAGGAGCTGGAGAGGGCAGTCACGAGGCGGCAGCCGGTCAAATGTCCTTGGGACGTGGCTGTGGATGACAGCCGGGAGGTGACGAACTCCCGTGTGACGGAGCGGAGAGGCTTGGAGGCGCTCCCTGGGATGGGAGCGGGTGCACGGTGGGGCGGCTGCTGCAGCTCATGGCGAGTCTCAGGGTGGTGCTGTGCCACACATGGGGGGCAGGCAGGGTCTGGGGGGCCGTGGTCACTGTGTGAGGGGCTGGCGGGGACTAACGGGCATCCCTCTTGTGTGCTTGGCAGCTGCCTGCAGGGCTCTGGACTTTGGGGAGCACTGGAAGGAAGATGCAGCAGCGCAGCACACAGAGACGTTTGTGGTCTCAGGTTTGGGATGTAACCCAGGACAGCCACGTGGCCCCCCAGGGGCTGTGTGTGTGGGGTGTTGAAGCCTGTCTGAGGGATGCTAAGTCTGTAGTTTGTGGTTTTTTTTCTGTGTTGTTCAATAAAAGACCCTCATCACAAGGACGTCCAATCCCCCTCTGTCAGCTCTGACTCCCCTGGGGCTGGGTGTGTGCAGCCCCGGGGAGAGCACGGGGAGCCCACGGTGCAGGCACAATTAAAGCCATCATTAGAATCTTGTGCTTTGTTTGGCAATGGGAATTTAATGACAACCTCAGCTCACGCTCAGTCATTAGGGAGTTAGCTGGAAATGCAGATAAATCCTCAGCTGACATGAAATGTGGATTAGGGAGTTTTACTCCCTGCCACGCAGCACTTACTTTGTGGCAGCAGCTTCAGTTGTGGCTCCCATTAATTTATTTTGGCTGCACTGGGCATATTATTAGCACGTAAATCAGCAGCACCTTATGCAAGCACGGGGCTCGGGATGCAGTTGATGCCTGATGGAGCACACATTGCTCCTGTGGGGACAAGGCGCTCGGAGCCCCTGCGCAGGGGGATCCCCAGCCGGGTGCAGACCCTGCCGTGAGCCATGGGCAGAGCCACCAGCGCTACTGAGGAGATCCCAGGCTGGGGGGGCAGCTTGCAGCCCCCGCCTGCAGCAAGGAGCCTTCCCCGAGCCCGCTCCAGAGGTGGATGCTGACGAGGACGGGGCTCGGCGCTTGCTCCACGACATTGGCTTATCAGCAACCTTTAATCGTGTTTGCTCGACCCCTCTGGCCACAGGCGGCCGGGGCCTCACCTGCCCCCCCAGGACAAGGTTCGTGGCCGGGGCGCGCTGTGCTGGCTCAGCACATACCGGGCGCGGGGCAGTCGGTGCCTCCACGGTGCCGCAGCACGTCCCGGCCCCACAGCCAGCACCGGGGATGGAGGCCGGCGATGGGAAGGAGGAGACCCCGCTGTCCTCGGCACTGAGCCGGTTTCAGCTCTCGGAGGATTACGGCTTCCTGCTTCCCAACCCTCTGGTAGGAGATGGCCGTGCCACCGTGCCCGTGGGCTGCAGGAAACAGCAGGGAAATGGAGGGGCTGGTGATGTTTGGGTGTCCATTTAATGCTATTTTACAAGGGTTTGGAAAATCAGTGAGCAATGCCTGTGATACTTCGGGTCAGGCAGCTTCATAGGACAAATTCCTCGCTTTAAAAATTACCCTGGCTGCAGCACGTGGCACAGGAGAGAGGGGAAGGAGCTCTGCAATTCAGATATTGGCCTTGGATTTACAGGATTTCACAGGAGTACGAGGAGAGAATTTAGAAGGCAACTCTCCCGTGCCGAAAGCAGAGCCATTTGTCACTGGGGCGCAATTTACAGAGGGAGCTCTCAGGGACAGGCAGATACTTGTTTATCGCCCATTAATTCCCCATCATGCAGGCTGATATTACAAGAGGGGGAACCAGAAATAAACCATTAGCTGCGACTCCCAGGGCTGGATGGATGCTGGAGCCCGGGCTGGCTGACAGCCGCTTTACCCCCCCTGCAGAAACCTCTGCCCATGCTGCTGGGTGGGGGGCGTGGGGTGGGGGGCGTGGGGTGGGCTCCTGCCCCAGCTCCGTGCAGGCTCCCCAGCAGCACCAGCAGCAGCCCTCAGCACCGTGCTGCTGTGCTGGAGCACAGGGAGAGGAGCGCTGCAGGCGCTGTGCAGGGGGCTGTGTGCTGACAGCCCCCCCCTTGCTTCTCAACTCCTCCCAAGACGGAGCTGCCGGCCCCCTACGGCCCGTGGATGGAGATCGCCCATGAGCTGCCCCAGCTGATTGCGAGCCATCGGCTCCGCTCTCGCGTTCACCAGGTAAACTGCTGGCAGGATCCCCGTGTACGGGCAGCTCCGTGTGTGTGTGTGTGTGTGCTGCTCCTGCCTTAGCTGGTGCTGCCGTAGGGAAGGGCGGTGTGTATGGAAAGCGCACAGAGGGACCGTTGGTTATAACCAACACGATGCAGAGGCAAAGCCTTGGGCACAGAAATAGCTCCTGACACGGCTGCTGGGCTGTCCCAGCCGGAGTGCGGTGGCAGGGGAAACCCTCTAGATGTCACGAGAGCTGCAGCTCCCGCGTTCCTCTCGGCACGGGGCAGTGACACCCCTGGGGTTCCTGAAACCATCGCACGCAGTGAACCAGTCAGTCCATAGCGAGCGGTGCAGGGCTGGAGGGAGAGGAAAAGGGCAGGGAGAGGTGACGGGAGGGGGGCATTCCTGGCTGGGGGGGCACACAGGGAATACACTCTGTATGGCTGCGGTGCTCCGTGCTCACCAGGGTCTCGTTGTAGATGCCCCAGCTGAGCACGCGGCACCTCCGAGGGCGCGAGGAGCTGTACTTGGCCCATCTGGTGCTCAGCTTCATCACCATGGGCTACCTGTGGCAGGAGGGCGAGGAGGGCACCGTGAAGGTAACCGCAGGTTCCCTGCCGCTGCTCCCCTGGGACTGCAGGCCAGAAGCTGTACCGCTGGGGCCGAGCCTCCTTCCCAAGGCCAGAGCTGGGGCACCACCTCTCCCGTGCTTTGTGCCCCCCAGGTCCTGCCCCGCCACCTCGCCGTCCCCTTCTGGGAGGTGTCAGCAGGCCCTCGGGCTCCCCCCCATCCTCAGCCACGCAGACTTTGTCTTGGCCAACTGGAGGAGGAAGGACCCCAGCGGGTAAACAGCGAGCGCGGCTCCTGCGGCCGGGTCAGCGGCAACGAGCACAGCTCCAGTCCTGACCTAAACCTCCTGAAACCCAGCATAGCTGGGGGCAGCTTCGCAGCTAAGGGCCGGGGAGGGGATTTGCCCCATGGGCATGTGTGGGGCAAGTGGGAGCATCTGCCCCAGGGATGGTGCTGCCTCTGGCGAGCAAACTCGTTTGTGTTACGCAGCACAGCCCATTGCTAGAACGATTTATAACACCTCTCTCTCTCCCTCTCCCCTTTCCCTGTGTATTTGCTGGCAATGCCCAAAATGCCTGCAGGCCTCTGGAAATTGAGTAAGTATTTAAGATGCTTATTTATTTTCTAACAGTATTAGTTTTGTTTGAATTGGCTTAGTGCTCCTACACTGCAGGGCTCTGCTTAGGTTAAACCTCTCTCTCGGTACACGAGCAGAAGAAAAACAGCTCGGTCCTTGGCACACAACCACCACTGAAACAACAGCAAAGCCACCACGGTCACGGCTGAACCATGGCTGTTCCAGGCTGTGCAGAGCCTGGCTGCCAGGGACCAGACCTGTAGCCAGCGAGGGCACAAGGAGGGTTCAGGATCCCTCAGAGCCAGAGCTGAGCCTGTTGCTCCCTTTTGCCCCGTGCCCACTTCCCTTTGCTCGGGGTGCAGAAGGCTCTGCAACGGGAAGGATTTTGCATGGGTGGGGGAGCTGAGGTCCGTCCTGATGCTGGGGGGGGGTGGCTGCGCGCAGCAGCTCCTCCAAAAATCTCAGCCACCCCTGGGAGGCAGCAGCAGAGCTCAGCTCCCCGCCAGGATGCGGCGTCAGGGCTGGGGGGCAGGCGAGGGCAGGGGGAAAGCTGCTGCTGCCCGCCCTGCAGGAACCTGGACCCCATCATATCGCTGCCTGGGGGAGAGAGCCTGAGGGGGTTCATCCTCGTCACCTTCCTGGTGGAGAAGGCGGCGGTGCCTGGCATTAAGGTAGGGCGCGAGCCCCCCGCTGTGCCCTGCAGCTGCCTGGCCCCAGAGCCTAGCCCTCGGGGCTGCCAGCGAGTACCCCAAGCACATCCCAGCCCCTCCATCGCTTTGTGCTCCCCCTCTGCTCCTCGCAGGCGATCCCTCAGGCCATTCATGCCATCCGGCAGCTCGACGAGGAGACCCTGCACCAGGCCCTGCAGGGGCTGGCGACGGCCATCGGGGCCATGGGCAAGGCTCTGCAGAGGATGCACGGTAACAGCAGCCTGGGGCAGCCCTCGGGGGGCCGTGCACGGGGCTGCTCACCAGCTGCACTGCGCCAATGTGCTGGGGCTTGGCCCAGAGAGCAGCTCATAAAGGTCCTGCCCGTGGGAAACGCCGATGCAGACTGCCCGCAGTGACACCTCCGATCCAATTTCCTCCTAGATTACGTGGATCCAGCAGTGTTTTATGCCGTGATCCGGATCTTTCTCTCTGGGTGAGTATGGAGCATTTCCATTCCTCCACAGCCACCACGGGCAGGGGGAACTGGGGCTCTGCTGGGAAGGGGGAGCCCTGCTGGGGCTGCTCAGCTGGGCAAGGCAGCAGCATGGCAAAAAGAGCCCAGCGCCGTGGTTTTGTTATCCCTCATCTTCCCTGCTGGGCTGCAAGCATCCCAAACTGCTCCGCTCTTGGGCTTCTCAGGGGGTTTCTATTTTTATTTCTATTCGGCATATCTCAGCATTCCTCAGTCAAAAGGCTCCATGCATCCTGATTATGTTTCTTTCATTTTTTATCCCAACTGACCTTGTCTTGATGGTCATCAGCTTGGAAAAACATGCCTTTTAAATTCCCTTCTGCTTAGAAGAACTTCCCACTAGTAGAGGTTACTATAAATACATCCATGGGAGAGCTAAAAATATTAAGGTATTTGATAATGAATCTATTTTCTCTGCAATTTGAGCAAAATCTGCAGTCAAACAGCCCTAACAGCCAGTACTGAAAGCTTCATGAAATGGTGCATTCTTCGGAAGGTCAAGAGATATTTTTGTGCCAGGCACATTATCTCTCTGAAATTATAACTTCTCTTTCCATTTGCAAGAGAGCATTTATCCATTTTTGCACAACAGGAGCATAAACCACTGTGACATGGGCTGAGAGTTAATGGTGTTTGGGGCGGGGGGGGCAGCAGCGCTGCCCAGTTCCCAGCCCTACTGGGGGCGAGCGTCCTTTAGAAGAGGGAGGAAATCACATTATGGGCTTGTGCTCTGCTAAATAAATAAAGACTCTCCTGCACTGTCTTTAAAGACATCATCAGCAAGAATGGAGAAAAATCCAAAGTCAAAACTTCAGGGGCTCAGAGGAGCTCTTGTGTGGCTCTTACTGGTGCAGAGGCAACTGGGCTGCTCCTGATGGGGACTCAGGGAACTAATGCCTGAGGTGCTGCTGCTCTATCCTGCGCAGCAGGGCAGCTGCTCCCCTCTTGCCCTCTCAGTGCCAACCCCCAGGACCTGGCCAGGGGCTGGGGACGCAGCCACGGCAGGGGCTGGTCCCAGGAGCGTGCCCTGGGGTGACTGCCAGAGCCTGGAGCCCCACACAGCGATCCCTCACTTGTGGGAAGAAAGGTAGCGATGGATTTCTCCCCACAGCTGCGACCTTGCTGGGCACCTTGGTGTGGTGTTCAGTTCCCAAATTTATCCTGTGCTTGAGGACAGCTGGCAAGGCTCAGTGAGGGGGAGGCGATCCAAGGACGGGGTCAGGAAGGTTTTACCCCAGCTTGTCAGCCCAGGGTCACTTCTCTGCAGTCTGACCTGCTGACAAAGCGTGGGGGCTTCGCTGCGTGGCCGCCCCCTTCCTGAGCACCTTGTGCCTGGCTCAGCTGGAAGGACAACCCCGCGATGCCGGACGGGCTGGTGTACGAAGGGGTCTCCGAGGAGCCCATGGCCTTCTCAGGAGGGAGCGCGGCACAGAGCACCGTCCTGCATGCTTTTGATGAGCTCTTGGGGATTCGCCACAGCCAGGAAAGCAGTAAGTCAAACACTTCTTCCTTTTAAAAAAAATCACTAATAATTTGGGGGGCACAGAACCAAGCCAGCACATTTCCTGTGGCTTTGCCCACAGCAGATTTACCAGCTGATAGGGCCGCGTCTCCAGCTCGCCCTCCCCAAAGCCCTGTCACAGCATCTGGCTGGGAAGAGGCTCTCCCCAGTACATTACAGAGGAAGTCCATAAATGAGGCTCTGGCAAGCACCTCCACGCTGCTATAAATTCCCGGAGGGACAGACTTTGTTTTTTGCATGTCAACTTTTTACTGAGGTTATATATGGGTACAGAGATGAGGGAGCAGAGCATGCCAGCATCCTGCCAGTAACTGAGCTCATCCATTCACATAGCTTTGCAATAGTCTGGCCCACAACAGAATATATTTATCAGAAATTAGTGAAACCACGCTAATAGCAAACAATAAATAAAGGCTGAGAGCAAGGGCTAAAACCTGCCTTTTAGGGTTAAAAGCAACTCTAATGAAGCACTGACCTAATATGGGTTTTCTTTCTCAATTCATTTATTGCACCAAGACAGATGAGAGGACAGGAGACTGCGAGGAGGATCTTATCTGGCACTAAATGGCATAGCTCAGTGCCGGGGACAGAGGTGGGGTTGGGCAGAGGGGAACAGCCACCAGGAGGTTTGTTTTGGGATTTTGGTGCTTGCAGGCAGTACGCCACAGCACCTGCAAGCAGAGGGCTTCCCCAGGCACTGACAGGGGACCCAACACAGCACTTGAGGGGCTCAGGCCCCTGCTTGCTCCTGTGCTGGGCTCCAGCCCAGGGGTCTGGGAGGCAAAAGCCCTGGGTAAGCTCCTGGCTGGGATGCAGCCGCCCCTGCACAGCCTTCCCAAGGGCATCCAGGTGAGGATCAGCACAGGTAGGAAAGGGCAGGGGCAGCCCCAGCAAATGCCAGCTGAGAAGAGTTTTGAGAGCATTTACATTGCGTTATGGAAGGGACCCAGCTATCTGCAGCTCCTCTTCTCTTTGATTTACATTACACCTGCTCCTAAGGTCCTCTGTTGGTTTATTAACTTTATTAGTTTTTCCAGGTACACAGACAGACCTTCACGGAGTAAGCAAGAAGAGGAAAATCCAATATTTCAGTCTAAAGGAACGCCTGGCATCTATATAGTTTTCCCACATGCCCCTAGCTTAGCAGGGATATATTTCACCAAGATATGAGACAGGATCAGAGATGGGAATAGTTGTCATCTTGCATTTCAGGCACAGAATCACGCTGCAGTATCTTGAGCAGGTTTCTTGCCACCTACGTGGTTAAGGACACCCAGGCTTTGCAGTGTGCGACTCGTGCCCACCGACCTCACCGGCACCCTGGCTGCAGCCTGGCCGCTCTCCGAGAGCTTCCTCTCATCTCCCCTCAACTTCTTTCTTCCTCTGCTGGTGTTTTGCAGCCGCATTCCTGCACAGGATGAGGGACTACATGCCCCCTCCCCACCGAGCCTTCATCGAGGAGATCGGCCGGGCCCCCTCCCTGAAGCAGCACGTGCTCTGCTCCGGGGACGCGCGGCTGCGGGCGGCTTTCAACCGCTGCATCACTGCGCTGGCGGACTTCAGGTCCTGCCACATCGCCATCGTCACCAAGTACATTGCCGTGGCCAAAGCCAAGGCGGGGCGGGCGGAGGTGGGCGGCTGGGCTGGGAGGCCCCCGGCCGCGCTGGAGGCCAAAGGGACCGGGGGGTCGCACATCTTCAGCTTCCTGAAGAGCGTCAGGGACACCACCAGGGACGGGCTGATAAGCGCCTGATGCCCCGGCGGCTGAGGGCAGGCCCAGGAGGCCACAGGACTCAGGCTGGTGTCTGCAGTGCATGAGCCAAACGGTGACCGTCACTGACACCCCCTCCCACCCTCCCTCCTTCCCTGCAGCCCCTTCCCACTCACACAGGTCCCAGGCTCAGAGCAAGCTGCCTCCCTCCTCCCTAATTCCAAGCCCCTTGCACTGCAGCATCCCTGCCTGCCCCACGCCATCCCTGGGGGTTGTGCACGGCAGCTGCCCCCACCAGAACCTCACCATGGCTCAGACCCCAGGGCTGGCAGGGCCGGGCACTGCTGGGGTCTCATCCCCGAATGCAGCCAGGGCTGCGGTGCTGCCATGGGCCTGCTGTCCTCAGCTGCTGGAGGCTGGCGCTAGCAGATACACACCCAAAGCACCTCTGCTGCTGGAGGTTCTAGTTCTGGGCTAAGTTAATTAAGAGCAGGTCCCTTCCAGGCCCAGTCTGCATATCTGCCGTGATTATTTTTCCATGATTTCATGATTCTCTGCTGGAGGTTGCCAGGGTAAATGCCGTGCCACTGTCCATAGCCCCCCGTGGAGCACCCAGCACAGCCCCACTGCACCGGCAGGAGCGTGGCCCCTCGGAGCCCCTCGGCGGAGGCTGCAGGAGCAACTTGGAGAGCAGGGGAATTGCACAGGCTAATAAAGCTGGGATTCCTAAAAGCTGGCTGTGCTGCACGGCTCGCCCTTCCCCTGCAAGGGCACAGGACGCGGGTGGAAGCGCCGGGCCCCCAGCCTTGAGCCCGCTCCCATCGCGAGGTGGCAGCAGCATCCTGCGCTGCGCAGAGCGGGGAGCGCGCCTGGTGCGGGGAGGCAGAGGAAGCACAATTTGGGTTTGTGTTTCACGAGTGCTGCAGTGAGTGCTGGGGGGGCCGTGGGGCGCAATCGGTTTGCAAGACAGGAGCTTTCCGCTGCATTCGGCACCCGCGTCTGTTAGCCTCGGCTCCTCTCGCCCCCCGAGCAATGAAGTCCAGCACTGCAACACCACGGCAGGGCGCATTCCTTCAGAGCCCAGGGCTGCCGGGCACGTGCAGGTCCCAAACCATGAAGGCAGCCTCAGGTCACCAGCTCCCATCACACCTTTACGGAGTGGGATGCGGCGATCCTCGTGGGTCCTTTCCAGCTTGGGGTATTCTGTGATTCTTTCAGCCTGAACCTGGCATTGGGCTGACAAAAACAAGCTGCCTGGTCTAAAAAATAGGGCTCTTGATTGCCCCACATCTCCCTATTATTTAACAGGTCTGCTTACCAAAATGCCTGCTTCCAGTCTGAGTAACAGGCAGAGATCTGAAATGGATGCTGGGGCTGGGGCTGGGCCACAGTTACTGGAGTCTGCTGGAGTCACTCAGGGCCAGATGAAGGGGGGATGTGGATGAGAGACACGAGCAGACAGGGGCAGCACGGGGCCCCAAGGAGCGGGTGGTCGCTTGGTGGTGATGCGCCGAGTGATGAGGGTGTGCTTTTATTCTCCATTACCAGCTTGAGGGTTCAGGATGCCACCAGGGTAATGCAGCAACTTCTGGGCACATACAGAGTTCACTTACTTCTCGGTGATCAATATTGTGCTGTGGCAGGGGACATACGGTTTCCAAAAGGGCCCAGCAAAGGAAAATCTCCCCAGATGAAGACAAGGTCCTCCCGCGGGCTCTGGAGCAGGGGATACACGCAGCACCCAGCCCAAGGCAGGGGTCAGCCTGAGACAGAAGCACCACAGCTTGTGAAGCAAGAGCAGCCAACGAGTGCTCCGCACTTCTGCGGCGGCTGCGCAGCTTTTCATAACACCAGATGCCCAAGTGGCCTGATTTTACAGCGAGCACCCCCAAATCCCTCGGCGTTGGCATCCTGAGGGAAATCAGGCCATATGCAGCCGTGTTTTGTCTGCCCGGGTGTGCTGGCACGGCCACCAGAGACAGGTTTCACACCCAATCAGTGTCTCAGTGCAAAAATAGCTCTGGCAGTGCCACTTCTCCTGCACTATCAGAAGAAAGTCAAGGTCCTTTGAAATGAGGTTTCATTCCCATAAGGGTAACAAAAAGCTCAGCGCACGGCGCCTTGAATTATTAAAGCTCCTTGCTAAATTCTATTTTGTGCCCTCTTTTGAAAGGCAGTCTTAAAACTGGGGCTTAGGCGAAGATATCTTCAGTAAACAGCCTATAGGAACATGTCAGCACCTTTAAATCTTTGTCTGGCAGCCCTCATTCCACTCGATCTTCATTTCTGAATAGCTACTGCATATTTTATGTAGGAAATATTTCATACTGATGATTGTCTTGGTCTATTACATTTCAAACCATTTCAGGCAAACAGCAAACTGGAGGGGAAAAAAAAGTCACTCTGGCTAAATGAAAAATATAATGAGGGCTCCCAGGAAGCTCATGCGGATGGCCACTGTGGGGGAGACGCGGGGGCTGTCCCCATGCTGCAGAGCACCTAAACAAAGGCTGGTCGGCAGCGATGCCAGCGCCAGGTAAAGGCAAAGGGGCCCCAGAAGGCGCTGTCCTTGTTGCAAACCCTCCTGGAGCCCTCACTCCTTGCCCCTGCAAGGGCAGAGCCCCGGCAAAGCTCAACCAGGGGAGGGAGGGCGCAGATCTGTGCCCCTCCAGCAGGGAAATGGAGTGGGGCAGCCAGAGGAGAGGTGGGAGGGCTCCGGGATCCTCCTGCAGGGATCCTGGGCTCTGCCAGCACTGCTGCGGGGATGAGGAAGGCGCCTGCATTGCTGTGTGCTTCCTCAGAAACTGCTTCTGAGCCCACGGCTTTCCCAGGCCGACAAACGACACAGCGAGGGCTCATCAGATCTGACTAGAGTTTACGAAACGCTATGAGAGAGAAGCATGCAGTGACAGCGCAGGCATTAATCAGCTTCATCTCCTTTAAAGTCGGTGCGGGCGGGCCCTGCGCGCTCAGCGCCCAGACAGTGATGCACGGCCCCTTCCTGCCTCTGCTCCCGGCAGGCTGGGACAGCTTCTCTGCGAGGGCTTTGATTTCTCTCTGTTTCCAAACCACTGCTGTCTAATATTGATCACAAGATGCAGACATCTAAGGTCTCAGGTGCATTACGACTGGAGGCACATTGCATTTAAATAATTTAGCGGGCCCCGTGCCTAAAGATGCCACAACACGTTTGAAAATAACACGGCGCTTGGCAATTCTTGTGCAAGAGCAAAGGAAATTCTGAAGAGAGGTGCACGGCGCTGGTCGCTGCCCAGAGCCTGCAGGGCACCTGAAGCACCGGGCAGGATTAGGCCCATTTATTCAGCTTTTTATTGAAGTCAAACAGCAAAAGAGCAGTCCCGGTTGGATGTGCCCAAGGGCCAGGCTGGGAATTCCTGCAAGTTCCCGTGATCGCTGCTCCCTGCAGGGAGCTCGGGGCCCTCTCGGAGCTGTTGCTGCCCCAGGCCCAGCTCCCAGGTGGATTTCTCCTCGTTTAGCTGCCCAGCAGCGCTGCTGGGCTGGGGCTGTGCCCGGGCTTTGTTCCACCCCCCTGAGTCAGGCAGCACCTGCCAGATCAGCTGGGAAAGATCCCTGCCAGAGAGCTGATGCAAAAACCAACAGGAATGTCACAGCCTTCAGCTGCAAGCAGAGCAGCGGCTGCAGACCCAACTTAGCACTGCCCACACAGAAAACTGCCTTATCAATACAAACAGAGGTGCTGCCCCAGCCGGACTGATGCACACATTTCCATTGCGAGACTGCAGCACGGGGCCCGCCCGGCAGGCACGGCCCAGCACGGCCCAGCACGGCCCAGTACGGCACAGCACGGCCCAGCACGGCCCAGTACGGCGCAGCTCCTGCCCTCCCCTGGCAGCTGGAATCTCTGGTGGGCCCTGGGGGGGTGACATGGGGGCCAGGGGTGCTCCAGGTGCTTCCCAGCTCTCAGAAACTCCGTGTAAAAGCTCCCGAGCTGCCTCTGCCCACTTGCAGCCACTCCCTGTGGTGGCTGGGAGGCCGGCACCGCTCCCGCAGCACTCGCAGCCGCCTGGCACGCTGAGCAAGTGCTTTGCCACGACTCCTGCTACCGCTCCGGTGAATATTTGAAATCGAACAAGAATATAAACATTTGGATTCTCGACACTTCTCAACCCCAACCTTATTTATCATACTTGGCTGTGCTCCTGGAGCCAGGGCCAGAAGAAGCTCCAAACAGTTTAGGTTATTTAACATGCTGCGCATAGATCAATCTTGCTCTCCCCTCTAGCCACAGGCTTCCCTCTGTGGTTTGCTGCACAGTTATGATGTCCATCAATATCCAAGTAATTAAAATCCCCCATTATCCAGGTTCTGGCTGCCTTACGAGCTCCTCATACGCTATAAAACGTTTCACAACCAACTTTCCTTAAGTGCCCGGGAGGTCTGCAGCACCACCTCGGGATCCCTCAGCTACCATCATTATCCTAAAGGCCCTCTGAAACTGCAGCCTGCTCCTGCCCGAGGTGTGCCTGACATCCCTCTCTGCAACATCCCATTCTGTTCCAGCACAGCTCGTTTTCACCCCCATTTTTCTCTTCCCATTTAACTCAGAGCCACTCCCCGAAGCCCTCGGGGGCCGGTGCCCAGACCTGGCTGGCACCCAGACCTCAGGCTGCAGGTCTGCGGCCGGTCACAGCCCAGAACGCAGCCCCCTGCACAGCCGCTCTGCCCTCCGTGCACTGGGAAAGCAACGAGCCCTAAACCTTGTACCCGCAGCCCCGACTGTCCCTGAGTGACTTGCTGTGACGGACATGTACCAGTGGGGACAAATTTGTGCAAAGTACTTGTCTCTGAGTCGCACTCTTCTCTCCTGCACAGCTCAGCCACTGGTCTCACAGCAATTTAGTAATAACAACCGAGTTTGCTTTGCAATTCCCACTTGGGAGGAACAGGAGGGCACAGGAAATAATTGCCTTAACCTTCTTGGCACTGCCACTTGCCCAAGACCTGATGCTGTATCTGGTACATGCTCTTGCCACTGCATCCCTCTGAATGCTTGACCTGGCAAAAACTCAAGAAGTGCAGAGGGCTTTATCTCTGCCTGGGGAATTACTCACCTCGGCAGGAGTGACTGCAGTCCAGATATGATTAAAGGACATGACTCAAGCCAAAAAGTGCTAATTACAGCACAGAAGGAGGAGGAGAGAGGAGCTGCTAAATTATGCCTAATATGGGAGGGGAGTGAGGAACAGATTGAAGAGCCATCACCGTGATGAACAGGGGCTGCCGGCACTGCTGTGCTGGGGATGCCCTGGGCGCAGCGCCCCGAGGCAGCCACGGCTCTCTCTGGCAGATTTTTTCCTGCCGTTTGTCTCTCCCCTTCTGCCTGCTCTGCCACACTCCATTTTGTATGCTCCTTGCCCAGGGGTCCCTGCCAACGTGTTCCTGGACCTGCCTCCTGCAGCTGGCAGCAGCCTCACCCGCCCAGGAGGAACACTCCATCAGGGCAGGAAGGGCTCCCTGTGCTCCCTGGGCAACCACAACTAAATCTCTGGCTTTTTGGAGTGTTTTACCTACCCAGCCCTAACAGGCAGACAAGCATCCCTGCCCCAGCTACATTTACTGTTCTCCATTGCCTTGTGGTAGCTGCAGCCTGTTTGCTGAATCCTGATTTTCCCATTTTTGGCTTGCTGCTGCAGTGTGCGGTCTGCTCAGGTGCGGGCTCAGCGCTGCAGCAGTGCTGGGACAAGGTGACGAGGGACTTGTGTGCCCAAGGCTGCCATAGGGCTGTGCTCCTGTGGCTGCGGCTCTTGGCACCTTGTTTCTGAGCTCAGTGTCAGACAAATGCTGTTTGTGTATTCCCAGGGATTTGGTGCTGGTTCCCAGCACCGGTCCTAAAGCGAGTCACCAGATGGAGGGCTCCCCAGGGGGACCTTTGGGAAAGAGCTTTATTTCAAACCCTGAAGTCTCCAAGGTATGGGCAGCGTTTATAAAACATTGCACCATTAAAGCTGTTTGGAAATAGTAGGAACCATCAACCAAAACATCAGCATGAGAATAAAAATAGCTTGGCATGGGGCAAACAGCTTGGAAACTAGCCAGAGCTAAAGCAGTGTCTTGGCAAAGGTCTTTGACCTCCTTACAAATATCGCAGTAACTGCACGCTGCTGCTGCAGCCCTGCCAGAGCCCTCTGCTAGCAATGGGAATGTTTTGGGATTGTGTTTGCAGCCTTGTTGTAGGAAATAACACACAGCTGGAAGAGAGGGGTGTGCTTTGTACCTCCCCTCCCCCAAAGACTGAGGGAACATGAAAAATTCATCAGGACAGAGGCTGAGAAACATCCTGGGGCGTACAGGGGCAGGGCCATGCATGGCCCCACACTCGCTGTGGCCGCAGTTCCCAGGCTGGAGACTGGGGTGGAGGTGCTGAGCCCTCAGCGGTGCTGAGCAGGGCAGGCAGCCGTCCTCGCACCGTGTTGGGGCAGCTGTAGTGTGCACGCTGTGACTGCAGGCTCTGAGACTGGGGCTGTCTTCTTCTGTATTTACTCAGAGCTGAGCACAGCAGGTTCCTGGTTTATAAGGAGCTCGGGTAATTTAAATAATAAATACTATGGAGAAAGTACATTATTATGAAATACGGATTTTTCCGATAAATAAATCATGGCCGTCATTTGCATGTATAATACCAAAAGGCTGCGCTTGGGACATCTGGCACTGGCTGCAGTACCTGTCTGACACGAAGACTTGCAATAAACTGACGTCCCTTTCCTTCAGCTCTCCTGTTGCTCCAGTTCCACCGGGTTTTTCATTTTAGGATTAGCGGAGATGACGCTGCTTGGGCAGAGCCCTTTTTCTACAGATGTTTCCTCACCTAGAAAACTCTGCCCCAATGCCATGAGGCATCGCTGGGCATGGTGCAGCATCTCCGCAGCTGAGCAGCGCAGGCAGCAGGCGCTGGGAGCCCAGCCCCGGTGTGCACACTCGGTCCAGCAAGGGGAAAGCGGGCGGAGGCTGGGAAGGGTTTCTCCAAACACTCGGCGCGGCCCTTTCATGCCAGGAGCCAGGGTTTAATCACTGGCTGTGCCGGTGGCGTTGCGCCGGTGCCGCTCAGAGGAAGCGCCACGTACGCCCCATCGCCTGCTTGTGGAATTAGTCACTGCAGCTCGCCGTTGCTAG